AGTGGAAGAGGCTATCCTCAAACAGTTCAGGTCGCTCACGCTTTCATCAAAATACCATGTCAGTTGTAAGTTGGAACTCACCCATTCGCTACTTTAAACACTAAACAATGTTCTTAACGACTAATACAAAACAACACAACATAACTATTAAATGGTTCGAAACGAAACGCTCCATGTGACCATGTTCTCAGCTATATATTTAGTTGAAACCCATTCTTCCTCCAAATCCTTCTGCAATCTGGATTAGTAGAATTGTCACAATTATATTTGACTCGTACATCTAGCTTGACTTAGCTAATTATGCCCCTACAAGGGTCGTTGTTTGAGTCCAAGACTTTAAGAGAGTGAGATCGATGAGCTCTTCGTCCTCTATTTTAATCGATCCACCATCTCATCACATGGCTTGCTTTAGACTGTGGAGAGAGAGAGAGAGAGAGAGAGAGAGAGAGAGAGAGATGTGGTTTTTGGATTACTTAAGTCGTTGGTAAGCTATATTCAATTGGTTATAAATCGACCAAAACATAGGGGCACTCAAATTGTTGAGCTTTAACCAGCTGCAGCCTGCACGTAGATCCGTTCACCGGAGTCAAAGATCCTTCTCGTCCATTCACCGGAGTCAAAGAGCCTGCACGTATAATCATTAATCAATTAATTAGGTTAGTTAATGTTCCTATATATATACATATACATACGGTTTGAGGATCTAGCTAGTACCCTAACAAGATCTAGTTAGGTTTAGTATTTTTGGTGGTATGCGAAGGAAGACTCGACAATGGAAGCTAGGTATGAGTTAGGTGGGCAGTGTTTTCTGCAATCTCCAGAATACTGTCTGCATGCTCCTCACTCAGACAACAAACCAAAGCCTGCATGCAGCCACCTTTGTTGACAATATCTTGATTGCGCATAATCTTGTGTTTAATTATTTTGTTAATTATGTTATCAATAATCCTCAGACATATCTGAATGATTTCTAACTGAATATAATAGTCCTCGTATATGTGAAGTAGCCAGTTTGAAGTTCTTTTCAGTTTGGGTTTTCGGCATGTTCTTATTGTGTTGGGGGGGATAAACTACCACCTCTGGCTTGGTTTCTTCTACAAATGATCTCTCTTGATGATCCTCGTATCCTTCTTCTTCTAGAAACTATTATCTTTGCATCTGGTTTCATGCCATCATACCGCCATGATGCTTGGTTTTCTTAACACGGTGAAAGATCTTTATGTTATAAACGTGTGGGTGGGTAATGTCTTGCTATGATTAGTATATCATAAACCAATTGGTTTTAATAATCCGAACGGTTGGGAGAAGTTTATGTATGATACTTAATCACTTTCTTACAAGCCTTCTCAAATGAAAACTGATTCATGAGTTTGGGTGGTAATGTCTTGCTATGATTAGCAGTAGTATATCATAAACCAACTCGTCCCAATAATCCGAACTGTTGGGAGAAGTTTATGTATTATACTTAATCATTTCCTTACACACCTCCTCGAATGAAAGCCGATTCATGAGTTTGAAGTTTGCATAGTGTTCCTCATACCATGTGATTTAATACAACGGTTAATATTGTTGGTCGTGGGGACTTGAACAAATGGCCTCAATGATAAACCAGTTATGATATTATATCATAAAGCAACTATTTCCAATAACTCGAGTTGTTGGAAGATGTACATGTGTGTTTATTTTTTCGAGGGGTTATTTTTCCTTGATGAATTGTTCCATTTATGCATCTTTCCTCTAAGAAAAAGAAGTGGTTTACGATGATTTAACAAGAATTAGGAACCAAAAGAGATAAAATAATGCAAAACATACTATTTTATTCCCAACATAAGGAATTAAATGACAAAGTACAAATATATAGGTGGGTATATGTTGGTGATAACTGATAAGCAATCAAAAAATTACAATAGATATTAACAAGTTGATAGATGTTGGTAATGATTCAAAGATTGAAATGTGGTAATATAATGGACCTTGTCATGCATGCTCCATTAGAATGAAGCTCTAGCTTAGTGCACTTTATGGTCTATCTTTGCATTGTTACATCCACGTTACTATCTAATGAGGAGTATCGTCAAAAATATTCTATTGATCTTCTTGAGAGAGAGCATTTGGGTGTTCTGGAGGAAGGATTCTTTCGAATTATCGATGTGAACAAACGGTTGTTCACGGCTATTATGTGACTCGCCAAACGCCCAATCTTTGTTTATGAATTTAACTTTGAGGCAGATCGACGAGTGCTGTATCCATCCTTAAAAGCTTTGAAAGTGTAGTCTGTACCTTAGGGATGGTGGGGGGCTTCAATTCTTGTCCAAAATAGAGAAAGAAGGATCGAATCCTTTGGATGTGAGTACTAACATAGCATGGGTCATTCCACTGGATTGAGGATTTACACCTTATTGACCATCTAAGTCATCATACCAAAACCAAATTGAGTTTCCTCCTCCCGCTTCTTTGTGAGTACATTTTCATAGCACGGCGTTGTTCATGGATTCTAAGTCCATTTTCCCAGCCCTCCTAACTGTTTAGGAGTCTTCCATTTCTTCAATTCCTTATTTTATATCCTCCTTTTGATCCACTGCCACTCTATCCACTTTCAGACCTTGGATCTTGTGTGTATTCGGTTGAAATGTGTCTCCTTTTATTCTGCAGATATTGTCACAAATTATTGAAAGGTGAATTTATGAATTGAATTAGTGGATTGGATTAACAGGATCAAGTGACATCTAAACAGTGGCGGATCCAGGGTTGGGCCAACCCAGGCCCCGGCCCAGCCCTCCTCCGGATCCAGAATTAGTTTAGTGCTTATAAAATTTTTCGATTTAGATATTTGACCTAGTGTTATTTAAAATCCTGTCTAGTTTTATTAGATAATAGGATTTTGTGTAACTAGGAAAATGGTTTAGATGAACATATCCAAACCAATACTCTAAATTTATACTAAATTTTCTACAGCCCCAATGATTTTATTTGAAAAAAGACATGAAAACCTAAAAGTGTAAAGTTTCATTAAAATAAAATAAAAACTCTAAACTAAAGCACACCCTTCCTTGCAAAATTCAAAAAAATTCCCAATCCCCCCAAAACAAAACAAGAACGAGGAGACGAGCAGATCCAAAATGGATTTCTCCGCCAGCCCGTCGAGCTGGTTTTCTTTCTATTCTTTTGATTAAGAAAATAATTACAAACTTGTTGAGTTATCATTTAGATCGCCTCAATTGAGTGGGGCACTAGATTCTAACCGTCCTTTCTGGTGTTTTGATGAAGAAAATATTTACAAACTTGCTCAAGAGTTTAGCCTCGAGACTTTCAAGGCTATGAGATGCATTCTTTGGAGAATGCACTACTCATGTGAGGAAGATGAAGTTTCTTCTCTTGCAAAATTATTAGAGAAGCTGGAGGAAACAGGGATGGACACACAATAAAAATTGATTTGTTGGTTGATTTGTCTAGTGTTGACCTAGCCTTTTCAACAACTACCATGGAGAATATTTTCAACAATGGAACAAGAACATTGATTTGTGCAACAAAATGAGCGATGAATTTCTCGTTGATTACTTAGCTATTTTCTTTGAAAAAGAGTATATTATCAGTATGGATGGAGATTATATTATTGATGAATTTGCTAAATTAAAAGACCTTCTTATATAATTGGCATTGTAATGAAAACTACATTATTATATATTTTTGTTTATGGTATCTAATATTCTATTCAAATGCGGCCCAGTGCTCTCTTGTGTCCTTGATCCGCCGCTGCATCTAAACCTTGTACCAATATAAAAGAATAGAAAATTTTATACTAAAATTTCATTATAAAAAATTAGATATCAAAATGTAATTCAAAAATATTTTTCATCAAAAAATTAGAATATAGTTATCAAAATGTAAAATGCATAGATACTTAAATCATAATTTTTCAACGATCAATTAAAATAGTCCATGAATGTTTTTCCATGAATATATAGACACATAACAGAAGTTTGTTCTTGGAGAAAAGGAAAGAAGAATATATAGTTTGAATTGAATTTGACCCCCGGGGTCGAGATCGCCGGTTATGATCGGCCATGCTCTTCTCATCACCTGACATATCTCCACGTGGCATACCCACCACGCCTCCGAGCCCGAGGTCCATGCCGGTGAAGAGATGATGCCATCCAAATATTTTAAAATCCCCCGCAATTCCCAATCCTCAGATCAAAGAAAAATAAATAAATAAATAATAAAGCAAAAGCAACAAATTAATCATTACATAAAATTTAGCCAGTCAATAGTCATCATCTCCTTGTAAACATAAACCTAAACTAAAAAAAACCACACACACAAAAATAAATATACATAAACCTAACCAAAGAAACACCTAAAAATTGGAAAATAACAATCCAAATACGAAATTAGAATAATACTAGAAAGGAAGAATGTCTCGGACTCTCAGTGTTAGCATTTGGATTAGTACGATATATGTTTGTGCTCAACTCTCTCTCTTATTTTTTCCGAATAGTGTTAAATTCTCATAGCATATAATTAAAAAAAACTTTAAATAAATACTGATAATTATAACTATGACTCTTTCATTCTAAAAAATTACGATTATTTATGAGCCGAAAATCAACGTTGTCAAATTGGTTTATCCCCTCACGCTGGTTTAACAAGTGAAATGATTCGATCAGTGGTATTACTACCGGTATGTGCCAGTTCATATCGGTTTAACAAAATTTATAGAAATGTGAAGAACTATTAACATTCAAATGAATTTAATCATATATAAAATATATTTGAGAATTTACTTACAACCAATATTATTCATATTTAAATAAAACACATATTTTGAATAAAATAACAAGTACTCATTATTTACATTCAATATTTCTGTCGATATTTAAACGTTTATACTTGAATACATAAAATTGCATCAAAATTTAACTTTTAAATCCATAAAATAAATAATAAATTGATTTTTTATCAATTATAAACGACATTATTCCACTTAAATGTCGTAATTCGATCATACCGATGGTATTTACACTGATTTTATAACCGATTAGTTCATAACCGTTGTCTAAATAGATCAGTCATTTTTTGTCATAGAAAAAAAAAAGAAATAGAAGAAAAGAGATTATATATCTATATATGAATCTATGCACGTAAAAAGAGAAGAGAGGGAATTCAATTGAATAAAAATTAGTTGAGTTTAGTTGGGAAACGTCAAACGAGAGAGTGGCTGGCCGAGGGAGGCAGAGCACCCGGCCGCGGCCCCCATATTATACAAACAAGATATATATATATATATAAATATAAATATATTATTATTATTTTTAAAACCCCTACCCTTCCCTTCCAAATTAATTACCCTTTCTCTTTAATCTTCCCACTTCTATCATCAATTCATCATCCTCATATATATTTATTCTCAGTCTTCTTCTTCTTCTGGCTTGGCTCCGTAATACTAGCACATCGCAGAGCTGTCCAGAAAGAGACTTTCTCCTCCCTTTCTCTTTATCCCTTCTCCCCTTCCTTCCTTCACTTTCCCCTCCCCACACCAGAAAGAAAGCAAGAGAGAAAGGAAAGATAGAGATGGGGAATTGCCAGGCGATCGATGCGGCAGCGCTGGTCATACAGCATCCCTGCGGCAAGATAGAGAGGATGTACTGGCCCGTCACCGCCAGTGAAATCATGAGCCTCAACCCAGGCCATTACGTCTCTCTCATAATCCCACTCCCCAGGCCTCCTACCGCTCCCGGCGACGACCACAAGGTGGTTGCTGCGGCCACGGCGGTTCAGTTCACCAGAGTCAAGCTTCTCCGCCCAACTGATACTCTGGCTCTTGGCCATGCCTACCGCCTCGTCACCACTCAAGGTAAATTTGCTACCTCCAGCTCTGCGTATTCACAGCCAAGCTTTCTACTTTCTTTTCTGGGTTTCCGCGGTTCTGATCTTCCGGTTTCTGGGTTGGTTTTTATTTTCCCTTCCCCCAGAGGTAGTGAAGGTTCTTCGGGCCAAGAAGTCTGCCAAAATGAAGAAACAGGAGGCTGAGCCTGGTGAGAAACCAGAGGCTATTTTGTCAGATAAACAGAGTTCAGATAGCAGGAAATCTGACTCGGACAAGGACTTCCACTTCCAGGTATCATCATACTCCAGACTTGTTCATCTCTCACAGTGATGACAAGGATTTTGATTTCCCCTGTTTTTCTGAAATCTCTGTAATAATTTTTCTTTCCTTTTTTTCTCTTCCAGTTCCAGGCAAGCAAACAAGGAAGTCATCGGCGAAGGGCAGCGCCAGTTAACCCATCTGCACTGAGATCCAAGTCATGGCGGCCAACATTACACAGCATCTCAGAGGCTACAAGCTGAACTCATCTCCCCTCTTGTATCCAGAAATTCCCCCCCATGGCAGATGGCTCCATAATGATGGGAAGAGACTGGTAAAAAACTAGTCAATCCGGAATAGAGAAAAAGATGTTATAAAGGAATGTTTATAAGGAGAAAAAGGAGTCTCTCCACCTTCCTCCCTAAACAATATAGATGGATTTCCTGTTACTTGACGGAAAGAGCTACCTTTCCCCCTCCTTTCTTCCTGTACAGCCAGCCACGAGAGAAAGCAAAAAGAAAAGAAGGGGGAAAAGTAGAGAAAAGAAAAAGGAATGGATTCTGACACAGTACTTACTTACCCGTGTTCTTTTGCAAAGTACATATATATTTTTACCCTGCCTGTTACGTGTGAAGTAGGAATAGTAGTACCATCGATGACACAGATTCACCCAAGAGAGGGAATCGGGGGAAAAAAAAAAAAAGAGAAGACAGATGGAAGGTTAATCAATGTGCGCGTTAATGGCGATGGGGAGGTGGGTTTGATGAGTTCCAAACTTGCCAATCCTGATCCACATGATTTTGAGCCCACAGAAGAGCAGCTCTTGCTGCCATGGCTGCTCCCGCTCCTGCCAATTTCTTGTCCTTGAGAGCTACTAACATATCTGTAAATGGCTCCACCAATAATGTCCCAGGCCCTCCATACTCATTGTGCAAGAACTCACTGAATATCTGCTTCCATTACCACAAAAGATGACCAACGATAACATTAAGAGCTGGGATCAACAGATGGAAAACTCATAATGGCTTCTGCATCTTACTCAAAAAGCTATAGCTAGCCTACCCTGGAGTCGTGCAGATGGCATAAACATTGTTAAACAGGTAAGACATTTGTTAAAGAGAATAATAATAATGCCAAGATTTGGGCCTAGCAAGCAAATAGCATGCACAAAAAGCTAGAAACAATTGATTGAAGTTGTCTTTGAAATGCCAGCTTTTTAATTTTGTTGTGAAGCCACACGTAGTTCCATCCCAGTAGTACTCGTCTTTGGGAGGGAGGAAACGGGCCATGGCCATCAATTATTCAAAGCCAAGACAGCACAAGGTTCCAACCAAATCAGAACCCTACTGCTCTAAAAGGAGATTAGACAAATTTTGCACACTCAGAAACATAAAAGCAAGCAAAATAAATAAAAAGAGGCACAGCTTATAGCAGAAATGGAAAATATGGCACGAAATGATTGGATACAATTTCATAAGAATTGCAACTAAGGAATCCGTATTAAATGGTTATTGTTTTCAAATTCTTGTTTACAAAATAATTACAACTATAAATTACCTAAACTATAACACTAAAATAACAAATATTGGTGATCATCTTGTAGTTTTCAGCAGGCCATGCAAATCTCTAGACTCTAATGGTTCATATAAATTCAATTCTCAACAAGTGCTGGCCGGCGGCATCCTTACTAAGAATGCCTCTGATCTCCACGTCGACTCATTCTTTCTCAGAAATCCCCCGTCAGCAATATATGTATTTTTTATATACGAAAAGAATTAGCAACAAAGTATGCCATGGCTGTTCCATTTGTCTAATCAGTGGGATGCAGATAACAATTTCTAGCTTTTCACGATGAGATAATGACCATCTCCCCGGCCGGTATAAAAACAATTAAGCAGATATGCATATGATCAACTAACTTCACCTGCGACAAGCATATGCAATCAAAAAACTTGCCCACGGGCGGCACACAGAGGAAGGGCTTGGTGCCAACAACAAGCTTCCAGATGGAAGACTACAAAACTGTAGCAAAAATTGGCTCGCTCCCATGGGGGTATATAGCTAAGCAGGATTCTGTCCTTCAAAATCACCCGATTAGGCTTTAAAAAAAGATGAGACAAAAAGTTGTGTTTATCACAGTTCCTCCTCATCAAATTAAACATTGATAATGTGAAAAGTAGTGAAAGCTCCCCGCCGACTAATCAAAATGCTCAAACCGGAAGCAAGGAAGGAAGCATAGATGGCGGATTTCAAATGGGGAGAAGTGCAAGTTTTCAGAGACATTTCATTTCAAAGTCACCATTTATTGTACGTACGTTCCAGGACCACCACAGTGAGACACGGATCACATGGAAAGCCAACATCAAGAAAAGCCGGGAAGAAGAATAAAATTATTGAGGAAACTGACGGGACAACTAGAAGTTTGTCTCAGGCCCTCTAGTTTATTCTTATTATAGGTTCGTCACTTTGAGATAGGGGACTGATTCCACCCAATTTTGCTTTCATGCTCACAATCTATGAGAATGTGCTCACAAAGGCACCCAACTGTGCATCTTTGTAAGCACGTTCTCACAGGTGCTATGTGAGCATCATAGCACCTTACCGAAGTTTGCACCAAATAAGTAAGCAAAATAAAGTTCAGTGTAAAAATCGGGATTTAACGCTAGTATATCTATAGGATATGTTGTTAAAATACTACTAAAATAGGATAATAAATTCAACCTGTACGTATAATGATACATGTCGATCAAAACTTGTGGACAAACTGCTAGTAAGCAGTTTGATTGCGTTCTACTAACAAACATAGATATTTACTATTACATACATGAGTGTACCATTATATAGGTCTAACTCGGTCAGCCAACACAGTAAGTATCACAAGCCATGCTGATCCAACGTCACAACAGTGACATTCTGCTAAGTACTGTATACGGGGCTAGGCCTAGGGGTTCCTCAACTGCACTAAACTACAACAGCTTGCATTTATGTCACAGGTTACCCAGAAGATTCGTATAAGATACACACATGACACATACACAGTCTAAAAAGTCGAAAAACTTGCCCACGATTCTGCACAAGAGGGCAGTAGACCAATAAATGCTAATCTGGGCAAGTTTTGACTTTTTGATCGATGGAGCTATGAAGGGTGTGGCAATATAAACAGAGAGGAGGAGTGTTGACCCGAAATGACGGTCCCAGCTACTAATTACAGGATGAACAGTTCCATCAAATCCCACAAAAGTTTCAAGCAAGTGCAGCCTAGATCTATACTAAATGGGATAGTGTATTTCTTAGATCTATTTTCTACACACACTGAAATCTCACATCAAGCGCTTAAACCATCAATATCAGAGCCGGCTTGAGCTAATAAGTTCAGGATAGGCCTAGTGGTTTGACAGGTCCAGCAATACCACAAAAGTTCAAACAAACCCATCTTATCTAATAAATGAATTTGGAATCAATCAAACACTCAACTTTGCCAGGCTTAACATCAAAGTCTACGATACTTCTATCTAGTTCATACGTCAACGCCAAGTATGTGATATGGTAGAAAAGATGCATAAGAACTTCCGCTGGCGCATTTCCTCGATCAGGTTGTGGGCAAGAATCTGTGGACGGGATCAATCCTACTAATCCATACAAAAAACACACCACAAAAAGCCACTCCTTAAAACAATACCTAACTGGAAACCATCTACATTAACGATCGAAGCAAACAAACCAAAAGGACGAATTCAAGTAGAAGTAGACAAAGAAAAGCAACAAGCTTTCGATTACCTCGGCGCAAACATCCACGACTTGTTCAACCTCGTCGCAGAATGTTTGCTTCTCCTTCACCAGTTTCTTCATCAGCTCGCTCCGGAACTTCTGGGTCTCCTAAAAATCGCACGGCGGCGTCAATACCAAATAGCGGAAACTCCAAAAATTGACAATCTCAGGAACCAAAGAAAGCACAGAAAAAGCTGCTTACTTACCCTTTTGGCGAAATCGGGATCTGGGTCAGGGTAAACGTACTTCTGGAGCGGAGTGGTGGCTCCGACGAGGTTTCTGGAGCAAGATACTATTGAAGAAGGACGGGCGCCGAAGGGGGATTGAGAAAGGAAGCGCCATATTTGGATAGGAGGGCTGCGGGAGGGTGGAGATTTGGCGGGAGAGAAGGCTAGTGGAGGAGGATGAGGGAGCAGAGAACCGGTGTACGGAACCGCCATTTTCCGTAGCGAGCTTAGAATGGACCCGTCCAATCCATTGATTTTAATCCCCGAGTTTTCAGGGCCTCATAGAAATCAAGGCCCAACAATTTTAAACCCAAGTAAACACTCACTGTTCGACAACGGGCTGGACTAGGGGTGGGCAACGGGACGGATACCCGTCCCGTTTCATCCTTTTGAAATGGGTACTTAATCCCATTTATAGAGGAAATTTCATCTCATGTCCTGATTCCGTATGGGTTAATGGGTACCCGTTACCCGTACGGGACGGATAATGAGTACCCATACTACTCGTATATACCCGTTCAATAGATGGTAAAACCTAAAGACCAAAGAAGTTTAACACACAATTAAACAATTGAACAGAATTAAAGGAGAAATCTACTGTCAAATAATGAGAAACCTAATGTTTAAACAACACCAAATTAACATAAAAAGAAATATCCTGTATATATATTTGAATCTCTTTAGCCCCAGTACTCTCGTCCTTTCCTTTTTCTCCCCATGAAACATTCTATTATAAGTTCACCACAACTAACCCCATCTTTCAATACATGTTGCACTATCTAATGTAATTACATGCATTACAGTACCAAAACTCATTCTTTCATGCATCCCCTACCACCAATATCACGGCTCAAATCTATCAATATATATCACCATCACCCTAACTGCATGCATTCTCTAAAAAGCAATGGTAGTGAAAATAACGGAGGAGCCGCCACCACCACCAGTAGAATCAGCCGCCACCTCCAATTAAACAAATGTCAATAACAAGTTACTTATACAAACGGGATTAAAGGGTACCCGTACTACCAAACTGAGTATTAACGGGTAACCTGCGGGTACCCAATGTAGAAATCATTGATCCCAAGACCCATCTCGTATAAAAAATTATGGGTATTTGGGTACCCATAACCCTAAAAAAACGGGACGGGTACCCATATTTGTTTCCCGTTGCCCACCCCTAGGCTGGACCCCTCACTGGCCTGTTTTTTTTAACTAACCAGTGTTTCCAAAAAATAAAGAATTTTCCCCCAAACTGATGTTAATTTGAACCCGCCCTCGTCGGGTATTACCTGACCTGGTCTGTGATGGGCATGTATTATCCGACCCGCAGTAGCATGGGGCGAGGTATGAGTATCTACTTCTGACTGCCCTGAACCACCCTGTCTCGTTCTTGACTCATTTTATCTCAATTTCTTACCGTATCTATTCATATTTCTCTTATTTTGACTTTTGTTCAACTAGTTAGGTTTGACCTTTCAACTAGTCAGAGTCAATTACCCATTCTATTATCCCTATTCTTCAATTTATAAAGTGTTTCCCTTTGTTTTATCGTAAAAAGGTAAAATTTTACGTGTATTTATATCAAATAATATGCCAGAGTGGGTCAACCCGCCCAACCTCATACCCGGCCCGACTCATAGTAGGGGTGCCATTGGTATTGAAGTACTCACTCTGCATGCTCCATTGCCATCAGAGTAACCCAACTTACTAGAAACATACTCAATTACCACATTAAAAAATATTAAAATTTTTCCAAATTACCAAATTTTGGGCAGAATTGTTGTGACCTCAACCGAGAGGACATTAGGAGGACTGGAGAAAATGTAGTATTGCCGAGTAGGAGGAGGCCGTGGCAAGGGGACACGACCTACGTCGATGATGAGGGGGTGAGGGAAGAAAATGTTGCGGATAAAACACACTCTAAAATGAAGAACTTCTAATCCGGAGGGGGAGAAGTGGGCCAAGGAAATTCCTAAGGGGTCGTTTGGATTAGAGATTGTAGTGAGGGATTTGTGAGGGATTTTAAAACAATCTCTCATTGTGCAAGATTTTAAAACAATCATGCGTTTGGTAACATGAGGGTTTTCGTAATTAGGAATTTCATAAACTCTCAAATAAGAGTTTTTGAAATAGCTGATCCCATCATCTATTTCTAAATCTCTCATTCTTGTTTTAATTTTTCCAAAACCTACCCTCGCCTCTTCTTAGGGATGGGTAGAATTGTAATTTTATTTTTTAATTAAATCCCTCATTCATTTCCAAACAAGTAATTTGGGTCAAATCCTACATTTAAAATATCTGGGTTTTTAATTGAGAGATTTTAATCCAAATCCCTCATTTACACATTTCCTCATCCAAACGACCCCTAAGAGACTATGGGAGGGGTAGAGAAGACAACTGAGAGAGCGGAAAGAGTGTGTCGTGTGTGTATGTCACACATGTAAGGATTTAGGGTTTAATGGATCACTAGGCTGTTAAGCAAGAGGCTCTGATACCATGTAAGGATTATCAATCGTGTGCAGGGGCGGACCTACTTGTTGGCAAGGGGTGTCGTCCGACACCCTTTCGCCCGAAAATTTTGTGAAGAACCTATATATTTTTGTCACAAAAAATTTTAATAAGAGATTTCTGACACCACTTTAATAATTATAGTCGATACTCCTTCATTAGGCGACACCCCTCTTTAACAATCCTGGGTCCGCCACTGACCGTTTGTATTATTATTGATACAAGAGTATATTTATACCCATAAGATTACAGAGTACAAGTAGGATAAGTAGACAATTTACAGAAGGAATACGAAATACAAATCCTACTGCTACAAGGACAAAAACTTGTCCCTAATAAGTAATAACACATGGAGGCAAGATGTGTTATCGATTGATTAGGTTGATAAGAGATCGATTATCTTTCAACATATGAAATGGATATATGGAATTGATCTTAGAATGAAAGGGTTTGGATTAGGTAAGGTGACAAAACTCATTTTGCAACGAGGTGCCTTATTGTCATGTTAACTATGCACACTTAATTTCACTATGATTCGAAGAAACATAAGTGACACCTTTTGAAATTTGATGGCAATTGCATTGAGCTGAGTGTTATTTAGCAATAAGTTTTGACTTGTAATCCAAAACATAAGCCACAAGAATTGGAATCCAACTTTGCCAGAAGATGCGATGCGATCATAGCAAGGGCTCTCAAGTCTTTTATATTTTTGTGGGCTGTAAGTTGCTAAGGCCTAAGGGTCTCTGGGCCTAGTTCATGATCTGGTCGTAAGCAGCCCATAGAGTTACTGTACATTCAGCCCATTGGCAAAAGAGCGAAAAAAATGAATGGCTTCGCCCGGGTTCGAACCGGAGACCTTCAGTGTGTTAGACTGACGTGATAACCAACTACACCACGAAACCAATTGTTGAATTTCTACTGCCTGTTAGTAATAATATAAAATTGAACACGGTGCTGCATTTTGTTATCTCCAGGACACAGTCCAGAAATCGGATTAGCTGCTCAAAGTGAGGCTGATGGCGGCAACAACGCCTTCTTCACTCTCCGTCGCCATGATTCCCGCAGCGAGCGCCGCCTCTCCGTCGAATTCTCTGTCTTGTTCCCTTCTGTTCCGCTCAGAAACCCTTAACAAAACCCAGCAGAAGCTCCCGCCGTCGCACCTCGCACTCCTCAAATCCCGCTCCTTCATACTTCCCTCGCGGCAATACCAACAAACATGTCTCAGCGCTCATCTCCTCCCAAAGAAGAAACCGAGTCCTTTTCCTCTCAGCGCTGTGAGGAAGGGAAAGAGCGGCGGTGGTAATTTAGCGGTTGCAGAAAGCAATGACTTTGCGGAAGAAGATGAAGACGAATTTGATTTTCTGGATGACGACGGTGATTATGACGACGATGACGACGACGTAGAGGACGGGGAGATGTTGCTGCCACTTGAGAAGATGCAGAAATGGCTCGAGAGGAAGCCCCGTGGGTTTGGTGAAGGGAAAGTCTACGACACATCTGTTGAAGATAAGCTGATGGAAGAAATCGTCCAGAGTCAAATGGCTCAAGCTGCCAATGTCAATAACCTGAAGAACAACCCTATCAAGCCCAGGCCCAAGGTAGAGGATTCGAAGAAGAAAGGTCAGTGCTGTCTGTAAAGTTCGGTTTTTGCAATTTGGTAATGCTGATTTAGCGATGAATCTGAATACCCTTTTTCTGTGCTACTGCAGCTGCCGAAGCTGTACCAAGTGGAGTGCGGGTGCTTTTGACCAGCCTCCCAAAGAAGAAGAACGTTCAAAGAGATTTGAGGTCAGCTTTCAAGGAATTCCGCGGAATCGTTGATATCGTTCCTGCTGTTTCTGGGAACAAGAAGACAAAGGACCCTGTTTGCAAAGGGTTTGCTTATGTTGATTTTAAGTCCGAGGTGGATGCAACCAGGTACTGAATTTTTACTTCCATGCCATGGTCTTTGCAATGCAGCTGAACCACTACCCAAATCCTGGAATGGAGTAAAATCATAGAAAAATGTTCCAAGGATTAACAGTTCGTTGTTTCTGGTTTGATCTTTGTGAATGTTTGTTGGCAGGTTTGTGCAACAGTTCTCTGGAGAGAGCATAGCGTTTGGTAAGATTCAGAAGCAGATAAAATGCAGGATTCAAAACTCGGGCTCAAGCACTACATCTGGTGATGAATTGACCGACATGGATGTGGATGGTGCGGCCTATGAAGATGAAAAGTTTGATGAAGAAGAAGAAGATGATCATAACAATGAGATCTCAGAAACACTAAATGCAAGTGCAATAGAGAGCATGAAATCTCTCAGCGTATCAGAGTTGAATATTACTGAAAACAAGAAAACTGAAAGTCGGTCATCATCTTCGCCAAAGAAGAAGGGAACTAAGAAGAGTAGCGCAAGTTCTAAAAAGAAAGTGCAGAAGGTTCCCAAGTTAGAGATTCCAGGATCGGCAAAAAGGTTATTGTGCTGTGCTTTCTGAACACTATACCTGCTGACCTGCTGCTGGACGTTTGCTTTTGGTCACTTTCTCACCCCTTTTCTAACTCCATTTTGCCATTTTCCTCTCTGCAGGCTAAAGGTCAGGGACAAGGCCGTGCTGACTGGTGTCTTCGCCAAATACGGGTTGCAAGCTGCGGTCGCTACAAAGGAAGAAAGCTAACTGTTTCACTGTAGTGTTTGGTTCCAGAACTTTAGGGAACAAACCTCATTGAAGTAAACCCACTTGTGATTTTTGTGCTAGATAGATCTCCAGTGCAGTTTGTCATAGTTGGGATTTTTGTGCTAGATAGATCTCCAGTGCAGTTTCAACACCAATTACATCGTGAGAAACCCAGTCGGCTGTTGTCTTGGCATTAGGGCCTAGGGGAATTGATGAGGCAAGCAGCTATGGCCGAAGAGTGGCCTAAACTAATGCATTACTGTCTGGTTCTATGTGGTAACACCGGGTTCACTTCAATTTGGATAGTATATGTTCTCGAGTTTGTCTCTCCTAATCCGTTTGTCCCTCCCTCCCCTCCATGTCTATGTGCTGAGTTACATAATTGAAGCAGTTGGAGCCTAGGAGGCATACTGCAACCACTAAGTTAAAGACGACATGCCTGCATACTTCTTGCTCTGTGTGTGTCATCTTTGATATATCTTTCTTCTGATGGAATCTTCCAATTGAAGAACGAAGTATGGACTGTGAAAACCTATTGCTGCAGCCTGCAGCTGCCCTGAAAGTGCTATCCCACCTTCCACCCCCATACTCGGCTTTGAGCTCGCTCTTGATCGTCCCAGCTCCCATCAGAGATGCTGTGTATGATCACGTGGCTGAGAGACGCTTCGACTGGTTTGGAAAGGCAAATGATTGCTTCGTGTTGAATGACAAAGAGCTGCTTGATCGGTTCATTGACAAGTCACAACTCACAAGGATGAAATGATGGGTAGATATACGGTTTTTTCCAGATCACTTCTATATATATAAACCTGTAGTTCCCTAAGCTCCTAACTACTCTATACAAGCAAGGTTCTATACTAGAAAAAACGCATTTTGCTAGTAGCACCAGGGTTGTGATTGTGAAAATCCCTTAAACAGAGGAGTGGTCTCGCTAACCATTTTGTACAACTCCTCTATTTCAACCCTACCCATAGACCTTGAGAACATTAAAGTGGCATTAGAACTGTGTTTGAACGTCACGGATTACATATTATGCGCAACGGTTTAAGCACATGAACATGATACTCTCTTCACTTCAGGAGTTAAACTAAAAATGATGGAAGTAGGCTGGCTAGAAGTAGCCTAATTTCTTGCATCAAATGAGGGAATCAAAGTGCTACAAAGGAAAACACTCAAAGCTTTCTAGTTCAATCAAACCAAGATATGGCGACATCTCCCACATTATGGTTCCCCCTTCCGCCATCATGAAAACAAGATACTATCTCTTGGTCTCCCCAGTAATCTCTAAACTTCTGCAGGCTAAGTAACAAATATTGATTTCTCGGGTCAACAAACTGAAGGACCCTGTTCTCACTTGCTGCTAACTGCTACACCAGTCCATTCCTTCCAATCCTTATCTACATGATCCTGGGCCCATTTCACAGCAACTCGTGCTGCCTGAGGTCCTCCCGGCAATCCACGCTCGTTGATGGTATCAGCCATGTCGATGAAGGGTTCCACCAGAAGTGTGCCTGGACCTCCATATTCACTGTGTAGGAAGGTACTCAATATCTGCAGGAAGGGAGTCGAGACGAGTACTGTAATCAGTAGCAAAAATAAACATCATTCAAGGACTTGGATACATCACACAACAGCCCTCTAACATATTTAAGTTAAAAAAATTGAACAGCTCTGTAGACCAGAGTGAACAATCTCAACATTGGGCGTCCAGTCTGCAACTTTAACGAAATCTATCACCTCCCTGTGTATTCCACACAGAATAAGCTAACTCACAACTTCGCCATGTGAGGTTATGCCGCCAATACCAAATTGGGTGACCACATAAATGATCAATGTGGTGATATCCGACTAATATCACCACCTGGTAACCTCTAGAAATTCCCACAGATCTATCTTACCATAACATTAGCCATTCATTAAGAGACAAGCTCCATATGCTAGCAATGAATAATAGCGTCAAGTGATTCGTATCAACAAGACTTCACCGGAATATGATTGCTCGGAGGCACTAAGACTCAGAAATGACACCACAAATTCAGAAGGTCCAATGGTTCACCCAAGGTATATAGTATACCCCATAACACATTCCAAACTTAGAATTTTCGAGCATGAGATCTTTGACCCTGACTATAACTTCAATTTTAGCGCTTGTTCAGACCGAACATGGATCAAAGTGAGGCAAAAAGAACAGTAATACGAGTCTAAATTCCAGTGTAGAGATGCAAAACTGAAAAAGGACCAAGGAAACACTCACCCCAGTGCAGATTGCCACAACGTCATCAAGTGAGTCTCCGAACGCCTCTTTCTTAGAGAGCTTCGTAGCGAGATGGGCTCTGAATTTTTCGGTCTCCTGCACCATGAAAATAAACAAAAACTCACTAAGTCGAACTTAGGCTAGATAGAAGCGAATGTGAGAAATGGACATGAAAAAATGCGATACAAAAGAACAAGAACTCACGGCATCTGCAAATTCAGGAATTGGGTCAGGAAATTTGTACTCCCCAGCTCTGCAAACGTGCTTTCTTCGACCTCCTCTGTCGACTGAGAGGTAGGAACAAAGGTGGTGCGTCGGTCTGTAACCGGCTACATGGGCAGTCGGTGTCGAGAAACGGGAACCCAGTGAAAGAAATGCTGAAATGGGATAAGGAGAAGATGCTGTCGAGAACCGAATATGAGCGCGAGAAACGTCGGGTGAGATGGGAGGAAGATGGTCTAGGATTGAAGAAGAGACCAGAGTTTCACGGCACGGAGCCATGGCCGCCTGTGTTGAAGTTCGCTTATCTTTCCCTCCCGGAGCTGTACGAGTTTCGGAGTTATCTTCGAATCGGATAGTAGTTTCCGGGTTATTATTTTTTTATGGGCCAGGCCTAGTAATACAGTAGCGGACCATGGACGATGGAGCGAGAATGGATGATCTCCAAATCCAATCCAACTAAACGGATGTATGTAACAAAAAAAAAAAAAAAAAATAATTGTCAGTACCAAAAGTAAAATAGCCTAACGATAAGCTACACGATAGTAAGAAATTAGGAGTTGCAGATCTCAGTTTCGATCCAAGCGAGACTTGTTAGTGTTTCCTTAGTATGAGGGGTCAAATTGATTGCAGTTGGGCCCTAAATTTATTAGGCCCTGCTATAGGTGTCAATCGGGCGGGTTTGGGCGAGTTCGAGTTCAAACAGGTTACGGGTCTAGCGGGTTCGGGTTGATCGGGTTACGGGTCAATCAGATTGCGGGTCAATCGGAATTGGGTTGGTCGGGTTGCGGATCAATCGGGTTGCGGTTTGATCGGATTGCGGGTCAATCAGGTTCGGGTTGTTTGGATTGTGGGTTACTCGGGTTGCGAACAGGTCGGATTGTGGGTTGTTCAGTCCAAACAATCGAGTTAATTTTTTAATGATTAGTTATTATACTAATTTAAACAAACTCACCAATCACTATTTTGCAATGAAAAAACATGAAGGTACGTTGCTGCGTTGCAGAATATTCATTAAGGAAATTACAGAATCACATGAACAAATAGTTGAACAACAACTTGCTTTATAATATCATAATAATCCTATGAAACCATCTCTTGAATATTGATAGTTGAGACCATTAGACTTATGACTGCAAACAAGTCAAGCCGAACCAAGCTTTTACTCAGCTCAGGTTCAAGCTCGACAAAAATTTTCTAAATTCGAACTTGACTCAATTCAACCTATAAAATTCAAACTCAAGCTCAACTCGAGAAGAAAAACGAAGCTCGAGCTCAACTCCGTTATCACTAAAAAAACAAGCTCATCAAGCCCAACTTAACATGATGTCTAAAAAAAAAGCCCAGCATACTATGCCCAATAGTAGACCCACAAGAGCCATCATTAGGCCAGAAAAAACCCAAAATTGCAGCCTATTGTAAGGGCCACTTCTTGGAATTGCTCTGGACTTGCACCAAATGAAGAAAACCTCCCATTATTATCTAGTTGGGGAAGAGTGGAATTTATCTTCTACCAATGATGTGGTAGAAAATCATTTCCTCACCAAACAACAGAGCAGGCAGCAGCAACAGCAGAGTAATAGCAGAGAAGCCTCCGTTGCCATTGCAGTTCCTCTTGTTGAAGTTCCCCGTTGCTTGGACAATGCCCTCATACAGTAAAGGAACTCCGAGATGGTGATTTGAGGAATCCAATGATAATGCAGCATCACAATACAACTTTTGAGTCTCTTCCATTGTTGAGCTCAGCTACTGCATTTTTGGGTTGTAACTCTTTGCTCTTTGGTAACAAGGTAAACATGGAAACAAAATAGTATTGGACGAGGGAATCCGGCTGTTCTTGTACCAGATAGTTGGGACTTGGGGACAGGTCGAGCCAGCTTTGACAGAATGGTAAGTGCTGCAGCACACTTTTGTTCCAAGAGTTGTTAGCTTCTTGTACTTGTTAGCTGACATCAGTCTGTTGCTATCTACATTGAAGGTAAAGTAGAGTGACTTTTAGTGGCAAAGCTCTTTGTTCCTACCAATTTGGATGACTGTTATTGCTTTTGGAGGACTTGAGTATTTGTGGTGGTAAGAAACTAAACCATGACCATATACCCTATACACTAACCTTAAACCATGAACTATAGTTATATGTTATGAAATTGTTTGTAGAACGTATGTTAAGTGAAGAATGTAAGTTAATTCAATTTTATATTTGATTATTGTGAAGAACATACGCCATAATCCTCCTAACTCTAAACCATAACCGTATAAACTATGCATTAACCTTAAACCCTGAACTCTTGTTACATGTCATGAAATTGTTGGTAGAACGTAGGTTAAGTCAATTTTAGATTTATATTATTGTGAAGAACATAAGTCCTCATCCTAAGATTCCTAATCCGAAATCATTTTAGATTTTGATTCAAGTGTCTCAATGATTTATTATTTATAAATACATATTGTAAGTTAGATTTTGATTCAAGTATCTCAATGATTTCTTATTTCTAAATAAATGTTGTAAGTTCCAACCAAGTTTAATTAAGTCAAGTTTAGGCGAGAACCTTGAATTGGAAAGACTATCACAAAAGGAACAAGGGCTTGGCCTAATGGTAATACCACTAGCCTAGAACTTGGAGGTCTCAGGTTCGAATCCCTTAAGTAGTTCCTTAATCACAAAAAAGAAATCTATATCACCCTTATAAAAAAAAAAAGACTATCACAAAAGCCAACTAGTCCACCAAATCAATTTGTTATAATTTTAACTTGTTGAGTATATTAACGTTTGAAAAAGTTTTAGGTTGTGAAAAACAAGAGTAGGCCTACTGAACCAAAAAGAGGCAGAGACCAGAAAACTATTAACATTTGAAAAGGTACTACATCTATATCACCCTTATAAAAAAAAGACTATCACAAAAGCCAACTAGTCCACCAAATCAATTTGTTATAATTTTAACTTGTTGAGTATATTAACGTTTGAAAAAGTTTTAGGTTGTGAAAAACAAGAGTAGGCCTACTGAACCAAAAAGAGGCAGAGACCAGAAAACTATTAACATTTGAAAAGGTACTACTGTATGATTGGCTTAATTAAGTCAATTATGTTTTTTATATGTATGTGTGTTATCTATATATATTATTTATTTACATCAATTAAATGTTGATATCCCCTCTTAGGATTTCTACTTATCTACTGAGACTTTATGTGATTCAATTTAATCGCAATTGTGAACACAAAATAAAGCTTTGTTCTTGGTGGAAAAAGATGAAAAAATAATAAGGCAAGCCAGAAGAACTTTTTAGTAGGTGGTTACACTTGGCCACTTTCTAGTGTGACGGTTAAGTCGTGTCAACTCTCCTCGCTTGTCTCATGGCTACTCATCTAGTCTACCGGCTCCTTCTCTTCTCGGCTGGCCACAACTCTTCTGTCAATTTTGCGACAAGGCAGGCCACTCAGCGAAAGAGTGCTATTGCATTCGTGGTCATCCCCAGGTGCACCATACCTCTGCCGCATCTTCTTCCAATGCCAGCTGGCTAGTTGATTCCACGACGACTAATCATATGACACCTGATCTTGGCAACCTCTCTCTCTATTCCGATTAAGCTGGTCCCAATGAAGTGCTTATCGACGATGGGTTAGGTTTGGCTATTACTCATATTAGACACTCATATTTGTCTTCATCTCAATCGCGTTTTGGTCTCCGTAATGTTCTCTATGTGCCTGCCATCAAGAGACGCCTTTTCTCTGTTGCCCAGTTATGTAAGATTAATCCTGTGTCGGTGGAATTCTTTTCTAATTTCTTTGTTGTGAAGTATCTAGCCACGGGGGGCGCAGCTGCTACGAGGCCAGAATAAAGGCAACGTCTTTGAGATGCCGCAGGAGTCCCACCCCATTCGCCTGGCCTTAACTGCAATAAAGGCATCCTCAGCACTATGGCATCAACGGCTGGGCCACCCACACGTCAAGCTTATCTCCCGTGTTATTCGTAAACAATCTCTTCCTGTCACCTCTCTTTCCCCTACTGCTTCCTGTGAATCTTGTTCTCTTCACAAAAGCCACAAAGTACCATTTTCAATTTCTAGCCTCTCCAGCACCAGACCCTTTGATTTGTTATACATGGATGTTTGGGGGCCCTTGCCTATAATTTGTCATGATCATTTTTCGTACTATTTAGTCATTGTTGATCATTTCACTCGTTATACTTGGCTATATCCTATGTCTCGTAAATCTGATGTTCATGCCCTTTTTACTACATATACGGCCATGATTGAAAACTATTTTCACACCACTATTCGGCGTGTTTATAGTGATGGTGGTGGTGAGTTTCAAAAACTATGTTCGTTTCTTCAAACTCGTGGCATCACCCATCTTTTAACACCACCTCATACTCCCCAACACAATGGCCTTGCCGAACATACACATAGACATGTTGTTGAAACTAGATTAACCCTTCTCCACACTGCCAACCTTCCTCTTCGTTTTTGGTCCCATGCCTTTCAAACCGCTACCTATCTTATCAACCGTTTTCCTTCCTTCACCCTCCATGGTCTAACCCCATATTTGTCCTTGTTTAATGTGCAACCCAATTACCTTAAGCTTCGTGTCTTCGACTGCATCTGCTACCCTTGGCTCCGCCCCTATTCCGACAACAAGTTAACTCCTCGTTCCCGTCGTTGCATTTTCCTTGGCTATTCCATCTCATAAAGTGCTTATAAATGTTGCGACCCCACTTCTAATAGCCACAACCACACCGCCGGTCACTATCATTCACCTGCCTAGCTTGCCACATCATCCTCACGGACCGTCGCAGTCAGACTCCTCTCCGGCCTCTCCTGCTGCTCATAGACGCTCCATTGCCTCTGTCTCTGATGTGTCCCCTGCCGCTACTTCCTCTCAGCATCGAGCTCAGCCTCCTCCACCGCCGGCCAAGGCATCTCGACGTTCCACCACCCGCAGCCAGCATGGGATATTTTGCCCAAAGAAGTTGTTTGTTTCGCAGGTTTCTCTTCCCGTTGAGCCCACTTCGGTAAAGCAAGCTCTCAAAGACCCTCATTGGAATGCAACTATGGGGGCTGAATTTCATGCTCTACTTACTAATCAGACCTGGACCCTTGTTCCCCGGCCTCTGTCGCACAACATGTTTGACTGTCGCTGGATTTTTCGCATCAAATGGAAACCGAATGGCTCGGTTGACTGTTTCAAGGCCCGCCTAGTTTCCAAAGGCTTCATCCAACGCCATGGCATCGAATTTCATGACACTTACAGTCCGGTTCTCAAGCCGGTCACTAACCGGAGTGTTTTCACGATTGCTCTATCTCATCCCTGGCCGATCTTGCAGTTGGATGTTAAAAACACATTTTTGCAGGGCTCTCTTGCCGAAACAGTTTACATGGCACAACCACCGGGTTTCCATGACTATGACTATCTTGATCATGTGTGATGTCTATCTCGTGCCATATATGGTCTTCGACAGGCTCCCCGATCTTGGTATATGTATCTGACGTGTCCTTATTCATCTACAACAAAGACGGGATCACTATGTATTTTTTGGTCTACGTTGATGATCTCCTTCTCACCCGGAATCATGGTCCCTCTCTCACCAGTTTTCAAGAACGTCTTGCTGCCCGGTTCTCCCTAAAAATCCTTGGCAATGTTGACTACTTTTTGGGCATTGAAGTCCTTCCATCCTCTGTTGGGTATTTATTGTCTCAACACAAATATGTCCTGGATCTATTGCAACGCTTTGACATGGTTGGTTCCCATCCTGCTCCCACTCCTCTGTCTTCGGCCGCCAAACTTCAGCTTAATGATGGCTCCCCACCTGCCGATCCTACTCTCTACAAGCAGGCACTTGGCTCCCTCCCGTATCTATTGTGCACCCGTCCTGATATCGCGTTTGCAGTCAATAAGGTCTCACATTTTATGCATGCCCCGACTGAGCTTCACTGGCAGCATGTGAAACACCTTCACCGTTACCTCCGCGACACAACTTCTCTTGGTCTTCGTCTCTCTCCAGTCAACACCCACACTCTTGTTGCCTTTGTCGATTCCGATTGGGCGGGTGATCCTAATGATCGTAATCCACCATGGGCTACCTCATTTACTATGACGGCAACCTTATATCTTGGAAGTTCAAGAAACAACGGTCAGTGGCGCGCTCAGGTATGGAGGCTGAATACCGCTCTCTCGCCCATGCCACATCCGAGCTATTATGGACACAAAATCTTCTCCTGGAACTTCATCATCCTGTTTCCAGTCCACCCGTCCTCTACTGTGACAACCTCGGGGCTGTTAACTTCTCAGCCAACCCAATTCACCACTCGAGAATGAAACTTTTGGCTTTTGATTTTCTCTTCGTCAAGGTTGTCAACCCGCGCGGGTCGACCCGGCCCCGGTCGAGCTAGTGGGTCAAGGGTTAATGGGTCACCAGTTCTAGCCCGGTTTAGCCCAAAAATATGAAAAAAGTCATTATATTGTACTTATGCCCAATCAACACTTTTTCTTATAGTGTTTTTCTTCTTTGTTTTTAGAGTGGTGCTTTTTTGGTTTGCTAATAGTGTCTATTGGTTGCAAATGTTGATATCGTCATTACTATTAGCTCGTGCACTTTACTAATTATGATTAATTACATGACAAGTTTGCAAATCATACAAATTGATTCAACATTTTGACTAGCTTTTTTTAATTAAGTATGTATATGAGGTAGAAATAACTTAATCAAAATTATGAAAAATATTTTAAATTTGTGTAATAAAATGAGTAAGTTGGTAGCAAGTAAGGAGTAAGTAACTCGATGCGTTGTCCCGAACAACCCGCAACCCGATCCGCCCGCCCCGCAACCCGATTGAACCCGAACTCGATAAACTTGCAACCCAACTAACCCGCAACCCAATTGAACCTACAACCCGACGAACCTGCAACCCGACGAACACGAAACCCGACTAACCACAACCCGATTGAACCCAAACCGATGAACCCACAACCCGGCGAACCCGAAACCCGACTAATCGCAACCCGATTGAACCCGACCCGAACCCGACCGATTGACATCTATACTCATCAGTTCTTATATTAGATCAGACAGGGGCCCCAAATCCAATTAATGAATCTTGCCATCTGGAGAAAAAGACAAATAAACAAGAAGTTTAAGTGAGATGGGGAAAGAAGAAGGAAAGAAAGAATGCCTCAACTTCAGTGTTTTTTAATCCCTGCCACCAACAACGTCACTTGGTATTAGCAACCAAAAAGCAGTTACAAGGGTGAGGTTCGCTCATCCAAACATATTACAGCCTACTCTAAACTTACCGCCAAGCCCTTTGCGGAATACGTTGGAGTTCTTTCCACCAGGCCAATTACCATCATTTTTCAAACCTAGGAAAGTAGTAAATATAAAAAATCAATACTGTAAGAACAGTTAATGAGATTTCACATTTCAATCCCATGTAAGGTCTTGAAAACAAACCATATATGACAATAACCTGGTGCTCGTTCCTTCACTGTGACTGAGGTGGACTTCTTTGACAATAACCTGGTTCCTGCAACATTCAGCAGTCATAAGCAATCTGCTATTCTTCTATACACACAGTCAGAAGCTTTTACAAGTTTGCCATACTAACATTCGAAAATGCCCTGGCTTCCTTCTCTTTCGGCGAACTTGCTGGAAATTTCTTTTTGATGAATACTTGCTGTAAATTTCAAACCCACTGCAAACGGCAATATCCCTTTGCTGCTCTGCACACCAAATGAGCGAAGAAGGGCAAAAATCAGACTCGATTCATAAACTGGACAAGGGCAAAACCATTACTAGATAGGAAAAGTTCACAACTTTACTAGACACGAGGGTTTATAACAGATTCAAATGGGTAAAAAACACTCCAGATTCATAAACTAGACAAGAGCAAAGCCATTACTAGATAGAAAAAGATCACAGCTTTAGTGGAGAGGGAAGAATCAAAAAATTTTTGTGGAATAAGAAAAAAAGAAATACAGTGAATGAGTAGAATCATGCATATGAGTAGAATCCTTGTGTATGGCTCATGAGTAGAATCATGCTTGAGCAAGTAAGCCTGCTCATGAGTAGAAATACAGTGAACGAGAGTTCATTTTCGAATCAAATGAAAAGATGCACCTGAAGACTTGGGTTGCGGCTAGATATGTGTCTGCATCAAATTGTTCCCGCAAACTGCAGATGGACTACGGTCATAAAATGGTCTCGGAAAACTGCACACAACCAAACGCATTCAGTAGAACGAAAGCCAAATTATCGAAAAATCAATTCATAGACCCGCTCACCTGATTTCAACCAGATTTCCCAGAAACATCAACCAAGCAACCCTAGTACTGCAAGTCAAACAAATTAAGAAAAGAAAATGCCCAAAAATGGTGATAAAAAGCTGGATAGAGCAAAATGGAAAATGGCGAGAGGAAAAAGTGTAACTTACACAAGAGGCGAAGAAACGGTGAAGTAATTGAGCTTACCGGAGCGGCTTAGGATAGGGTGAGTAACTAGGGCTGCAAATGAGCCGAGTTGTTCGCGAGCGGTTCGACGTTCGACTCGGGAAAAGTTCGTTCGAAACTCGACTCGTTTACTAATGAGCCGAGCTTGAGCTTAGCCTTCTGCAGCTCGCGAGCTAGCTCGACTCGGTGGTTTGTTGAACTCAACTCATGAGCTGGCTCGTTAAAAGCTCATGAGATGTCTCAACTCTCAAGATTGTGGCTAGAGAGCCAACTCGATTACCGAGTTATGAGCGAATCGATCTATATGAGTTTGATTTTGATAATTCATAGGATTGTTAAATTATATATCTCTCTATATGAAGTTTAGCACGTAGATTATGTGAGCAAATATGTTTTATTTAATTTTAAAAAGCAATTATGTATCATAGATTGCTTTGATACTGTGAAATAATGTAATTTTCACAAATTAAAATTTATTAACTAAATAATTTGATACCACAAAGTATAACATAAAATTAGTTAATGTTGAATGCTTAACTATTATTATTATTTTCTTCATCTTGGCATTAATCACACGTATCATGTATTACATACAAAACGAATATATCACATACTAGTCAAGATTTTATTAAGCAAGCTAGCTCGCAACTCGACTCGGCTCGTTAATAAACGAGCCGAGCTCGAACTCGACTCATTTGTTAACGAGCAGAGCTCAAGCTGAGGAAAACTCGACTCGACTCGGCTCATTTGCAGTCCTATGAGTAAGACCATCCACAATGATAGAAGGGAAAAAAGGGTGAAAAGGGCGGGAAAAAAAGGGAAAAAGGGTGGAGGAGAGGAATTGGTCACAATGGGTGGGAGGGAAAAAAGGGTAATGAGGAGGGGGTTTTCTTCAAAATCAATCTAGAGTTGATATGATAATTTTATTTTGATAATTTACTTATTATTTTTATACATGTAGTATTAATTAATTAAGACGAACATTTCGATATAATTTTTTTTTAATTTGGACATACTTTTTTATCACTAATTAAATATGACGTCATCAATGACGAATCTCAATAATTTGCAGAATACTATAACTCATCACAAGTTTCACAAATGAGTGGTTCCATCAATATTTTGACCAACTTTAATCATATTGAGTGGTGTCATCAACTGTTCATCCAGCTTTAATCATATTGAGTGGTGTCATCAACTGTTCATTCAGCTTTAATCATATTGAGTGGTGCCATCAACTGTTCATCCAGTTGTCATATTATTGCTGGAGAATCTTTTCATGTTTCTATTAATGAAGGCTAAACTTTGTCAATCCATTCATCCCACCATTCAACCTTCTTCATTCTCTCAACTTCATATTTCTCTCAACACACACATATTTTTTTCATCATGAGTTCCCCTAATAGAGAAGCTAATGAGAGGCAACAATCGGATGATGATGCTAGGCAATGGGAGTATGAGTGTCAGCTTGACCGTGATCGTCAACAAATGATGGCGATGGCAGGAGCCTTCATGTTCCAAGAGCAAGCATCCTCATCTCGACATCGTTCACATTCGCGTAAAGTTGTGAGGCGTAACAGGGTAGAAGCACACCAACGCTTGATGCAACAGTATTTCGTTCCCAATCCAAAGGTTCTTTAGAAGGAGATTTCGGATGCCCCTCTCCTTGTTCAACCGAGTCATGAGTGTCGTTGTTCAACACGACCCCTACTTCCAGCAAGGCCTTGTTCAACCGAGTCATGATTTCGGATGCCCCTCTCCTTGTTCAATCTTTATGGGCCTAGTTACTTTTATGACGCTTGTTCTAAATTTATAAATATTGCTTAATATATTGCAGATAAGCTACAACATGTAAATTGTGATGTCATCTTACATAAATTTTTGTACTTCACTGTTCATACTACGTACTTTGGATGTACTTCATGCAGATTATGTTATGTTGATTTTTTTTTTTTGCCAGTGGTGTCAATTTGCTTATCACTTCAAATTTTTTCGGTGGATGACTGAGGCTTCTAGTATATTATTTTTTCCTAATTGTTGCGTTGTTGACGATAGGGGTGTTCAAACGGATTGGTTACCGTGGTAATCGTTTTAACCGGTACTATTTGGATAATTTGGTTTGGTTAATTTGGATAATTGGTTTGGTTTGGTTAAAGTATTTAGCTTGTTTGGTTTAGGTGGTTTGGTTTGGTTTCAGACACTCCTAACCAGTCAAATCAAATTAACCAGTTAAGTAATTAGTCATATAACTAACATATATTATATACACATACTTAATAATTTGCATAATCACTCAAGAGTTAAGGTTCATCCCTTTTAGACTCATAAAATATAAAGCTCAATATTGCTCAAATAGTGTATATTTGTATATGTAAAGTGTAGACCACAACATGTAGCATTAGCTTCGCGAGACACCTGTTCACGAAGGAGAGAAAATTCCATTTTTTCTTCGGCCGCAGTTTTTTTATGCGGGCTCAACGCCTTGACCAGCCGCTCTTTCGCCTTCTCTGTCGCAGCAACGTCTTCTTGGGAGCCCATACTTCCTGTTGCATCCTGTTCAAGGTTCCATGGTAGCCCAATAGAATCGCCTTCCCTCCAAGCTAAGTTGAGCGCTGATCTGGCAAACTTGCGCTCCTCACGAAGACGCGCTGCTTCTTTTTCCAGATTCCGGGCTTGCTCTTCTAATTCCAGACCTTGATCGGTTAGACCCTTGACTTCCATATCCAACTTCTCACGTTCCTCCGTTGTAGCCGGAGTTCCTAGTCTAGCTTCTGGCGCATCTCCATTTTAGCCCCGAGTTCCTGATCAAGCTTCTGGCGCATCTCTATTTTGGTCCTCAAATCGTTCTCTACAGTCTGGCGCATCTCCTTCATAAAGACCATCCGACAGTCAGCCAAGTGTGTCTTTCCGGTCAACTCTTTAAAACGGACATGAGCTTCCTCAATTCCCCGACGAGCTTCTTCCATTCTGTCCATCCAAAGCAAAGAGACTGCGACGATGGGCAACAGTCGGACAGGGGAAAGATTCAGCAAACTCCGGACGCTCGCGATCGCGGTGGGCGGGAACTGAGCGGTAGGCGGGAAGTGAGGGACACTTGAAGATCCAGTAAAACACACTGATTTCCGTTTCTTTAATCTTTACCCCTCACCGTAAAGTAAACAGTAGGATTTAAGGGTGCCCCTCTCTCTCTCTCTCGTCCTTATTTTTTATATAGAACTCGGTGCTGCCACTTGGGCCGGAGCGATAATTTCATGGGCCGCCAAACGTACTCCATCAGACCGTGACCCGATTTGTTATTTAAGAAGATCGATTTTATTTTATCATGGTTTTTAGTTGGGGGGGGGGGGTGTTTTTTTCCCCTGAGGTACGTGTGTTCGCATTTGGATGACTAAGAGGATAAGACATTTGCAAATTTGCAATCCTATTGGACAGAGTATACTAATTTGGATAGCTAATCACCTGTGAGAAGAGAATTACTGTCGGGTTTGGTGTTTCTGTATTGGACTCATTTTCGATTTGAGTTTCTCTCGGGCTTTCTTTATGGGCCTAGTTACTTTTATGACGCTTGTTCTAAATTTATAAATATTGCTTCATTTTATTCATAAATATTGCTTAATATATTGCAGATAAGCTACGACATGTAAATTGTGATGTCATCTTCCATAAATTTTTGTACTTCACTGTTCATACTACGTACTTTGGATGTACTTCATGCAGATTATGTTATGTTATGTTGAATTTTTATTTTGCCAGTGGTGTCAATTTGCTTATCACTTCAAATTTTTTTGGTGGATGACTGAGGCTTCTAGTATATTATTTTTTCCTAATTGTTACGTTGTTGACAATAGGGGTGTTCAAACGGATTGGTTACAGTGGTAATCGTTTTAACCGGTACTATTTGGATAATTTGGTTTGGTTAATTTGGATAATTGGTTTGATTTGGTTAAAGTATTTAGCTTGTTTGGTTTGGTTTCAGACACTCCTAATTAGTCATATAACTAACATATATTATATACACATACTTAATAATTTGCATAACCACTCAAGAGTTAAGGTTCATCCCTTTTAGACTCATAAAATATAAAGCTCAATATTGCTCATATAGTGTATATTTGTATATGTAAAGTGTAGACCACAACATGTAGCATTAGCTTCGCGAGACACCTGTTCACGAAGGAGAGAAAATTCCATTTTTTCTTCGGCCACAGTTTTTTTATGCGGGCTCAACGCCTTGACCAGCCGCTCTTTCGTCTTCTCTGTCGCAACAACGTCTTCCTGGGAGCCCATACTTCCTGTTACATCCTGTTCAAGGTTCCATGGTAGGACAATAGAATCGCCTTCCCTCCAAGCTAAGTTGAGCGCTGATCTGGCAAACTCGCGCTCCTCACGAAGACTCGCTGCTTCTTTTTCCAGATTCCGGGCTTGCTCTTCTAATTCCAGACCTTGATCGGTTAGACCCTTGACTTCCATATCCAACTTTTCACGTTCCTCCGTTGTAGCCCGGAGTTCCTGGTCTAGCTTCTGGCGCATCTCCATTTTAGCCCCGAGTTCCTGATCAAGCTTCTAGCGCATCTCTGTTTTGGTCCTCAAATCGTTCTCTACAGTCTGGCGCATCTCCTTCATAAAGACCATCCGACAGTCAGCCAAGTGTGTCTTTCCGGTCAACTCTTTAAAACGGACCTGAGCTTCCTCAATTCCCCGACGAGCTTCTTCCATTCTGTCCATCCAAAGCAAAGAGACTGCGACGATGGGCAACAGTCGGACGGGGGAAAGATTCAGCAAACTCCGGACGCTCGCGGTGGGCGGGAAGTGAGGGACACTTGAAGATCCAGTAAAACACACCGATTTCCGTTTCTTTAATCTTTACCCCTCACCGTAAAGTAAACAGTAGGATTTAAGGGTGCCTCTCTCTCTCTCTCTCTCTCTCTCTCTCTTCCTTATTTTTATATAGAACTCGGTGCTGCCACTTGGGCCGGAGCGATAATTTCATGGGCCGCCAAACGTACTCCATCAGACCGTGTCCCGATTTGTTATTTAAGAAGATCGATTTTATTTTATCGTGGTTTTTAGTTTGGGGAGAGGGTGTGTTTTTTCCCCCTGAGGTACGTGTGTTCGCATTTGGATGACTAAGAGGATAAGACATTTGCAAATTTGCAATCCTATTGGACAGAGTATACTAATTTGGATAGCTAATCACCTGTGAGAAGAGAATTAGTGTCGGGTTTGGTGTTTCTGTATTGGACTCATTTTCGATTTGAGTTTCTCTTGGGCTTTCTTTATGGGCCTAGTTACTTTTATGACGCTTGTTCTAAATTTATAAATATTGCTTCATTTTATTCATAAATATTGCTTAATATATTGCGGATAAGCTACGACATGTAAATTGTGATGTCATCTTCCATAAATTTTTGTACTTCACTGTTCATACTACGTACTTTGGATGTACTTCATGCAGATTATGTTATGTTATGTTGATTTTTTTTTTTTTTGCCGGTGGTGTCAATTTGCTTATCACTTCAAATTTTTTCGGTGGATGATTGAGGCTTCTAGTATATTATTTTTTCCTAATTGTTGCGTTGTTGACGAGATGATAAAAAAATAAAATAAAAAAAACCGTATCCGAAGTTGTACCGGATAAGTCAGCTGTAGGATATTTATCGTGGTTTTACCTTGGTTCAACTGCTTCATACCGCGAAAAACCACCTACCAGTTTAGCTTTCGGTAGGAGGCTTTTCTAGTCGGACCATCGATACACTACAGTTATACAAACACGAGTTATTTACTATTGTTAGGACTTAGAGGAATAAATGCCCGTGACTATGTCACTTATTCTTTTCGCGCATAAGCTGTTTTGCATTATGTCAAAACTCCTCAATTAGCATCCTATAATTTATTATAATATTTTTGCCGTAATCGACATGTTGAAAGGGTGGTTGACTTTCTACAAAGGGCAACAAGTTTCTTGGCCATGCCTGGGCGTTCCGGTCACCAGAGGCTAGAAGACTTATATCTCCAATAACATTGCTTGATGGTGGATCTATACCATCTTCAGCCAAAACCTTTTATCTCAATACAGATTTCATAAAAAATTGGCCGAACTCCTCAAAATTATTTTTTATTTATTTATAAAAACTCATCTCCAAACATCGATTTAGGGGAGAATGGACAAAATCAATTCAAGACCATTTGTTTGTGTACCCTGCCAAAGCCTCCTCCATCAACCAACTGGCAGAGAGATAAGGTGGCGGTCGTCAGGGGCGGAGCTACCTTGTTCCTTGGGGGGGGGGGGGGGGGAATTCTGAAGATGGCATGTAAAAATATCGAGAATTTTTGAAAATTATGAAGAAATTAAATATTATACAATTACCGTTCCACGCAAAACTGTTAAACTTTTCCTAGCTCTAGTCCAACGGAAAGTAGCTTTTAGTATCTTCCAGGTATTTAGGTTCAATCCCTGCCAGGACCATATTTTTGCAGTTTTTTCTCTTTTTGGTTTAATTTTTGCTTAAAATTTGAACTAATTACTTAACTTTTTCACTTCATCTTCATATATTTTCTAATTTTAAAGTTCAAACCAGATAATTAAAGATGAAGTATGCTGGTCATTTAGTATTTATTTTGAACAGACCATTACATAAAATTTGAGTTCATAGCACATGTTTATATCTTTTAATTATCTAAAATATTGCTTGGGTTTCTATAATGAATGAATTATTATTTATCTTCTTAGAAAATTTTGACGGATACTATAAAAATGTCCGGCCCCCCGATCTCTGGATCCTGCCTCCGCCTCTGGCGGTCGTTCCGCCCACACATGGCACCGGAAAACGGCTAAACTTCTGCCCCACCATTATTTTCGGTGTCACCTCTTGCTAATTTTCCAAGTTCATACTTGCCCACTAGCTCCATTACAAACTCGGGTGAAAGATCGTCTTCTTGTTGTCTCTGTCATGGAGCCATCAAATCAAACACAAGTGTCCCACCGGGTGTGCCAATTTATTTTTCGGCAAGGAAAACTATAGTGTTTGATATGAATGATTTGAACCTTTGAATTCTTCAACAACGACAAACAACACGGTTCAAACCTCTACGAACAATCTTCGAACGAGGGGTGTTTGATGTTTTGATGGTCTTTTGGGAACAAGTTAAGTTATGTTACTCTACTCCTATGGACCTTCAGTGAGAGCTCAAGAAACTACCTATGGCTAATTTGCAAAGAAAAGGTAAAGTTTGACTTTGGGCATCAAGTGTTCGGTTGTGGAACCCTTTTTCCTAGTTTTTGTTTATGCTATTTATAATCATTAGGTGTAACTGCCCTTGTAACCGCTGTTGGCTAGTTGCTTCAATCACTTCGGGGTCCTCATCGCCATCGTCTTGGTATTCACTCATATCGCATTGGGGGCCACTTGTCCCATCTTGGTAACTGGTTGGTCCTTGAAGGCCTTGATGTCGCGCCGGGTTGATGTAGAGTCTTGTCATTTCACATCTAAGTGCATGGCCTGAAGCTTAGTTTTGGGAAGCTCGTCTTGGTGCTAACTTGTCATCTCCGTACCAAACCTATTTTATCAGCTCTTTAATAAGTCCATCTCGTCGGCTTACCCTTGTTGGCTTGGTGCCTGGGCCGACCAAACTCCACCCCCAAGATTTCATACTTAGTCTTGCGAATCTAGAGATTATCCACGACGACTTGTGCCTCATCGGGTTGGCACCCTGCTAGCTTGATCTCTATACTTAGCTTTTAGAGCTTCATTAAACTAGTAGTTTGCCGCCCGACCAGCTTGTTACCCTCTTGCCTGGCTACCTAGCCTATCATGTCGGCTTAGTATCCAGACTTGGCAAAATTTCATATCTTGCTGCCAAGCCTGTCTTGCCGGCTTGGTACCTTGTTGCTTAGCTACCAAGCATGTCTTGTTTCCAGACTTAGTTTGTGAGAGCCACATATCATACAAACTAGCTTGTTACAACATAGAGGAGGTATCGGGTATGGAGACAATGGGTGTGGTCAGTCACCTAGGTCAGGGAGAGGAAGTTTGGTCACTTAGGCCCAAAAACACAACCCAACAAGGCCCAATTAGCTCATTTATTTTTAATGTCGTGCTAGCCTTACAAAGCCAACAAATTTTCTTAAAATAAACGATGTGGTACAATGTTAATATTTAGGTGTAAACAATTAGTATGACAATTCCTCTTTAATAGAATTATGGTAATTATGCATCCTATGAACTATTTTCATATTTATGTAGTAACAATATTTACAATTTCCTAACCACTGCTGGCCAGTTGCTTCAATCACCTCGGGGTCCTAATCACTATCGCCATGGTGTTCACTCCTATTGCATTGGGGGCCGCTTGTCCTATCTTGGTGACTAGTTGATACTTGAAGGCCTTGATGCCGCGTCGACTTGGCGTCGAGTATTGTCACTTCACGTCTAAGTACATGGTCTAAAGCTTAGTTTTGGGAAGCTCGTCTTGGTGCCAACTTGTCATCTCCATACCACACCTATTTTATCATCTCTTAAATAAATCCATCTCGTCGGCTTACCCTTGTTGGCTTGGTGCCTTGGCCGACCAACCACCACTCCCAAGATTTCCTACTTCGTCTTGAGAATCTAGAGATTATCCACGACGACTTGTACCTCATCGGATTGGCACCCTGTCAGCTTGATCTCTATACTTAGTTTTTTGGAGCCTCATTAAACTAGTAGTTTGCCGCCCTGCCATCTTGTTACCCTCTTGCCTGGCTACCTAGCCTATCTTGTTGGCTTAGTATCTAGACTTAGCCAAATTTCATATCTTGCTGCCAATGCAGTCAAAAGCGCGATTCTACCTAGAAGTGGAAAATGGGTAAAATCGTAAACCGTAGAATCAAAGCGTAAAAACGTAAGTTTTTTACGCATACTTTAAAATAACGGAAAATGTGTTAAGTACGACATATACTATGTAAAATATGAGTGCACATAGTTTAGATAAGTTAATAAATACCTGTAATTCATGTCTAAAGTTGAGAAACTCATAGCATTTTAACATTACGTTCATAAACATATATCTTAACCATAAGCTACCTTCCCCTCTAAGCTAGTGATTTTGGGAAGGGCCTAGTTGGTGAATTAGATTACTCTATTGAATCTAAGAATGCACCCAAGTACTTGATATGTATCTTTTAGTAAAATATAAGTATTTTCGTGAATAGAATACTCCTTTAGTGAACTAGAAGCGTAAAAGCGTAAAGCGTTTTGGTGAACCAGAAGCGTAAAAGCGTAAGCTTTTAAGCTTTAAAGCGCATTCAGTCCCAATTTTATACACTTAAGATTTTATATGGAAACGAAAGCGTTTTAGTGTTCTAGAAGCGTAAAACTGTAAGTTTTTAAGTTTTAAAGCGCGATTTTGACTGCATTGCTTGCTGCCAAACTTGTCTTGTCGGCTTGGTACCCTGTTGCCTGGCCACCAAGCCTCTCTTGCCGGCTTGGTACCAAGCCTGAATACTACAATTCCGCGGTAAAAAGTGTGGCATTGGTAACGCATTTTTTTATTGGGCCACGTGTTGTGGTGGAACCAAAAATTTACATAGGGGTGTCCTCACCTAAAAATTATAATAAATTAATAATTAAATAAGAAGATATCTGACTTGTACATAATACAAAAATGCATATGATGTGTTTTGTATTATGAAAAATTGTAACAATTCGTGTCTAATAATGCTTTACAAATCTCTCCTGATATATCCTCCTAGACAAGGGGAGTCCGTAATTGGATTTAATCGTTAGCTTCTGAAAATAATTGAGGATAAGGAATAGCTGCTTACTAGTATATTTGGATTTAAAATACAAGAACAAATGCGTTGTGGTCTAATGAAAAATATGTTTACTAATAGTAGCAACGACTCAAATTCAAATTCAAATCATATAGGGTACCACTTAAACCTTTTTATTTACACATACACAAACTATTACTAAGGTTTGAATAACTATTTTTTCAAATTTTAAGAGTGTCCCGCTATCACTTAAATATTTTTCATCATATACAAATTACTATGACGGTTGAATAATCGTGTTCCCAAATTTTAAGGGTGTTCGGGATACCCCAAATGCCACGTATCCGCCACTGACCATGTGAGGTGGCACTGGTTAAGTTTATTCAATCTAAACCCAAACCGATTGGCTCATGAGAACTGGCCCTAACCGCCAGATGGCCACACAGACGGAAAGTTATCCGTCAACTTTTTCCCATTAATTCCTTCCTTCCTTTCCATTCAACTTTTATTTACTTATTTTATTTTGTCGATATCCCTTTCCGGCGAACTCTACAAAAGGACCCTGATGCAGGGACGAAGCTAGCTCAAGCCTCAAGCAGTTTGTTTAAAATCTTGGAAATAGAAGGGGTTGGGTTCGACTCCCACATTTCCACTCTTTTTTCCATTTAACTTCCAACTTTTGATATGTAAACTTTCAAATTATTTTTATATTTTATTGAGTATTTATTCACATTTTAAAGGTGAATTTCATGTAATTTTAACCTTAGATATATCCATTTTTCAGTTTATTTCAAATTTTTAAAGGTCAATTTTATTCTCTTTCATATGATTTCAACCTTTACTATGCCCATTTTTTTAATTTATTACATGTTTATATTCAGTTTCTTTGAAAAATTCAAGGCAAATTTCATTCTATTCCTTTGAAAAATTCAAGGCAAGTTTCTTTGAAAATTTTCATTATATTTTCACTTTATTCCACATTTTGAGGTGAATTTATGTAATTCCTAAGTGAAATTTTATCGTGTTTTTGTTTTGTTCTAACTGTTATAATATATCTAAGTTTCAATTATATACCGTAAAAATAGTATGTTGCATGATAAAATACTTTCCATGAGATATATCATGATGTTTAGGTTGCACATAATTTTATTATTTTTTATATAATTTTTTTTTAGTATAATTCAAAAGTGATATTATTTTATTAGTTTGTGGCAAAAAAAATTTGTTGGCCCCACCTACCGAAAAATCCTGACTCCGTCCCTGCCCTGATGACTCCTATGTCGACGGTCCAACTCCATTAGTTGGACGGAAACTAACGGGAGAGTGACTAAATGTGACCTGTTTCAGTAATTCGAGCGACCAAAATTGATATACAATTTTTCTAGTAACACTAACGGGAGAGTGACTAAACGTGACATGTTTCAGTAATTTGAGTGACTAAATGTGACATGTTTCAGTAATTCGAGTGACCGGAGTTGGACGGAGGCGAACAGGAGAGTGACTAAATGTAACCTCTTTCAGTAATTTGAGTGACCAAAATTGATATTAAATTTTTCTAGTGACTAAACATGACACAATTTAGTAATCTCAGCGACCAAATGTGACATTTACCCGTAGGATTTTTCCAAATCCAACTAAACGGATGTATGTACCAAAAAAAAAAAAATTGTCAGTACCAAAATTAAGACAGTCTAACGATAAGTTGCCACGATAGTAAGGAATTAGGAGTTGCAGATCTCAGTTTTGATCCAAGCGAGGCTTGTTAGTGTTTCCAGAGGTATGAGGGCTCGAATTGATTGCAGTTGGCTCCTAAATTTATTAGGCCCCGTTATCACAAAGTGGCACGTGGGGCTGAGGTTTATGGGTAAGAAAATAAAATAAAAGTCTGTCGGTTATTGGTCAAAATAGGTAACCAAATCGATAAAGAAGGTTAATTATTAATCAATAATCAATAATTTTTTATTGGTTCTGTTTTAGTTAATTGTATTTTGTTTAGTGGTTAACTGCTAACTGACTAATCAATTAGTGGTTAACCAATAACCGTCTACTAGTATAACTATATAGTTTTGTACTTTGGTGTAGGTGAAAAGCTTCAAAATTGAAAAACAATCAAAGTCGCAATTCTAGACATCCCAATTCTCACATATTGCAAAAAACCCTTCACCAAGAGTCTTAAATGTGTTTAAGAATCAGAAGTCAAAACTCACCCCTCTTTCACTCCTATTTGCAGTCGATAGAGCGAACCTCACACCCTAGTGATCGTTGCTTCTTTGATGTGTTGTAAATGATGATAACCTTTTGGTGCTTGTGTTTGACCTGTTGCTAGTCCGTATTTGCCAATTGGATGAAGAAGTTTGATTTTTTTTTTGTGTTGAAATTTGGATTTAAATTATGAGTTCACGATAAATTTTGTATTGATATTATTTCTTATAATTATTATTTTATTTTAAGAATATAGAAATATAGACAAATTATTTTGAACTATATTTGTGATTATTTGTTTATTATTAAAAATGACATCATTCAAAATTTCAAAATAACAAAAGAAAAATATCACATGTAGAGATTGCTATTGATTAGTGGTTAATAAGTATATTGCTATATAAACAATTATAGCAATAATTCTTCCGAACATCCAAATCTTTATAGTATCGGTTTTTCCCAAACAATTATATTGCTATAAAAACTAATAAAATCAATAAATAAGTATATTGTTTAGAACAACATGATAAAGAAAAAACTAATAACATCCATACATTATTCAAGTTAGATGCAAAACACATAGTTTTTCTTTTCAAGTGCAAGAGAGCGGTGGAGTGAAGTTTTGGCCGAACCCACAATCAACCTAACCCTTGAATTCAAATTACCCACGCTCAACCAAAAACCATTAAAAACAAAGTTTTCACTTTCTTTATTGAGTTGGACTGATTTTGGATATGGGTTTAATTGTTACCCCTAATCTTATGCAATACCTTTAACCCTAATCAAAACTCCTAAAGGTGCTAATTGTACATATCATGTACCGCAGGAGCCAGGAGATTATTATCTAATAGATCAAACTTAACTTATCAAACCAAAATTTCCACCTGTGTACACAAAATCCCAGGTTGCGATGCATATTCATGACTCTCCAACTGGATATATACAATAGGTAGGCAAAAATGTTGTACTGGAGAAGTATGATGCGGAAGCAATTCCCAAAATACAAGCGTTGAAGCTTTCAGAACCCATCTTCTCCACCTGCTACAGCTTCATTTTCTCCATAGCACAACTAAACGGCCAAGGGCGGTTAGGCTGCTAGTAGCACCAATTCCGCGGCTCATGGTCTTGGATGCTTGTGCATATATAAACCGATGTGAAAGCAAAACATACCTACACACACATATCTCACAAGTTCCTTTCATGGGGTTCAAGCCATGGGAAACCCAAGAAATCAAACACTTCCTTCTCCGTCCGAAGTTTCAAGCTTGCTGTTGCCCTCGTACCCTGCAAACAGAATTTTCATTTGTTGAACGCCGGTAAGAGTAGCCTGCCTAAGGCTCTTGGTGAAAATTCTGAAAAATGTCAGATCAGAATTACTTACCCGTTTCCCACCCGAGGAGTGAGTAGCTGGGAATAGACCAGTATCATCAAGCCGGAAACCTTTGGACTCTGCTAGGAGCCTCAACCTGTGGACCAGTAGCAATGAGAAAGAGAGGCTCAATGGAGATGAGGAGAATGGAGAAGTAATAATGAAAAGGAAAAACCTTCCACGAATTGATAGAGTGCCAACTTACCTTCTGTTCAGTACATCATTCCCAGTCCAAGCTATGAGACCAAAAGCATATATATCTCTTGGATATACCTACAGAATGAGATCGATTGAACTAATGAATTGAACATAACGGTCGAAAAGATGATATATTAGCATCCACTTCACCTTGAAATCTATCCGGTGTCGCAGTTCTTGTCCTGGATACGTACAAAGACCAAAATATGTGTCAACACCAGAATCAGTACCCTGCACACATAAAAAGGTTCTGCACACTATGAAGAACATTGTAACCTATATCAGAACTGCAAGCATGTGATACTCATTAACTAATACGAAAAACAGCTGGTACTTTGGAAAGTTCATATATATGAATTATGATTATGTTCTTATGACAATTCCCCGAAAAGTGAAAACAGTCGAGGAAGAATAAAATTAGCATATACCTGTTCACTGTGAGTGGTGAAAACTAGATCTTCTCTCAAGAACTTCATATCCTTCAAGCGTTTCACAAACTGTGACAAAAATCCTTTATGGCTGTCCAAAAGTGAAATGAAACAAAGAGTAACAAGGCTGCTGAGAGAAAAATATCCTTTGAGAACTTTGAAAAAGAAGAAACAGAACTATACCTTTTCCCATCTGGGTGAGTAACTACAATATCCATGTCCCCACAAGATGCTTTCCCACGTCTATAAGATCCTCCACATAGAATAAGTACCTTAAAAACAAGTCAAAGCACTGATCATATAATGAAGCCTTGGATCTTGGCTATGCCTGCTGACAAAAGTAAATACATCTGATAAACAGAACATAAGAACATCTCTAAATGCCAGGCTGAAGGTGAAATATGAAATGCGAAAAATCAAGCAGACCTACAAATATGCAGATGTCCTTCCATTGAATAGCAATGGAACCTTGCTTTCTTGGGCCTTGCTTATGGCGCCCAACAGCATCTAGACTCATCTCATCTCTTCTTTTTATTTTTATTTTACAAAAATAGGAATCTAGACTCATCTCTTCTTTTTAGTTTATTTTAAAAATATAGGAATCTAGACTCATCTTTAACGTCAAAAGATAGCTGCAATATGACTCACCCCTGGTAAAATCTCTTCTCCAGTTTTCTGCAGTAGCCCTTCCATTTCTTGAACCTGGTGGTCAGTTCAAGTGAAAGATGTCAGAAGAAGCAAATGCCAAAATCCATACCCATATCTCCTGAAGTAAAAAAAAAAAAAAAAAGAACAAGCTCAATCACGCTACCTCATTGCGTGGAATTCTTGTCCTGATGTCCTCAAAGTACTTCAACCCAATCTTCTGTGAATTAGTTAATGAATCCTCGTTCTTTAGATCATCTAATGTGCGATATCCTTTCTCATACAACTTCAGGGCAGTAGCTGGACCGACACCCCAAATTTCTCCAAATAAAGTAATGGCACGTACCTGGAGTTACTTGCCACAGAAAACTTCACTAGTTAAAAGTCTGTATTAAGCCTTCTCAAGTTAATGAAAGATAACAATCAGCGATCATTCCTGAACATCTCTGCGAAGCATTTCATTACCTTCTCATCTGTTTCAAAGTGCTCCAACTTGGACAATTTTCCAGTAGTTACTATTTCCTGAATCTGCAACATATCAGCATGCATAAATCATTCTGGACATTGCTTCTGCATCACTCAATATAACATCTATAAGTAGCATGCCTTCTTCTACACTTACATGGTCCTGCAATGACTTTCCAATCCCGGGTAGACCTTTCACCTGTTCTGCACTCTCAATTTTGAACGGCAACTTCTCAATAACTGGAATTGCTTTGTAATAGCTAAAAGACCTCCGATCATCACCCAACGCTTTCCACAGAAAGTGAACATGTTATCATTCATGACAGAAATAAGTACAACGAGGGACGAAATGAGCATTCTAGCAAGATTGTGCAGGTCTTACCCCGGTAGACGTTGATAAGTTTTCCAAATATCTCGGTGATGTTTCTGTTTAAATCAGGTGGATTATACTCCAACGACAACTGCAAAACAGACAACCGATCAACTAGGTCATCCTCCACTACCTCCTCAATTACATAATAGTGAAGCTGCACAAATTCCAACTAAGTTTATCCTATATCAGTTATTAGACACTACTGCAACTTACATCCGTATTCGGACTACTATAAGGTTTCGGGCTAGTCCTTCCGGGGCTAAGAGAATAGTCTAAGCTGTCAGAGTTTCTGGGACTATCAGCTGAATCACCCTTGCTATCTGCTTTGAAACCTTCCACATCCTCGGGAATATGTCTCACCTTCTTCAGAGGAGAAGGTTCTTCACTATCCTTAGCACTTTGGGACTTATTTCTAGTATCCCCTCCTTCTGAATTGATGTCTATGCGATATGAATCCTCTGAAACTTTTTCCCCTAATCGCAGGCTCTCCTCCACCCACTGATAAAGGAGAACTCTCTGGGAAGAAAAGCAGTTTAAAAAAAAAAAAAAGATGAAGCATCAGGATTGCAGGCGTTGATTTACGGAAAGAGAGGCAACAAGCCAAGCCTAAAACTCACTCCTTTGAAGCTTTCAAGGCGTTGTTTGTCCAATTGCTTGAGAAGGGCCTCTGGGTTCATAGCAAAAATGTAATTGACCTTCTTGGACAAGTAGTCCTCGACCGTAGCCCCCAACTGCACCAGCTTCTGCTTCCAAATCTTTCGAACCCCAATAATGAAATACGAAGAAAAGCAAGAAGTTAGACGGGAAACCTTCCTGCTTCTGAGCATCCAAATTACAAAAGTTTGTGATGGGACTAAAGGAAACAAAACCTCAAGCCGGCGGGACTGAACTCCATTCGCCACCAAGAGAACCACCATTCCGGTGAACATTCCGTGTGGGTCGGTCAAGGGTTTTGCCTTAGCATGGGAAGCCCTTGGCGCCATTTTCCTACGGTCCGCACTCCGCAATCGCAACAAAGCCCAGAACAGAGTAGAATGCCAACAAAGTAGTCTAAAGAAGAAGAAAGAAGTTTTCTATTTTCACTTGTGTGTTCCAATACGGGGCAGGCTCAGTCTGCTTCCAAATCGTTCAATCCCATGCGTTGATTGACTGTCTGCCTAAAACGACGACGTCCCAGTCCCATCCGTCCGGGCAGTGCGAAGGCAAACAGTACCTCTGGAACTGGAAGGGTTTATCATTTCAAGGTTTAAACTTTTAAACTTTAAACCCCAAAAACCTAATCTTCTTCCTCTCTTGCTGCTTCTTCTTACAACAAGGCAGATGCTTTTTCTTCATCGCTCCGCTCCGATGCTCCATTTCTACAAGCTCTCTTCGTCGCCGAAGCTCCTCCTTTCTCAATTGAGAAGAACTCAGTCGTTTCTCTCTGCCCCGTCACTCTCCTCTTCGTTTCCCAGGTCATCGACTTCGCTTCGGGTTCGTCTGTTCTGCCTCGTCCAATCCAACGGCGGAGGAGTTCGGAGCTTAGCCACAGCAGCCACCGTTGCCACCGACGCGGATCGTGGCGGCGGAGAGACTTTCTTTGCCGATGAAGGCGTTTCGTGGACTGCTCTCGGCTTGTCAGACACAATCTCTCAAGCTCTATCTAGTGCCGGATTCAACCGGCCGTCTCTTGTTCAGGCTGAGTCCATTCCGTCGATTCTTTCCGGGAAGGATTCGATCATTGCGGCGGAGACTGGCAGTGGGAAAACGCATTCCTATCTAGTTCCTCTGATTCACAAGCTATCTGCTGCTAGCGGCGGCGCTGTTAGTGGTTCTGCTTCTGATAAGGGTTTCAAACCTTCCCGTGAAGTTTCTCTTGTTCTTTGCCCCAACGTCTTGCTATGCGAACAAGTGGTTCGGATGGCGAATGGTCTTCGTGATGACAATGGCGACCCACTTATCAAAGTTGCAGCAGTTTGTGGGAGGCAGGTAGTATTGCAGACTAAAAAGTTACTTCCTTTGAAGTCAGTTGAGCTCAGTTTTAGTTCCTGAAGCTGCTACCTTTAATTTTTGCTTTTATGAAGGGATGGCCAGTTTATCAACCAGATATCCTTGTATCCACTCCAGCTGCCCTTCTGAACAACATTGAACCAAAGAAACAACGAAAGATGAGCTTCCTTCGTGGAGTCAAATATGTGGTATTTGTCTCCATTTTCTCCTCTCGAACCTTGCTGTTTGCTGCAACTTTTAATTATGCATTCATCTTTGATTTTAAATGGTATTTTCTTCATTGACTGCCAGGTTTTTGATGAAGCAGACATGCTTCTCTGTGGCAGTTTCCAGAATCAAGTGATCCGTCTCATAAACATGTTTCGTCATGATGAGAAGCTTCTTTCCTGGACAGATCAACCAACAGCCGATAATGCTTCTGAATTGGACTTGGAGTCTCTGCCTCAGGATGCCTTGGAACAGGATGAAGAATCACAAGACGATTCATCTCCAGCTGACAATGAAGAAATCGAAAGTCTTTCTGAAGAGGAAGAGTTGGAAGAGACAAATGAAGCTGATGGTTCAGTCCAGAAAAGGGGTTGGAGAAGAGTTCTAAGACCCTATGACCGAAGCAAGCAGTACATCTTTGTGGCAGCTACTCTTCCAGCTAATGGAAAGAGAACTGCTGGTGCAGTGTTGAAACGGATGTTCCCAGAGGCTAACTGGGTCAGTGGAAGCTACCTTCACCGCCATAACCCCAGGTGCTCACACGAATTTCAGAGGCTCTTTCAATTATTGCACCTAGCTTGCCACTTTTGATGATGATAATGATTATACACTTGGTCTGTTTTATTTTCAGATTGGAACGAAAGTGGTTTGAGGTTACTGTAGATAGCCAGGTGGATGCACTTATAGAGGCTGTGAAACACGGAGCTGAATCTGAAACGTCTGGTGATGATGATGTTAGTCGAACTATGGTATTTGCAAATACTGTTGAGGCTGTTGAAGCAGTAGCTAAGATATTGGAAAGAGCTGGCATCGAGTGTTACCGGTACCATAAGGACGCCTCTTTAGAAGAACGCTCGGGAATGATTGATGATTTCAGGGAGAAAGGTGGAATATTTGTGTGCACTGATGCTGCTGCTCGTGGGGTTGACATTCCAAATATCTCGCATGTCATTCAGGTACCTTTCCTTTAATTCTAGTCCATATTGATTCTTATTTCTTACCGCCTTCATATGTTTCTTACATAATCATGAGAATTCTGGTGAGGAAGATACTTCAGAAGCCTAATTTCTGAAGAATGCTGGTTTTCTCCAGGCAGACTTTGCAACATCAGCTGTAGATTTCTTGCATAGGGTTGGCCGTACAGGTCGAGCTGGTCAACAAGGGATTGTTACTAGCCTGTTCACCGAGTCCAATCGAGATCTTGTTTCTGCAATTCGTGAAGCAGAGAAACTGGGACGTCCAGTGGTAATTTCTCCAATTCTATTTCGCCCGATGTTGTGCCCATTCTGTGTGAAATCAAGTGGCATTGAAGATCGTAATTAAACGATCGTCTATTGACAATTGTCTTAATGTGCTTGCAGGAGACTGCTTTTAGTAGGAAAAGAGGATTCAGGAACAAACTCAAGAAGAGAGGCAAACTTCAACTCATGTCGCAGTGAGCTTTTTAATGCTAGGAAAGGAAATATCAGATTGCAACCATGAGGTACATGTGAAGGTGTTAGCCAACCAATGTACGATGATGTTTCTCCTGATCCGCTTGAGGTTTAATTTGTGTCTATGGTTGCTTAGGGGAATGATATCTGGGTACAAATCCCTTGATATATAATGAAGCACTTTGAACACCGAGTGCAAGAACAAAGATTTGTATATGAGCTCTCAGACTTTGTAGTGAAGCTGACACATAAGAACTTTGGACAATAGTTGTGCTGCGTTTCAAGCAATTATTTATTTCATATATGTTCCTGTTTCCATTGTGAGATGGAACTTGGTATAGAAAATAAAGCGGGTGGTCATAGTAGCAGGTACTGAACTGAGTGTGTTATTCCAAATTTTTACCCACTGCAAATTGAACAGATCACCAAATCTAAATGCCTTCTTCATTGTTGTCATATTGTGAAAAATGCTATGGATTTCTGACTGTGTAATGCTTTCCTCATGTATTTGGGATGCATATTACATATTGGTGAATCCCACTTTTGGGTGGAGGTGGTTCTGGTTTAACGAAGGTCAAATGGTTTTCCTAGGGTTATGTTTCTGTTTATAGGAACCATTAACATTCTCCTGCACAGCTTCTTTATATCAACCAGGGTAATCTTTTGTCATTTTCCTATTCTTGCATCCCCACAAAATCGTCATCCAACTTATTCCTTATTCTTCTATATTCAACAATTTGGTCTTCACTCCATCATCTAACCAAAGGAATTGTGTTAAACCTAAACTTCAAACTATTCACAGGCTTAGTAGATATGACGTTCAACTGATGTACTCAACAATAGAGTATAACACACTACAACATTTATAATTTTTTTATTTCTGTTCTCTCTGACCAATAGATTGGGCTATAAGCTAGTTATTGATATACATGCTCTTGGTTGACGATTTCAATAAAAAGTAAGCATTGGAATTCGAACGCTGGTCTCTAAAAAAATATTAAAAGGTATTTTTAGCTACACTTGCACAGTTTTATGGGAAATTTGTAGACTATTAATCATATTATGGTTACATATGTGAATGTAGTAATTAAATTAGGTCAAAAGGCATACTATTTTCAAAAACAAGCAAAATATATTTAAAACTTACACATTTATTAATAATCAAATCTTTATTTTGGATTTATGATATGTGTCAATGCTTATAATGTTCTTGTTTATAATGCACCGGTTTGTTAACGAATTTTCACCAATTTGATAGCGACTAAATCGATAAAATGTAAACCGCTTGCTATACAGGTTAATATTCCAGTTTTGAAAAGTTAAGAAGTCGTTTGCTTCATGTATTTAAAATGAGAGTTTTTTAATTTAAAAATCCAAGAATTTATCAAGGATTTGAGGCATTATGGATTTGTAACAATCCTATGTTTGTTGAGATGATTTATCATAGATTGGGATTTAGAACTTAAAGTTTAAATTTCTCATACTATCCTTTTCTATGTTTATGATACATAGACAAAACAAAGACAATATGTGCACTAATAAGTATAATGTTGTCACAAGGACAATAATAATAACGGAAAAATTTCGTTACTTTTAACGTATCAGTTACCAATTATTTATCCTCCTTTTTAAAAGTAACATATAACAACATATATTAGAATCGGGAAATAAATAATTACACGTTCCATGAAAAGGCTAAAGGAAACTAGGACACAAGAAAGGGTATAATAAATCTAACTCATGCTTGTACATTAATTTAATATTTATATTATTTCTATGTTATTAATTAATTAATTATTTATAATCTACAATAGGTGACGGCAACCTAGGTAATTTAATATTTATATTATTTCTATGTTATTAATTAATTAATTAATTATAATCTACAATAGTTGACGGCAACCTAGGTAAGATCACTTCATAAATTTATGGCATGTTACAAATCCTGCATCAATATATGGAATTTACAAATAAGATACCTTCATAAATTTATGGCATGTTACAAATCGTGCATCAATATGTGGAATTTACAAATAAGAGAAGTTCACCGATTCAGACCTTTAAAATTGTGGGCCCGTGAATTTGAAATGGAAACAAATTATAGATTTTTTCGGATTTGGGTAAAATATTCATCATGAAACAAACCAACCCGAAGAATTAACACACTACCCCTTATATTATGCTAATTTGCAAGGTTATTGGGACCGAACCCATGCCTAACAATTTTCAAATCTGGAACTTTCTATGGTCATGCCTGGACGCCTGGTAATCAATATGAGCAGAGCAGAAAGGATGGGTGAACAATTGGAGGTTTTCTATGCAACAGTTTGAATCGCCTGGACTCTTCTTCTGAAACCACAGATACATACATTCTGGTTTTATTATGAACAGAACAAGGTCAAAGTACATGCACACACCATTTAACACAGAAAACAAACCCATAGGAAATCAGCCCATGTCTCCCAACTCTAAACACAGACTGGAGGGGAGTGAACAATTCAGGAGAAGCAAAACCTCACAACCTATTTGTTTGCAGCTAGCTACTAGTAGATAGCACTCCACACACCCTAAAAGAAAGCTCCAGAACCCTCAGCTCCAAGGCTTTATTGAGACTTGAGGGTACCCTACAACAGAGATGGTGAAAAGGCGAATGATGGAAGGAGGCAGAGTAAAGTTAAGGGCACTTGGGCTTGTTGCCATGGGTGATCATATCGGTGTAGCATCGGCCGCAGAGCTCTCTGTTGCCGGAAGTGCCCGGTGGAACGCAGTTGCACCTGTAGCAGCATGTGTTGCAGGCCCTCACGCACACATTCGGCCTCGAATGCGCGCTGCACCTCGCGTTGCACTTCCCCCCGCAATCTGCCTCCCCAGAATCATCATAATTTTTTCATATGAGATGAGAAGATAAAGGAAGCCCTATTAATAAGTCGACTTTTCTCAGTAACAGAGGACTAATATGAATCGGGAAGAGATCTTTTTGCCTTAGATTACAAATTCTAGATATAACAACTAGAAACAGTTCAACCGTGCATGCACCTCTGTTTTGCTTACCCAAGGACGGGAAGAGGAGGCGTCGGTTGGCGGGGTTGAAGTGAACATAGTTGCCTTTGCTTCTCTCCGCCATCCCAACTTCAGCTTCATGATCTCCTTCTGCAGAAGCCGCATGCTGCAGAGTAATGGACAACACTAGGACCGCAGTCAGAAACAGAAAGGGAGGTGAAGAAGCCATTTTGGGTCACTCGCAGCGTTTGCAGAGTCGAACTGAAGGTGGTGGTGAGAAAATGGGTTTTCTTATTCTTGCCAGGGCTCTCTTCTGTTAAGTGGAAAGTGCCAACTGTTTGTTTGTGCTATATATTACCGAGGACGGGGGACCTTGGACCTCTGGGTTTTCATTTTTTCAACCCCATGGGTCACTGTTGTTGTTCATTAATGAAGAAAGCACCCGCGGTTAATTTGCTCTTGCACCATCTTGGTGAAAGAGTGCTCACCAATCGGCGAAATGTAAGACTGATGGCCTTCACATGCCAAGAGTAAATGGCAAGAAGCCATGGACATGGTGCCGTAAGGATTGAAACGCCAGAGATGGGAGGAAGAGGACGATTTCGTTACAAATGGCTTCCAGCCACCACCACCAGCTGTAGCAGTAGTAGATGCTGTCTGGCATTACCTTTACCACCGTCTGTGGGCAGGACGACACGACGACTGAATAATCAAAAGACTTTTCTTCTTCTGTAAGACGAGAGCATCCAACTTATCAGATGGTATAAAAACCCTAATAATGCCAACACAGCAAACAGCCCCTTGTACCGCCACGTCGGTACGTGACTCATCCTTCATAATCAAGACAACTAACCCTGATGCAGGTTCTCAGTAAGCCTGCTCGACAACTAGTCTAGTGATATTAAAGCCGAGCCGAGCCGCTCGGCCCGACCGGTAAAACCGTCACCCGATCACAAAATCGGTTCGGAAGACTCTAAAAGCCGCTCCGGTTTTATATAGCGGTTGGCAAGCGGCCGAGGCGGTTAACCGTTCGAGCCGCTCGTCCGGTTTTTCCATTCAGCCACTAAATTTAATTAAAAAAATTGTAGAAAATTGAAAATTAAAATAAACCAAAAACGTCGGGCTCTCAAATTGAATCCTTATTTCCATTTCACAATTTCGAAGGAAAGAAATGAGCTCTGATTAAGAAATGTCCACTATTTATACTGATAACGTTTATTAGATACCGAGTCTTTTACGGTTTTTAAACGGTCTAATGCCGGTTGGACCGCTAAAGTGCGAGCCGTTCGATGACCCCGGTTTGGTTCTAACAACATTGCTATAAAGATTATACCCACCCCGCCCAGTCTCCTTTCTCAAAGTTTTTCTTACAGTCAACAAAACCAAAGGTAGCCTCATTCAACTGACAAAATTCCGCGTATCAAAATCCTTCACCATTCACTCCCCTGTCCCGCCTCCCTAGCTTTTTCATGAACGTTGTTATGGAAGGAAGTCTTGATCCATTCCACAATGACAGAAAGTACAGAAAAGAATGGTCCTTCCTTCCTGTGTGCTGTCTCTAGTAATTCAACTGTCGCCTTCCCCCTCACATAGAGGGGTTTAGAATACAATGTTCACTTCCTTCTCGTTCATCTCAAACACATGGTCTCTTGCATCACTCAGCGCGCTCTGCACAGTACGGAAAAGTAGCCAAGGTTCGACCCAACCAGACCGATTATAACCAGAAAACAAAAACTATGGGAAGAGGGAAGGCGAGGGTTGCTCTAAAACCTGGCCAAATTTGGTGAGGAAGTTGTTTGCAAGGTTTAGAGAGGTTATTTTGACGTCTTCGTTGGATTTCAGTGCTTGAGCAATGGCGAAAGCTCCATCGTCCTGAGCGCGGAGAGAGCAGGTTAATCAATCAGAAGCAGAACAGGTAAAACTGCTGGTTTGGTGAATGGAGGAAAACACATATACTAAGAAGGAAAGCGAATATACTCGAATCTCATTGAATCCCAGGTCGAGTTCTGTCAGGACTTCATTCACCACCTTCAAGCTACGAGCGAGGCATACTGCACCCTGCCAATATTTCCCCACATGAGATTTGGATTTAAAAAAAAAACACTTGCAATGAGAACGAATCGAATGGGAACTATCTATGTTGTGGAATGTACTTCGTCTCTCAGTCCATTTCCTCGCAAGTCCAACACTGAGATGGTATTGTTGTATTTCAGAGTTTCTGCAATGTGCTCTGCGCCTTTAGGGCCTATCTGTAGGACGTTGAAAACATAGCGTCACATGTGTAACAAAGCCATAGTCTGTGTAGCAACCTTTTCTTTTCGGGTCAAATGCATCAGGGCTTACCTTGCACCAACCAAGCTTCAAAGCTTTGACACTGCCGTGAAACTTGAGAATGTCGGATAATGCCTTTGCTCCATCCGCGTCAATGGGATTATAACCCATTTCCAGCTGAGAACAAAAGGACAGAAAAAGCACACGGAGTATGGTCAAGACCAAAATCTCCGCCAATGAACCCCAAAAACCAAGGGAAAAGAAATATCGCCAATAAGAACTCACTGTTGCGATAACAGAGTTATCTTTGAAGACTTGAGCTATTTCAGTGATCCCCTTGGTCCGTATGTTATTTCCTCCCTGCATTGTTCTCACAATTGATTCTTAAAATAGGTCCTTGTGTCATTATTTGTGCCAATTTAAAGGAAAAATTATTACATAGTATGTCTTCTCACCAGATCAATGATTGTTATACTCCGGTTCTGCTTTAAAGCCTCGGCAATTTTTCCAGCGCCCTGACAGAATTTACAGGAAACGGACAAATAAAAAGGTTCGTACTTCAGCAACTATTTGATTACTGCCATAAACAATGCTGTAAGATAGAAATACACTTCCTCAATGATTTCACTACCTCATCCCCTATGTCATTCATGTACAAGTTCAGCCAAAATAAGCTTTTGCTCTTCTTGGCGTACTCAGCAACATAAAAGGCGCCCTTTGCGCTAATTGAGTTGTTGCCAAGGTCTAGATGGGTTAGTTTTGCTGAAGAGCATAAGCGAATGGTTGTCAGAATCATTAAAGATGACCATCCGAACTGAGTTTTAAGTAACTTAAAGTATCGCGAGTGCAATCTGGCAACTGATATTGCAAAGCCACACCTTTACTAGAAGACAACCCAGACATCAAAGCACGAGCTCCTTCATCTCCAATGGAGTTTCCTTGCAAGTGAAGTTCCTGAGAAGATGAAGCCCCGCTATATTAACATAATAAGACAGAAAAGTACACAGAACTCAATGCTGCGTCTATGAAGCTTCATCAATGAAGAAGAATTACAGAAACATAAATATAAAGTTATAAACCATTACCCGCAACGACTTGTTCCCTTCTAATCCCTTGGCCAAAGCATTAGCTCCCAGTGCGCCACCGTAATTGCCACTTAACATAAGTAAGAAATGAAGCAAGATTACAACAGTGCAGCTTGAAAAATGATCATGGCAAACTACTGGTAGCCAGAAATTAACACAGGATTTGGAGGAAAAATAAAAACAAACTCAAAATACTAACTTGAGATACAAACTTCGCAAAGAGTTGTTCTCAATCAATGCTCCAGCAAGACTTGTGAACCCCTACTTCCATTTCCGAAAGTAAATAGACAGTGTCAATTTGGCAACTTTACTTGCAAATCAAGTTCTATTAATGAAATGCCGAGGAAACTAACGTACAGAATAATCAAGCATGTTGTTGTTAAGTTCAATCACACGTAAGGTTGAGTTTTTCTTCAACAAGTCAGCAATAGCTTGTCCACCCTGCAGAAAACACAAGTATACATGCAGGAGACATGCAGTCAGTTATAAATCTCAGTTATGACATCTTGGTCGTCTTCTCAGTAGATCATATAAAGGGAAAAGAAGACCAACCTCATCACCCACATCAGCACTATTCAGCTGGAGCTTCTCAATACCAGTATTATCCGCCAATATATTGCAGAGAGTCTGTTCAAAAAATAAGACGTTAAATCATAAGAGATACAAAAATAGAATGGTCGGATCCTTATTACAATGCACTTTGCAGGGGACTCTTGTTTGCCAAAACAATATCAATCTACACACAGAGGACTGCTTTGGTACCACACAGGCAAGGTTTGATTAATATGGAGATATTTGAACAATATTAATCACGAGATTTGATATCCTTCAAGACTAACCTTGGTTCCTTCATCTCCAATGGGATTTCCAGAAAGGTTCAGAGTCTTCAGAACAATGTTTGATTGAAGGACCTGGTTGAAGGCATTTACTCCTTCTGCAGTTATTCCGTTTGCAGCAAAACTAACTTCTTCTAGATTCTGAAAACCAAATACGTAAAGAGGGGGGAAACGTGAGCAAGACGGACACAAAGCACAACAGCACTTTATTCAGAAGGAGCTGATTAATAGAAATCGAACCTTATTGTACGCTAAACTCTCAGCTAGAAAAAAGAGGCCTTCATCACCAAAATTACAACCTGCCAAGTAGTTGGGAGACCAAAAGCTCGATTCACATATCTAGAGAAGCCAAAAGTGTACACACATTCACATAAGAATTAAGAACCCTACACTATCCCTGTGATTTAGCCATTAAAAGCATCAGACAAAAAAAATCAAATGGATTGATCATTATACCTGCCATGTCAACGCTTCCGAATGTTCTCAACTCTTTGGCAAATGCATTGAGCTTCTGCTTGGCCTCTTTGTCAACCTTGGCTGCAAAACCTGAGACTAAATTTGTTCCAGCAGCGAAAGACCAACTCATTCCCTTGGCAGGAGCTTTATCTTCCGCCCCTGTAGGATTTCTTGGCTTTGGCTTGAGGAACTTCTCCACCAATTTCCACATTACTGTTAGCTGAAACTTCAGTTAGCATCACTCAACTCTGGTGGACATAAAGCTATCAACACAAGTCCCCAACCACACTCCATGTAATTGACAATGACAATGCCGCACCATAAGTAAATTTAAAGATTTCTTGTTTAAGGAAACTTGGGGTGATCAAGTTCAATATAAAAAATAAAACCCAAAAGGCATTGCAATCCAGAAGCAGCTTTCCATACCAAAGGTAGCCACGACGAAGACCCCGGCAGGAACCACAAACGAAGCAATCTGCTCTACCGGAGCACCACCAATGCTACTCTCGCCTTGAGACTGCTTATAAACTCTACGGCCACGGCCAGACGTCGAGGCAGCAGCCTTCACAACTAGGCTCTTGAACCTGAAGCATCTTCTTCTCCTACAAGCAACATTCGAAGAGAACGGCAACAGCAGCGCTCCTTGAGCTCGATAACTCAACGCCGAGCTGCCGTCGGCCGCCGCTTCCAATTGAGGACCGGCCCTGCGAGCGGCGGACGGCCGAGGACCAATCTGTTGGAATTCGGAACGTTGAGAACTTGGTAGGTAAGTAATCAAAGAGAAGGAAGGATAAAACAAAGAGAGTACCTGAGGATGAGAGCACAGAGAGAGTGTGGAAGAAGAACCCATGGGCGGTGGGCGGAGTTCTAAATGCGCATATAGTGGGGTAATGGTATAATCTTGCGCCTCGTTGCCGGAGCACGGCGGAGAAGGTGGTGAGGGAGAGGGATGGGATAGAAAGCTCAAAGCCTGGCGTCTCCGGGTAGGGGGTTTCTGCTGTTTCAGTAATAAAATTCAGTCTATCGCCAATTCGCCATTAACGTCAACGACCTACACAACACAGCTGCGCTTGGGACTTGGGAGTCCGTTTTAGAGGGTCCGGGTCGGATCGTCTCGATGGGTAAATTCGGGCTTTCTATTCATAGAAATGAAGGCCCGATAGTAGCAGTCAAGCCGACGGCAACGGCCGGATTAGATGCTGATGGGCCTCTTCGGCTTCTGATTTCGGGTCTTGCCGTTACCTCCTTCCTTAACTTTGTCGTTGACTCGTTCCGATTTCTCCCTATTATTACTAGATTTTACCAGGCCCGTTGGCTGGCGAGTTTAATTTATCATTTGTATTAACTAATTTATTTACATTTTTAGACTATATTGGACGATCTAAATTTATGTTCTCGATTCGTATGTGAGTATGTGGTATGTTTATATTGAAATTTCTCAATATTTAGCACACTCAGTATGTGATATGTTCTCTTATTTGCAAAATTGTTCTCAATTTCATATGTGGCAATTCCGCCAAGATCTCTTCCTTAGTTGGGAAAATAATCCGCACGAATCGGATTTTTTGAGGAACATACCGAGGGAAGATTGGATTTGGTTAGACAATGTGTGGTTGGTAAACAAAGATCGGTTTTTTAGCAAGGCACGGAATACATCGTCAAATATCTGGACAATTCTCTCTCTTCTTTCTCTCTCTTTCCTTCACTCTAAAACAATCCTTCGAAATCACGATGGGTGTCGGCGGCGGCGAGGCCACCCAATGCATCGTCGTCGACAGTCGCCTTTGGACCTCTCTCTTTGGTATTGCGGTTGATAATCGCCTAGATTATATAGAGCTTGTACTTGTGGATGGGGTTCATCAGATTCCCCAAGATGTGCGTGATGAAGGAGCAAAACGATGGAGGAATAGTTTGGTGGGTCAGTTCATGTAGAAGCCTCCTCCGTTATGGGCAATACGAAGCTGGGCAAACCGATTCTAGGGAATAGATGGGCAGGTACGAGTATCTTGACTATGTTACCAATTTGTTCTATTTCAATTACCCTTTGAGGCTGCTTGCAATTGGGTATTTGAGGGGGACCTTGGCACGTAAGAGACAATATGTTGTTTCTTAGACGATGGGAAGTTGGGATTAGAGCTCTAGAATTGGATAATAAGGCACTTCCAATCTGGATTAAACTAATTGATTTCCCATTAGAACTTTTATCGAAGGATGGATTAGGGCGAGTGACCAGCTTAATTGGAAAATCGCTTTGTATGGATCAACCTACACGCAAAGGCTTAAAGCTAGGGTATGCTAAGATTTGTGTAGAGGTAGAGGTTGTTGCAAAGTTGATTGACCAAGTTAGGTTTGTTGTTGGAGGAGGTAGGGTCTTTACTATCAAACTTGAATACGGTCACTTACCAACTCGGTGCAAGGTATGTCAGGAATTTGGGCATGATTGTGATAGTCCTCTGGTGAGGTAAAGCGGGTATGGAATAAAAAGGGGATTAATATTGTGGATATACTTGAGTCTTGCAATATTATAGCTACATCAGATATAAATGGGGAAAGGGTAAAAAGGTTCTCTCCATCCCTCAATCACCCACTTCTGTTCTTGTTAATGTGGCTACCAGTTCTTCTCCTACTACTACTCCTCAAGAAGCTCCCCCTGTTCACAAGGTACCTAAGTTGAAGATATGGAAGGATCTCCTGGATGTTCCTCAACTAGATTTCCTATCTGCAATTAGGGGAAGGGATGTTATTTTACAACCATTGATAGAGGGTCAAAAGAAAGAGGTTAAGGGTGGCAAGGGTAGGGGTGATAACCCCATCCCTCAAGATGAATTGCCTCATTTGGAATTCGAGTGTTTTTAATGACCCCTCCAAGCACAACTATGTGCTTGATTGCTTAGGTAGGTATAAGGTGAAGCTAGGTGCTATATTGGAAACTCATGTACAGGCTAGCAAGTCAGCTGAACTCATAGCTAAATTTACTGATTATGAGGTTTTTCCCAATTATAATCGTGCCCCTTAGGGAGAATCTGGGTTTTCTAGAGGAATGAGTTGAAAGTGGTGAAAATTACTGATGGTGCTAACTATGCATATGTTAGTTATAGCAAATAAGGGACCTAGCTTCTTTTTTACAGCAGTCTATGGTTCTAATGAGGAAATTTTTTCAAAAACGACTTAAAAACGAAGAAGATATCATATGATATGCAGTTGGTAACGAGAGACAAGATTTTTTTTTTCAAAAAATGTAGATAATGGATCTCATTTTGTAAAGTACAACAAACTCGTTCCATCTGTGCAAAAAAAATTCAAATCCGAATTAAAATGAAGAAGCTATGAGTCGATTAAGAAAACAAAGGAAAATAAAATTGTCTTATTATCCGCCATTAGATTCGAATTTTCTGAATCAATGGTCCAAATTTAGTTATGCATTGTATTTGAAGCCCCAGTTTCCCACTCCTTCCGACTTCCACCCTTTCTCCACATTTAATAGGCTTAAATCTTAATATATTTTTTTTTGACAAAAGGTAATCATATATTGATAGGACAAAATAGGTAATTACATCCTGGAGGTCAGCCAGGCCTGAAAATAAAAATAACGACACATAGACGGGGACAAAGACAGGGCCTTTCTAGCTACCATATGAGCTACCCTATTGCTATCCCGACCTATAAATCACACACTAAATCCTGAATTCGCCACAAGCATCATCACCACCTCTTCCAAAATAGCCCCCACCCGACTGTCTCTCACATCTCCTTGGCAGATTTTATCAATGACCACCTTGGCATCCCCGAGAAACCATGATCCAAACACCAGTTGATAGCCTCCCGGAGGGTTAGTAATTCCACCACCATGGGATCATCAACAAAAGGGAAGTGCATCCCAATAGCCCAGAGGACACCTCCTGCCTCATCACAGACAACCACCCCTCCCGCCGAGTGCGATCCCCTACGAACATCCCCATCCCACCGACACACAGACCCCCCTGAACCACCCCCCGTCACCCCAGGTTGATGCTGGTTACGCTCAGGAGCGGGTTGATAGTCCAACGGCAGCCGTAGCCACTCATTAACATGCTGATTATACTGCCTCATTAAAGAAGGAATCCCAAACGGTTTACCTTCAAAGACAACCCAGTTACGAGACTTCCAGATCCTCTAGAGTACAACAGTGATCAGCATGAAATGAGTGGGCTGGTGCAGGATAGAGAACAATTTTTTCAGGAAGAAAGGGAACGTAACCTGAGGCAAACCTTCCCCAAGATACTCCAAACCGGACTGAGTCCATAGTGCCCTAGCCACAGGACATGTCAGGAATAAGTGCTCCATTGTCTCCATCGCATCCCAACACACCGGGCATCAGGGATGAACCGCAATTCCAAGTTTAAAAGTGCTTCCGTCGTCGGGAGGATTCTATTAAAGATTTGCCAGACAAACACCTTCAGCTTAGGGGGAATATTGGCATTCCAAAGCCTGATCCAATTCTCCCTATCCATCCAACTAACCTGAGCCCTCCACCGACCATTCTGCTGATCCAATCCAACCGCAAAGTGATACGCCGACTTCAATGAGAAGACACCATCCGCAGTGCCATGCCAGATCAGACGGTCCTCAATATTATGCCTCGGAAGGGGGATCGCTTTAATCACACTACACGTTGGGGGATCAAACCATTGGCTAAGTTTATCCTCACACCAGCGCCCTTCTCCTGAACAGATCACCTCAGCAACCTTCACCTCCCCAGCCGTCGGCAAAACCCGGGGATTAAACACAAGGGAGTAGTTGGGCTGCTGAGGTACCCAGTTCGACTCAAGCAACAAGGCCGTCTGCCCATTACCAATCTGCCAACGTAATCCCTTGGACAACAACTGACGCCCAAACAGAATGCTCTGCCATCCCCAAGAAGGACGAGACCGAGCTGTAGCTGAGAGAAAAAAGCCAGTGGGGAAGTATTTCCCTTTATAAACCTGGGCTAACAAAGAGTGAGGCTCAGTCAAGATGCGCCATCCAATCTTATCCAATAAAGCCTGATTAAACAAATCAAACCTACGAAAACCCATCCCCCCTTCATGCTTACTGCGACATAAATTTCTCCAGGACATCCACCAAACTTTGGACTGGCCATCCTCCATTCCCCACCAAAATCGAGCATATCAGTAATCAATAAAACCCTTCCAATAGCGAAAACACAAAAAATCCATCTGTCTCACTCAAAATCGCCGCCTCTACTCTTTTTCTTCTTGACAGGATTCAAAAATCAATCTTGGTCGCTCCGTTGCCTCCAGCAATAACCCGACTCCATTGCCGGTCACTAGACCGCTGCACTAACAACAAAAATGAGTTGGGGAAAATGAAACCCTAGAAGACTTTAGTGTTTCTCATTCATAGTTGGTACAAGACAAATCGTACCAGCTTGCTTTTGAAGAACAATAAACATAGAACAAACATAAGACCAGCTGCAACAACCAAATGCCAAAATGCTAGAAAGTAGGGATGGCAATTTACCCACCCATGGGTAATTTTGCCCAAACCCAAGTAGACCCATTTATTATGAGTAGGGTTTGGGTGATCTGTGTATGGGTTTGGAGTTTGTATATGAGTTTGGGTTAGATATGGATATTATCTAAATGGGTATAGGTTGGATATGGATATCCATTTACTTGAGGGTGTTTTAACTACACACACAAAAGTTGGACCTATTTGTAAAACTTGAAAAGTTTAGGCACCAAAATGTGAGACCAAAAATTTTTAGGTACTAAAATGTAATTTTTCATCGATATTTTGAGGACTTATATGCAAAAAAAATTAATTTAGGTACTAAATATGCATAACTGTTAAGTTTAGGTACCAAACTGTAATTTGCATTTGGGTATGGGTACAAATCCATATGTTAAAAACCCTACCCATACCCATCAAACTCTACCCATATCTAACATCTATTTGGATTCCATACCCAACCCAATTGGGTTGGATATTAAAATACCCATGGATATGGGTAATATTGCCATCCCTACTAGAAAGGTAAATTTTTTTGGCATTTTGGCTTTCAAAATGTGGTTTTGCTCCAACAAGCAAAGCCAAAATGCTAGAATGCCAAATCTTCTCCTTTTGTGATAATCTAGTTTAGTGTAGATTTCATCACTTTAATTAGATAGTTTGTAGAAAATTTATATACAGTAAGTAATAATTAATTAAGACAAACGTTTCAATAAAATTTTGTTAAATTTTGACATAAAATTTTATTGTTAAATATGATTTCATTAATGACAAAATCACAATATTTTGTTTAAATCGGTCATAGACACTTCACATGTTTGTCAGAATGAGTTGTGCCATCAACAGTGCTTTCACTTTCGTCAGAATGAGTTGTGCCATCAACTGTTCATTCAGCTTTAATAAGAATGAGTTGTGTCATCAACTGTTCATTCAACTTTAATCAAAATGAGTTGTGTCATCAACTGTTCATTCAACTTTAATCATAATGAGTTGTGCCATCAACTGTTCATTGAACTTTAATCATGTAGAGTTGTGTCATCATCTGGAAGATAACTTTGACCGCTATTGTTGAAGGAATCATTTCGTGCTTATATAAATGACCCTCGGAACTTGGTCATTCTACTCATCCATCTATCAGCCTTCTCTCTTGAAAAACATATTCAACCTTCATTCTTCTCTCTTGCCACTCAAAACTCTTTTTCCCTCATGGATTCCCCTGATAGAGAAGCTTATGAGAGGCAAAGGGATGCTGATGAGAGGGAAAGGGAAGCTGATGACATACAATGGGAGTATGATTGTCAACTTGATGACATGATCAGAAATTTGAGAGTAAGAGAGGTTTTAATTTGTTGGGAAGAAGATATAATTGATCTTTGATGAGAATGAGAGAAGAAATTGGAAGAGATTAGGTTGAAGTGAAGAAACATGAGGTATTTATAGAGAAATATATGAAAAAGAGATGTTGGGGGTTAATAGAGACGTTGGTAATTAATTGGGTGACTGAAACTGATTTTTTAACACAATTCTAACGGGAATAAAGCTGGCTCACACGCAGGGGGATTTTTGCGCTAAACGCCCGCCATGGATTGGCTCCGGTTCAGTGCGCGCGTTGCCTGTCTGGAAGAAAGGAGGGCCCGCCTCCCACCACATTTCTAACTTTTCTTGTATTCTTCCAATGGGTTTTTAGCCAAAAAAATTTGGCTTTTTGGCTATTTGGATTTTCCCATTGATTGTTGGAGGAACTCTTTTAGCTTTTTTGGCTTTTTAGGCTAATTGTTGGAGATGGTCTAACAACTCATACTAAAGTCTAAACATTGACAATAACCTAAACTTGATGATGATGATAACTTCCTCTAAAACTTGTCGATCCACTTTAACATTCATGGTCACCGGTTTGAGTTTTGACGATCTTTCAATGTCTCTTGTTATGCACAATAACCGACTCCATTGTTGGTCTGTCTCCCACCTGGTAGCTATTGTCGTCCAGATTGTAATCAAAAGTCATATTTTTTAGGAAGAAGATATTGGAGGAAGATTGGAGGTAGTTGTGGTAGATAGGGGAGAAGGCGGATTCGATGAGGAAGGTGTCATCGGTCGATTTGGGGTATTTTTTAGGCAGAGATGGAATCTCGACTGTGAAGGTGGCTGAAATGGTCGGCAGAGACGGAGGGGATTTGGGGTATTTCTTTATTCTCTTTTTTTCCATTTGCTTAATTATTTGATGCACGTGGGAAGCCAACTCAGCATTGTTAATTTCGATAGTTGTGACTAATAATTTGAACACTTAAAAAGTTGTGGCTAATATTTTGTATTTACCCAAAATTAAAATGAGAGCCAAACTTGCCAAGTTCGATTGGCTACTACAGTTAGGGATGTAAGTTTGACCATCAAGACCCACTAACCCGTCCCTGAGGGTCGAGACGGGTCACGTTTGACCTTGTGATCCTACCAACAATTATTGATATGAATTCCTCATGCTAACACGTGGGACAAATTTGTAAAGTTTTAAAAGTTTAGGTACTGTATTGCAAGGTAAAAAAAATAAAGGTACTAAAACTTAATTTTGCCATCAAGTTTTTTGGACCTATTTGTAAAAAATATATAATTTATTTATCAAATTATAAGAAAAAATAATTTGGAGTACCAAAATATAATTTTTTTAAAAATCTATATTTTGATTTGAGCCGATCCACTGACACATGTTGTTCTTGCCCGACCCTAGAGAATCAGATAAGGATAACAAGAATGGGACCGGTCAGTTATACAAATTAACCCTTGATGAATGCGGGATGGGTCAGTTTATACAAGTTAACCTTTCGAAAGAGACAAAAGAGGATGCGTGCCTACTACTGCAGCTGTGCAACTTTCTATGTGATGTGGCGATGGGTCCGAGTCCGAGGCTCCAAAACACGACACAGAACCGACCTCTTTGATGCGGTCCAGCTTCGCCGGAATTTTGGACGAGTTCGGAATGAAGTGGACAATAAGCGGCACCGTAACCGAACAGCCAGGTAACCTTTGAAAGAAGCCCACCATGTTGGAAACCCTATCATTCTTCAATCTTGCATTATATCTAATACAAAAATGTTATCACTTTCACCTTCGAATAAATTATTGGCCAAAACAAAATAATAAGTTGGCAGAGATGTTTATTGTTTAGTACAGTCCAAAACTCGGTTCCAGTACTGGGTGAAATCAAGGAACAAAAACAAGCATTATCAATCCTGGGCTGTAAACTGTAATGCTTAGCATCACCGGCCAACTCATGCCTTGGCCATAACGAAACTACCGATGCCACAATTCAGTATTCACCCGCAACCCCCCAGCTTTCCCACCATATATATACAGACAGCCATCTTTCACTTCTTCCACTCAAAAACCCAATTCATCATCAAGCACATTCTCACTTGACAAAAAACCCCTCCTCAAATTCCATTTATCTTCAGATTCAGACCAAGTCTTCTTCTACTACCTCCAAAGATGGCCGCTGCCATGGCTGCAAAGCTGATGATGTTCAGCGCCACCGTTGCTGTCTTCATCATGGCTGCTGCAGCTGCTGACATGCCTGGAATGCCTAACATGCCTGGAATGCCTGATATGCCCGGCATGGGACCGGCACCCGGCCCTTCGAAGAATTCCGGTGGCTTCTTCGCTCCTTCCATGGCTGTTGGAGTTGTTGCTGCTGTGGCTTCTTTCCTCTTTGCCAGGCTCCAAGTCTGAGAAGAGAGACAGAGAGAGGACTGTGGCACTCTGCCGCTTTGGGTGTTTTCCTACCTAACAGGCTTGTACTTGTTCATAGGCTATCTTAATTAATCTCTTGTGTGTCTGTGTGATCTGTGTTGGGTTTTCCTATCTATCTATCTATCCATCTGTCTGTCTGTCTATCTATCTATATTTACTGCCTGTCTGCTCTTTTATGTCATACATATGTAACTGGATGGAGATTAAATTGCATTTTGAATGTTGCTTTGTTCTAAATCTGAGGTTTTAACATTTCAAGCCTTTGCTCATTCATCAAAAGCTTTACATATGTCAAGATAGAAGTGGAAGAAGAAAAAAAAAGAATGGAAAAGTGAAGATAAGACTAACTATTTACTGATGAAAAATCTAAGAGGAAGAACTAAGAACTCGAATTTCTAGTTGAACTAGAGAGGAAAGAATGTGCAAAAGATGCATGTACAGCTGCCCCAACAGGCAAGGCATCTTCATCTATGGAAAAGTAAGGGTTGTGGGGAGGGTATATGGCCCCAAGTTTCTCATTCCTAATGCCTACAAACATGAACGAACCAGGTACTTTCTCCAAGTAGAAAGCAAAATCTTCACTCCCCATGAAGCTAGGGGACACCTTAGTATTGGATTCCCCGACTATGTCAACTGAGGCCTGCCTTGATAGCTCGTAGATCTCAGGGTCGTTGACGGTTGGCGGGATGCTGGGGTGTTCTTTTCCATCGAAATCCACTTCTGAGGTGCATCTGTGCACAGCGGCTTGTGCTCCAATAACCTGAAACAGAAAAAGAACGTTGTACCAAAAGCTTTGAGCATAGCTCCAAGATTGAAACAAAAATTTCCATGGAGGACGACGGGGCCCTGAGAAGCTCTGTTACCTCTTTGATTCTCTCCCTGAGGGCTTTGAAAGTTTCCCTGCTAAAGGCCCTGAATGTTCCCGCTATGGTGGCCGAATCTGGAATTACATTGAATGCGTTTCCTCCATTGATCATTGCCACGGAAACCACCTGCAAACGTACCATTCCACAACAGAACTTTTAACAATTGGAAAAATGTGGCTTTCAGCAGACAAACATTGCCTTGAACAAATGACTCTTCATCCCTACCTGAGAATCTAGAGGATCAGCTTCCCTTGAAACTATGTTCTGCAAGCTGATGACTGATGAAGAAGCTGCAATAATTGGATCGATGGAATTCTGAGGAATTGCTGCGTGACCTCCTTTTCCGGTGATCTTCGCCTTGAAGCTTCCACATCCAGCAAGGAACTGCCCAGGCCGGGAAGCTACCGAACCCGCATTGAAGACATGAGCTACATGAATCCCAAAAATTGCTCCCACCTTGTCTAGTGCACCTTCTTGTATCATGTCTTTTGCGCCATTCCCCTTCTCCTCTGCTGGTTGAAATATCAGGACCACAGTTCCCTGGTACCACATTTTCCAATCTCAGTTCCAGTACAAAAGAAGAAGAAGAAGAAGAAAACGCCATGTGCAGAAGTGCCAAGAGAGCCAGAGAATATGATTGATACCTGCAATGTGTCTCTCAACTGTAGGAGAACTTTTGCAGCACCAAGCAGCATTGCAACATGAGCATCATGGCCACAAGCATGCATTTTCCCATCCACCTTGCTCTTATGCTCCCATTCAACCATCTCCTGGAGGAAACCAAAACAGAAAGACTGTGTTAAGTTCTGGCCAAAAAAGTTTCACCCTTTCTTCTTATGGGTTCATCAGTCAGGAGCTGCTAAATTACACAACCCATGTCAAAGATTACAACTTTCATCATTGTATGAATCCCCACAAACTAAAAAGAAACAAAACAAAAAAATTTACAGATCCAATCCGCTTAATCTTCGAGTTATTACTCATTACAAAGAAGGACCCAATCACTATCAGAATCGCTTTCACACTCCCTCATCAACAGTAACAACTTTCTATGCACTAAAATATGCAGCGAGTGAATGAGACGCAGCAGCAAATAAGAACAGCAGAGTGGGACCCGACGTATCCCCCTAGCCGGGAGCCGAGAAACACAATAAACAATTACGAAAAAGGGATCAATCGGACAGAGATGTATGTGAAAGCAAAAAAATTTTAAAAAAAATTGAAATTGAAATTCCTTTCTCCCTCGATTGACCAACCTGGATAGGCAGAGCATCCATATCCGCTCGGAGAGCAACGAACGGCGGCTCGCCGGACCCAATTGTCGCCACGATCCCGGTCTTGGCGACCGGCCACCGGTACGAAATGCCCATCCGATCGAGCTCTTCCCTGATCAGCTCACTCGTCTCGTACTCCTCGTACGCAAGCTCGGGGTTCTCGTGAAGCTTCCGCCTCACTCGCCGCATCCAATCCACCGTCGCCTCGTCATTCGCCAGCGCCGCGATCCGCTCCTTGGCCGAAGAGTTCCCCGATTCGGGTACGGCGGAGCTCAGATGGGAGTTTAGGGGTTCAGCGGAAGTGTTGAGAAAGATGAGGAATGGAATTTGCAGCAGAAGCAGCAGTAGCGTCGTGGTTGTTGCTCCGACCGCCGCCATATGGGGTGGCCGTCGGGAGGAAATTCTTTGTAGCGGTGGGGATGGAAGCGAAAGAAGAAAAAAAAAAGCAAGTTGTGGGAGAATGTTGGTTCGGAGAGGGAGGGTTTACTTTAATATTATATACATTTAGTGAGTGTGGGGCAGGACGATGGGTTCGGTTCGGTTTGATTTTCACACGTCTCCAGCATGCGGTGGATCTACAAAAAATAATAATAATTAGTTAGCGTGGATCACGTGCGGAAAAACATTATCTCCGTTTTAGAAAGCGAGCGGATACTATGCTCATTTCAGGCTTTCTTTCTTTTCCTACTCCTACTACGACCTTTTAGACTTTAGAAATCAGTCTCTGCTATCGGCCCAATGGTATGCGTTGGCAGGTCCCAGCAAAGAGCCTCCATTACTCATGGTATCTAGGAATGGCAATAGGCAGGTTCGGGGCGGGTTTCTTGGTACCCAGACCCCCCGTGGCAGGTCGGATCCAAGTCGGGTAATTTATCACGGGTCGCGGCAGGTCGACCCAATGGGTATGCAATTTATATGAAAAATATTAGAAATATTCGTTGTTTTTATTATAAGACCAAGGAAATAAACAATATTATGAGAAATATAGTTAAATTATTGGAGAAATTGAGGTTTTCACTAATTTACGTCTTTATTATAGCTAAGATTTGATGTAATAAAAGAGAAATCCTAAGTAATTTGACTAAAATTACGTGTAATTTAGGCAAGAACGGGTCGAGAATGGGGCGGTCAGGACAGGTCGGGTCGATGAGAGTACTCATGCCCGCCCCGCCCCGCCTACGGGGCGGGTCGAACTCGCCCCAAAACAGGTCAAACAGTTCGGGTAAAACGGGTCAGGTCAAAATTGCCATCCCTAATGATATCTATGGGACGTCTGGATATATCATTTTGATTTTGTGGTATTTCGAATCGAAATGGTGCATCATTTAATTATGTGGTATTTCAATTGGAAATTTGGTAATTTCGTCAATGATTTTATTTGGATAAAATATTTAAGAGTTGTGTTATTTCATCAGTTAGATAAGGGATGAAATGAAAAATGAGGTTGAGAAATGAGTTATTTGAAATAACTAGTGAGTACAAGGTGTTTCAAATGACTTATATTAAGTTATTTCAATTGACTCATGAAATGAAATTTCACATTCTATTTTTTTTTCAAACAAATTATTTCGATCGAAATAACTAATATGTATTTACAAATTACACTACACATCACTCATGTATGATATCCTTTTCGTGGTTGGGGTGAGTGGAAAAAATCTTCCCTTCCACTTTGCGGAAGTTTACTATAGTGACGTGTTTAACTTTTTGTTTTCTATTTTTTTTCATAATAGTGTTTTACACTGTCTAGGCGGCGAACGGTGATTACTTTTGTGACCAAATATTGTTTTCTACATATATGTCAATTTCCCCCCCTCGAAGAAGCCCTTTGTTTATATTACATTTTGTCAACATCTTATGTATGGAGGATTAGAGCTCATGGGAGGCTGAATTTACTAGTTTTCTACGAAAGGTCACGACTTTTGGCTTTTACATATTATGCTAAAAGGTTATCTTGTTAATAGTGTAATGAATAGTCGGATTGTAATTGATGTGTAATGGTTAAGTTGATAATCGATTAAACCGTAAACCGTCAATTCTTGATGATCAAATTCAGCTAATTACTAATCTAAAGTTAAACGGTTAGTAACCGACGGTTCAGAAAATCGAGTAACTGATTACAACCATTCTCATAGATAGAGCAAAAAATAATAGGCCTTGAGGAGCCGCATGCATTTGCTGAAAATAATGAAATGTTTAAAGGTCTACAAGATCTCTTGCCTACCCTAATTGTAATAGTGACTTGGGTTCAAATGGGAATAATTTCAAAGAAGAGTTTTAGAAGCAACAAGTAGCTCGAGAACAATCATTAACATTTAAGCTTTCATGTAATTTGGTAGGGTTTATGAGTTGAGTACTTAATTATTGTTGGGTCTCTTATTTTTGTCTGCTTCTTTAATCAAATTTGTAGGTAGCATGGTGTTATTGTGTACTTGTGTTGGATTGTGTTAATTATGAATTGACACCTATGTTTTTTTTTTTTGGAACAACTTAAAAAAAGAGCACATACATATGGAGGATAAAATCTACAAAAATGCAGAGTTGGAAAAAGCAGGAGGTCTTACTGATCGATAATTTTGATATAACCTTGTCGAATCACTTGCTTAATGGCGATCCAGTTAATCAAGCAAATAACCGAGAACCGATCATACGGTTACGGTAACCAACTAGTATAAACGGTACAGTTAATTGACTAAACGTTACCAGTTTTAACTGAACCGACCCGATTGCCAGCTCTACTTTTACAATTTAGGATTTGAGAGGCTAATTTTTTTTCCTGAAAAGATAGGGTACAAAATCCTATCTACAAAACCTCTACAAAGTTTCATCTCTCGCCCTTTATTTCATTTTCCATCTAATGACCTAGCTTAATTCGCAATAGAAGAGGGTAAGAAGGGCGAACTGGTACTTTCGCCGCCTTTTTGATTTTTTGCACTGTCTTACACGAAATCCAAACGAGAGAGATAACTTTTTCTAATGCGCTATTTTTCTTAATAAGACCCTATAACATTTGTTTTAAATCGGAATTTAAAAAAAATTGCATAGAAAGAACCCATTAATTATGAGAAAAAATTATAATTTACACAATGATATCCATTTGCTATATTTTGAGAGAGAAAATTAACTTTTTAAAACATGTGTTATTAATAGTATTATCACTGTGAGAAATTTTACAATGTTATATAGCATTGGTGCTATAGGTTTTTGCCTTTATGGTACAACTTCAAGTTGTACCTTTAAAGTTATGGTATAACTTCAGCTTGTACCTACTATTTTATAAATTCTTTTTTTGTACAACTTGAACTTGTACCTTTATGTGATGGTACAACTTAAAGTTGTGAAGTTGTACCATAACATAAGGGTACAAATTCCTTTATAGTACAACCCAAACTTATATATTTACGTTATGGTACAACTTTAAGTTGTACATTAAAGCACACATACTTTATAACATAGTAGAAGTGCTCCATCACTATCATATTTATCATATCATGATAGATATGATAGTGGTATTATGACCCATCTCATTCATTTTAACTCAAAATTTAAATGAAATTGTATAAAAAGAACGCACTAATTAACAACTACATAATGATTTTTATTTTGTTATGTTTTGTCACACATAAATTATAGTTTGTTATTACTTTTGAAAACAAAATTTTTATATATATATTATATTTTTTAAAATTCCGAGATATAAAAATTTGAAAAGTTAGTCGTTAATTTGTTACAGTTAACTTTGAGACCACTCCAAATATGACCTTTTGTAGCCGTTACTTTACGACCTTTTTTTTGTCATTTTGTGCATCATATGTCTTTATAAAGACAATTCTTCATTTTCATCAACCCATCTGAAACTTCTTCCCATTTCTAATACAAGCACATTCATCATGTATATCTCATATAACTCATCGTTTGGAGGAGAAGAAGAAATCGAAGAGTACGAAAGGTTCAGTAAACCGACTAATTGATTACAACCATTCTCATAGATAGAGCCAAAAATATAGACCTTGGTTATGAGGTCCATGAACAACCTCAACCAATCAACTGACACATTCCAACTCTGGTTGATTACTAGGCAAGAAATAACAGGATTCATTCCTGAGTAACACATCATGCACTTCGAAATGACTTGGTTGAGCATCTTTGGAATTTGCATGGGAATAACTAGTCTTTTTTAATTGTAGATTGTATTGCATGTTTCCATATTAATTTTATTTTATGTTGCTTGGTAGTTTGTATTTCAAGTTTGGGTATGTCAGTATGTGATTGTATTTCATGTTTCAATAAAGTGTGTCTTGTAGTTGGTCCAAAGTTTCAGTAACACTAGTTTTTATTATACATGAAAATGTTCAAAGTTCAAAGAATACACATAGCATTTGAAAACAACAAATTTCAAAGATAACACATAACCGAAGTGTTAACGGAGACTAATGTTTGGTTAATAATTTGTATTTCGATAGTTGTGGCTATAATTTTCTGATTTTTAATAGTTGTGGGTAATATATTGTATTTACTAGCCATGATATATGTTTATAGTTAGGTGGGGAAGGCTCAATTTTGGAAAGAAAAATAAACAAATGAGTCATTTGGTTTCAACCAAGGATTAAAATACTTTACCAGCGGTTCGATCTGAAAAACCTCCTACCGGAAGCAAAACCGGTAGGCAATATTTAGCGATATAATACGATTAAACCATAATTAAACCACGATTTTAGCATAAAATACCCTACCGCTAATTTTTTGGTACCATCTTTCAATCCTTTAACTTTCAAACAAAACTATCATATTAGTTTCTCGAGGCATTTACAGATGATTGTTCTCAATGAGTCATTTATAATTGACTCGTTTTTTCTCCATTATCTTCCAATCATATCCCTGACCATTTTCCATAATTGCAATATTTTCCGTCATTTGATTTTTAAAAAAAAACTTTTATGATACACACTGAGTTTGTACGTTTAATGTTATTGTACAAATTCAGTTTATATCTTTACTTATCTGAATCGTACAAATTCATTTATAATACAAAATGAATTTACATTTTTATGTTATGCGAAAAATTAAACTTGTACCATAACATATATGATACATTATTTTTAAGTTGTAACATTATTTTACAATTTTGATTTATATCTCGAAACGCCATCACTTCATAGCATATTATTCATGACAAGTTGCATAGTATCCAGTGTCCCGACTACCGACCAGAAAAACACATGTTGGATGCAAAACTACAACTCCTAATAATAACCATGTGTAAATTATGCAAAACCAAATACCTTGTAGTCTCTTCAAACTCCAATCATGCGTTCAAACTTCAAACAAATAAGTGGTCGGCCGTCGCTACAGTCCAGTCCAACCAAAAGATCTGCAAGCATTGTGAAAGACAAAACAGGAAGAAGAAGAAGAAAAAAAAAAGTGAGTGGAAACTGAAAACAGACCCAGTCAACACAACGCCATTCTAAATTTGTCAACAACTGTTCCATTTTCAACCACCGAAGCCTCTCTTCCACAAACCCCCACCATTTTCATCACATTCCCACACTCCCTTCCCCCTCCCACTCGCCGGGAAACCGCCATGACGTCGACGACGACACTTCTCCCACCGCTCCTCCTCTTCCTAGTCACGGTGCTTCTTCCACCGCTCTCACATTCCCAACTCACCTACGACTACTACGCCAAAACATGCCCCAAGTTCGACGACATCATGCGAGACACCGTCGCACAGAAACAGAACACCACCCCGACCACCGCCGCGGCCGTCCTCCGCCTCTTCTTCCACGACTGCATGGTCGAGGGATGCGACGCCTCGACACTCGTCGCCGCCTCCCCACTCCACAAGACGGAACGCGACCCGAGCCTCAACCTCAACCTCCCCGGGGACGCATTCGACACGGTGGTTCGCGCCAAGACCTCCCTCGAGCTCGAATGCCCCGACATTGTCTCCTGCGCCGACATCCTCGCTGTCGCTACACGCAACCTCGTCGCCATGGTTGGGGGCCCCGCATATCGCGTCCCTCTCGGCAGGAGAGACGGGCTGGTCTCCGACGCTTCCCGCGTGGAGCCCAACCTCCTCAAGCCCACCATGCCCGCCTCTCAGATCATTGCCTTCGTCTCCAGAGGGTTCACCGTACAGGAAATGGTGACCCTGATGGGAGGCCACACCATCGGCTTCTCGCATTGCAGGGAGTTCAGCTACCGGCTCTACAACTTCAGCAGGACTTCCCCGACGGATCCTGCGCTCAACCCAAAGTACGCCGAAGGGCTGAAGAAGCTGTGCGAAAACTACACCAAGGACCCCACGATGAGCGCCTTCATCGACGTGATGACCCCTGGGAAGTTCGACAACGTGTACTATCAGAACCTGGATAAGGGGCTGGGGTTGCTTGCCTCGGATCAAGCCATGGCTGCGGATCAGAGGACGAAGCCTTTCGTCGAGCTGTACGCGAGGAACGAGACGGCATTCTTCACTGCGTTTGCTCAGGTGATGGAGAAGCTCAGCACCTACAAGATCAAGACAGGGAAAGATGGTGAGGTGAGGCACCGGTGTGATCAAATCAATACTGTAAACATTTAAACAGGCGAGATTATTAATGAAAGAATGAATATGGATGGAGAGATGTTGCCTCAATACCACGATGAATCGATGATGATGATGATGATGATGAACCACCGACGTTTTTAGAACTGTATGGTACCAATTTGGGATAGCCATCGACGCTGCTTCTGCCACAGCTGCTATGTTTCGAAGAACTGTATGGCGTGTTCCCTGCAGAACAATTACTGCCACTTTGACATATCCTGCATAAGTTGAAAACACAGAAGACAAACATAGAACTAATTCATGAGAAAAACTAAAGCTCTCTCAAGTCGTCACCCCTCTCTGTCAACTCTTACATTCCTTCCGACTCCCGAAAACAGAGCCAAATGATAACATCATAGGGGAAGCATACCAAGTTAATTTTCAAACATACCAGCATCCTGCCATTTTCAGCTTTTCAGGTAAACTACGCCAAGAACCAACAAAAAATATATTTTGCATACATTATGCAAATGTACAGGTATGGTTCTTACAATCACCAGGAAGAAGAGAGAACAGAAAAAGCCTAGGAAAGGGGAAACTCCCCACCAAAAAAAATTACATTTTACAATAACATTGAACTGTTGACTTAGCAAATTTACACAAGCCAACACCGTCGTTCACACTTCATCATTAGCCATGACAAAGTCTAGTAGGAATCATTCAGCAACGGATTATAGCCGTAGGAAAAAACTAGCAGAGCCGAATCATAAAGCAACCGCTTATGGTCGGAGTAGAAATAACTAATGCGTATCTGATTCGGCCTTCGGAATTATTCTGCAGTGACGAATCGAAGATTAGGAACCATAGTTCCTGAAACATACTTGGGAGGAAGAAGGGCAAGTTGTTGTGGTCCTTACATGGATTAGCAACTCTTTCTTTTGTCTACTTTTAAGTGGATATTGAACCATTTCTTTTTCTTTTGTCTATCTTTTGTTGAAGATTTCTTATCTTTTGCTTGTCCGACTTCATGGGTCTCCTTGAAGGAACCCTTGCTCCTACTTTTACTCATACTCCGCTTCATTGGTGGTGCCACTGTGTAGGCTGCATGAATTTCATTCCTTTGTTTTAGCAGCTCGTCAATCTGCAATGTTTAAGGCCATAGATCAGAAACTAACCACTGATGTGAACTAATGACCCCAGACAATACTGTAGAAGTCACAAACCTCTTGCATCTCCTGTGCATACCTACTTGTCATTTCTGTGAATTGCGCCAACACCTGTCAAGCTTCCAAATGAAGTCAGTGACAGTAAAACTACATTGGCAAGGACTTTAACAAAGGGACAAGTACAGACCTCACGGTATTCAGATTCAAACTTTGATACTTCTGTCCTCTTTTCAAGAATTTCAGCTTCAACAGTTCTAAGATTCTGCTTTTCTTCCCCGAAAGGTGCAGCACAAACAGCTTCTACTGTATAATTTACATTTTTGAAAAAATTGTCACCTGATACAATCACCAAAGTAAAGCAGTAAGCCTTTCCATGCATCAGAACAAGCAATAGTGGTGATAGAAAATCAGGAGATATACATATTTAACAGAGGACAGGATAAAGAACAGAAGGAAAAGGAAAATTCTAGAACTAACCATAGACGGCAAAAACATGGGTTCCAGCCTTCAATTCATTGATTTCGCACGGTTGAAAACCGTCTAGCCTCTTAAAGAAAGCAGCATCAGCATCCTTGGCAGCCGCAAGCTTAAAGGGAATAAAAAAAGACGAAGACCTTCAGCAAGCATATAAGCTGAAAATAGAAAGGCAAAATGTAGTACTCTTTCACATCACCATCAATGTACCGAGTTCACTGTTTGATCCAACCGATAAGTAGGAAACCCAAGGAAATACATTCCGGCAGATGTGACTTTTCCTGTTTTAGTGCATTCCTCCTACATTCAAAACATAAAACCCAAATTGTTCTTCAAACCACAAAGTCAAATGTTCTAAACAAGATTTAGGGAGAAAAAAGTGCTTAATAATAATATGCATGTAATTCATTTAAATAAGACTCCATAGTCTCACATCTGAGAGCACATCTACACATACAAATCCCCTGCAGACATTCTCTACAGATATAATTTATTGGCGACTTCAAACGATTCACCAAACTTACAGCATAATGATGTTTCTAAACCTTCACTAGAAGCCCTATCCAAGACATGTTCTAGGAAAAAAGTCCCCCAAACCCACAGGAGACTCAGCTCCAGTAAATGTAGCTTATTTGTCTATACCTCCGATTGGACGTAGCAATTTGTAACAGAAGAGAATTTTCTTAACGATCCAAATCTGAGCAACTGTGACTGGTCCCACACTCCCACCAACAAGAAAGATTACTGATAACCAGAAGGGACAATTTCTCAATACCTGTAAAGCAAGGCTCAATCCACGGTTTTCTTCCTGATCAAAATACAATAACTGCAAAGGCATTGAACTAGTAAGACAAATGGCCAAATCAACTGGCTGCCTGACATGTTCAAAGAATTTCTGTACAGGGATTCACGACTGCTTGATGTTACAAACCTTGAACTTGCTTTTTTCTGTTGATTGCACTCGGCAAACGAAACCAGCTTTTGCTTCCTCCTCTGAGATTGTGACAGAATAGAAGTGAGCACTTTGCTTCTCAACCTGCTTAGAAGTGTAATCTCTATAAGCACAAACCAATTTTGTAAAACTAATATCTGAACCAGGAATATATATATCACCTTGCGAGAAATTGGGCGCCCGAGTTCAAGTGGGTAAATGGGAACCACTCCATTAAGTGCTTCCTCCAATACGGTGGCAGATACTGTTGTCTTAATGGGCACGCCAAGTTTACTACAAGATGACACAAAAACAAAAATGAACAAAGATGCTTATAGACAAGCAATTCTGTAAGTAAAAACTAGAAATTACATATTGAATCAGTGATTAAATCACAAAAGCAATAAAATTACCTAAATAATGCAGCAAACATAGTGTTCACAGCTCCTAAACTTGAGAGATCCAGTTCCAGATCTTGATTTTCTGCCTCAACAGCCTGACGCAACAAAGAGGGAGCATTCATATGACCACAGTTTGGGAAAAACTTGCAAGTTACAAAATGCCTCTAACGTCAACTGAGTTGCACTGGATCAGGAAAGCCCAGGCTAATGAATCAATTTGATATACATTTCAGAAGGTACAAAGACATCCCTTGCCGGGATTCTATCACTGCAAAGGTAACATCCAACCACCTTACCTCAACACCAGCACTGTCAAATTTGATATATATTTCAGAAGGTACAAAGACATCCCTTGTCGGGATTCTATCACTGCTAAGGTAACACTCCAACCACCTTACCTCAAAACCAGCATTGTCAAATTGACGTCTTTTGTCGGGATCAGACAGTATGCTGTATGAAAATGTAACTTCATTGAACATATCAGCTGCTTTTGGATCGTTTGCATTCTTATCTGGATGGTACCTGACACACTATACCATCAGCATTCACACTTGACAAGTTCAAAAGAGAGTTGAGAATCCAAATGATAAGAAAACAAGAGGTAGGGAGACACAAAACAATTGCATAACTAAAAGTCCAAATCACCATATGCATGAATCATGACTATTAATCGTTGAGACTACACAGATTCAGTCGCTGGGATACTTCTAACATGCTTTGGATTCCCTTCACTTCTACTGCTAACCACATCAAGCTCAAACCTTTTGTTGAGATTGTGAAACTCCAAATGGGAATCTACCAACCACATCTAATGGAAGGATGGTTCTAAAGCATGGATATTTCCGTTCCTTTATACCTATTTTTAACTTTTCACCAAGACCTACCACCACCTGATCAGCAGTAAATTTATCAACCCCCTTGAATCCATAGGTAAACATGCTCTTCTACTACAGCATCAAGATTCATACGGGAATGTGCAATTACCTTGCCCTTCTACAATTCAGCCAATAGAGCAAGACGCCTCATTCATTTCAAAGTTAGCCCCTCCCTCCTACCCACCAACCCATTTATCCTAGATACAATACTAAAACCAAACTATTTGAATTTCATAACAGTTTTAGAACCGAACTCCTTGCCTCTGGAGTCCGGAGCCAAGAGAACTAAAACCAGCGCGTTTTTGCTGCCAACGGCCCCTCTTATGTAAATCTTCAAACGGATCCATTTGTAAAAGAAACAAAAGTCTTCACTTTGAATCCGAAGCTTCCATTTTCAAAACACAAAGGTAAGAAATCATTGCCCGTGTTTGACTCATAATTGACACTTCGCTGACAGAAACACATACAACATTTACAATTTCCAGTTACAAATCTTCAAAAATTCCAGAGACTACAAATTGGCCTGCTCAATTACATGCCTTCCAACGCTTACAACCAGAAAACCAAATTCTATCAACTCGTAAAAGAGAAGAAAAGACTTCCAGAACCCCAAAACATGTATTGGCAAATGATACAAGAAAACGGAAGCGGAAGCTTACTTGAGAGCCATTTTACGGTAGGCACTCTTTATTTCTTGGTCGGAAGAGTTCCTCGAGACGCCGAGGACCTCGTAAGGGTCCCGCCGGAGCTGCTTCCCGGCATCCTCCTTCTCCGATTTCGATCTGTGGGCAGGCATTCCCAAAGCGAACGTTCGACTGAATTCAAACCCCAATAGCTACAGAAGCAGAAGAGCAACAAACCCTAACAAGAATCTTCCCCAATGCAGCCCGAAGAATTTCTTAACATATCTCTCTCAATTCCCGTTGCAGTTTCACGTGGAGCAACAAAAAATAATTCCCAACGTTCAAATAAGAACGAAAAAGGCTAAAGAGCGCCAGGAAGAGAAACCCTAGAGAAGGATTGAAGGAGGGAAAGACTCCATGGCACCTCCTCCACCTGAGCTGGAGCTAATTGAGAGGGAGAGAGAGAGAGAGGGAGAGAGGAAGGCGATAATTTGCAGAGGGAGTAAGGTATCGGACAAACTAAGCAAAAGGTAGAAAATTGGAGGGGAAATTAGGTGTCAAATCAAAAATTAAATAAACCCATTTTTATAAATCTCGTATTTAAAAAATACCACTTTATCAAAATAATTAATAAATACCCTTTAGTTTGTAAAAAAAAGTTACCTTTTTTCGATGAAGGGGCACTCAACCTTTATGCATTAGTTTTTACCCTGGTAATTTCAAGATACAACTAGTAGCTCAAAGTAGGACTCGGTTGAGAAATAATGTGTTCTCCTCAAGTCAAAGGGTGCCTTAACGAAGCTAAGAAGTCGACTACAAAATTAGCCTCTCTATAGACATGCTTGAGGTGAACTTGGCAAGGTTGCGGCAATAGCCAATGAACCTCGGCGATCAGCACTTAGTGTGGATGAGCAGATGGTGCCAACTAGATCACTGAATAGCCGTCTGCGAGTCTGTCTGTACAACTCCAGCCAGCTTTGCACGGGGATGGAACCCCCCAAGGTTCACTAAGAAAAGTGAAGCGGTCATCGTCTCCCCTCATGACTCTGCCTGCTATCGTGCAAGAAGGAGAGTGAACTACTGACCCGTATGTGTTAATACTTGTCCATCCCTGAGGTGGTGGCCTCGAGCCCTGAAAAAATTTACCCTTTAATAACATATATATGTTTCTACCTCCAATCAAATTATACGTTTTACTATTAATTTTTTACAGTATCATGTCGAGAGAGTGACTTAGACCAATTGTTTAGAGCATTGTAGAGATGATAAGAACCTGAATCCAGTCTATGAGGTATTTCTCTTGTTATCTAGTCCACTTAGCACTGAATTGGAGAGGAATGAAAGCCAACTTTGTAAAATACGATGAACGCGGAAAAGAGACAATACGCACGACACCAAGATTTACGTGGTTTCCTCGTTCAAGATGAACGAGACTACTCCACGGAGAGCAAAGAGCTCTCAGCTGAAAAACTAATATGTGAGTTTTCCCTTTTGCTTAGGGTTTACAGGCGGCCAAACAAGAGACTTAAATAGTCTTCCCAAAGTAACAGGCAACGTGGGAAAGACTAAAACAACAAAATTACAAACTGATCCCTATTGAAACAACGTGTAACACTAGGGATCCCAATACTCCCCCTCAAGCGAAGGAGTGAATGTCAAGAAGTCCGAGCTTGCCAAGAAGATGACCAAACTGATCAGCACTCAGACCCTTGGTAAACAAATCAGCAGGTTGTTCCGAAGTAGCGATCTTCCGAGGAACAATGTCACGAGACTGAACTCGTTCACGCACAAAATAGCAATCCATCTCCACATGTTTGGTCCGCTCATGAAAAACCGGGTTAGCTGCAATGTGAAGGGCAGCCTGATTATCGCAAAACAACAGAGTGGGCTCCGAAATGTAAACACCTAAATCACGGAGAAGCCAGCGCAACCACAGCACTTCGCTGACCGTACTCGCCATAGATCGATACTCTGCCTCGGCCGAAGAACGCGCCACAACTGTTTGCTTCTTCGTGCGCCAAGAAATCGGAGAAGCACCAAGAGTAATAAAGTAGCCTGAAGTAGAACGCCGAGAAAGAGGGCAACCACCCCAGTCGGCATCACAGAAGGCAGTGAGAACAAGAGGGGTAGACGCCGGGAAGAAGAGCCCTCGACCCGGGGTCGACTTGAGGTACCGAAGAACACGTACCGCAGCTTCCTCGTGTGGCCGAGTGGGGGCCTTCATGGCCTGACTGAGCAAATTCACCGAATAAGTGATATCCGGTCGTGTGACCGTGAGATATAACAATCGCCCAACGAGTCTACGATACGCACTAGCATCCGCTGCGGGAGGAGACTCATGGCGCCCCAAATGATGCTGTTGCTCGATAGGTGTGGGACTAGGCCGAGCCGCAGTGAGGCCAGAGTCAGCAAGAATGTCCAAGACATACTTCCGCTGATTCAAAACAATCCCTTTAGGGGAACGAGCAACCTCTATGCCCAAGAAGTACTTCAGAGGGCCAAGATCCTTAATAGTGAACTGTGCATGAAGAGAGTCCTTAACCCGAGCAATGAAAGACAAGTCTGTGCCAGCGAGTATCACATCGTCAACATAAATGAGAGCAGTCACATAAACAGAATCGCGACGATAGACAAAAAGAGCATGATCCGCGCGACTCTGAACAAAACCAAGGGCAAGAAGAGCCTGAGTGAACTTCTGGTACCAATTGTGCGAAGCCTGACGAAGCCCATATATGGATTTGTGTAACCGACATACACGAGCATCACCAGGGCGAGCAAAACCTTGCGGAACAGTCATGTACACCTCCTCATCTAAATCACCATGAAGAAAAGCATTATTCACATCGAGCTGATGAATATGCCAATTACGAGTGACTGCAACTGCAAGGAGACAACGAACGGTGACAAGTTTTGCCACAGGAGCAAAAGTGTCATGATAGTCAATGCCCTCAACCTGCGTGTAACCTTTGGCAACAAGTCGAGCTTTATAACGCTCGACGGTTCCATCAGGGTTAAACTTCACCTTGAAAACCCAACGACAGGCAATACTTTTCTTCCCAGGAGGAAGATGGACCAAAGTCCATGTACCATTAGCGATTAATGCATCAATCTCCCTTTGCATGGCATCACGCCAATGCTTATGACACACCGCTTGATAAAAATAAGTGGGTTCCTCTGCCGCAGTAACGGCGGCTACAAAAGCATGATGCGCCTAGAAAGACGATCATAGCCAAGATAGTCCTCAAGAGGGTACTCTACTTCAACCGAACCCCCAAAACCTGGTAGATCAACATCATACCCACGCAAGCGCGTGGAGGGAACTCGGGCGCGGTCACCACGACGAGGAAGCGGAGCTGCAGTGGGAGTGGGAGAAGAGGACGAGGGTTGGAGGCGATCAGCTGGACTGGAAACATCCTCGACCTCAGGAGAAGGGGAGTCCGCTGCTGTCGGACTCGGAGGGGAGGCCAAGGAAGGAGAGTTCACTTCTCGAGGGCTCTGGACAGGCGAAGTAGGTAACACAAGAGGCGATGATTCCACTGCAGGAATAGAAGGGTCGGGCAAGGAGTCATCATCAAGGGACGATGGTACCACACCAAAACGTGGCCGAGACACGGCTACCGGAGTCAAGAGGGTCTCATCATTAACTGCATGATAAGGATAGACGTCTTCCAAAAACTTAACATCCCGGGATGTATAAATCACATGCTTTTCAAGGTCATAGATGCGATACCCACGCTGATTTGAGGGATATCCTAGAAAAATACCTGCACGTCCTCTCTCCGCAAACTTGTGGAGTCCCTGATGAGTGTCTTTGGCATACGCCAAGCAACCAAAAGCTCGAAGATGATTATACGAAGGGTCACTGCCGAACAAGACCTGATATGGAGACTTGTTCGCAATACTAACAAGGGGCATTCTGTTGATGAGATAAGCTGCAGTTAATACGCACTCGCCCCAAAACTTGAGAGGCAGGTTTGCATGGAAACGCAAGGCTCGCGCGGTGTCAAGCAAGTGTCTGTGCTTACGTTCCACTACTCCATTTTGCTGTGGAGTATCAGTGCACGAAGTCTGCAGAACAACCCCATTTTCTTCATAATACGACATCAAAGCCGTAGTAGCAAATTCAGGCCCATTATCCGCTTGAATACGACGAACCTGCTTGTCAAACTGAGTACGAACCATGTTGCAAAAATACATCAAATAACGACCAACATCTGATTTATGACGCATCAGGAAAACCCAGACTGCACGAGAATAATCATCAACCACTGTCAAAAAATAATGGGCACCAGTAGTTGATGCTGTCTTATAACTTCCCCAGATATCAATATGAACAAGATCAAAAACCGACTTGGTTTTAATAGTACTAGAATCAAAAGGATTCCGAGTCTGTTTAGCTCGTAAACAAGATCGACAAGGGTCTAGAGACTGAATTAGAGGATAATCAATGAACTTCTCCAATGTACTAAGTTTTGCCGAAGATGGATGACCCAGCCTGGCATGCCAAGTATCCGCCATGCTCAAAGAATGCCGAACCGAGTGCGCCACTGGATGCTCCCCATCAAACAGCTTAAGATAGTACAGCCCGTTCACCTGCTTACCCATCCCAATCAGCCTCTTGGATGGTAAGTCCTGGATGACACATAAGTTACCCAAGAAGATTAAAGCGACCAGAAGATCCGCTGTCAATCTACTAACAGAGAGTAGATTACATTGAAATTCAGGAACATGTAGAACACGACGCAAGCATAAGTCATTAGATAATTTGCTTGTCCCAATGCTACTAACTTTAACTCCTGTCCCATTAGGAATTTTGACCTGTAGAGTTGGTGAGGAATCCAACTCATCACACAACAACGAAGCATCATTAACGATGTGTTCAGTACATCCTGAATCAATTAACCAAGCAGAGGAGTTACCAACAAACGTACCTGCCATGTTTGACGAAGGCTCAAGAGGAGAGGACTGGCGCAGATCATTGATCAACAATTCTTTGAGCTGCGCAAATTGAGACGAGGAGAGACCGGGAAGAGGACTCGAAGTAGCGTCCACCTGGGCTGCCTGTGGCTTGCTGCCTTTCTCACTACGGCGCCGAGTTTGATCACCCTTCTCACCACTCTTCGGCGGAAACCCGATGAGACGATAGCACGTCTCCCTCACGTGCCCAGTACGCTGACAGTGCGTGCAACGCACCTTGCCATCGGAGTCACGCTCCCTGTCCTTTTCTCGATCGCGATCCCGATCGCCGTGCGAACTCGGACGATCCGAACGACGGTCGCGATCTCCTTGTCGCTCCCCCTGAGTCTGAAAAACGGCTGCCTCTGCTCGCGGTCTTCTGCTCTGGGAGATTTGACGCTGCTGCTCATCATTGATGACAAGCTGGTAGGCTTCTGCGAGAGAAGGTGCAGGTTTCATTGCAAGAATTTGGGATTTTACGGTGCTGAACGCATCATCCAATCCCATCAGAAAGTCAAAAAGCCGCTCTCCTTCTCGCACCTCGCGTTGACGACGTTTAATGTCGCAATGACAGCCTGCACAAGTACAATCAAGAGAGGGCATAATCGCATGAACCTCATCCCAGTACCCACGCAATTGAGTGTAGAAAGCCGACACCGACATCTTCTCTTGCTGAAGACTGTTGATTTTCCGCTTCAGATCATACAGTCGAGACGAGCTTCCTTGACTAAAACGCGACTGCAAGTCCACCCAGATTTCTCGAGCTGTATCCGCAAAACGCACGCTATTTCGAACTTCTTTCGACATGGCCGTCTTCAACCAGCCTTTAACCATGGCATTACAACGCCTCAAAGCATCTCTTTCAGAAGAATTCGTAGCCTCCGGAAGAGAGCCATCTACAAAACAAATCTTGTTCTTAGCCACCAACGAATCGGTGATGTCCACCACCCATTCGCCATAGTTAACGTCCGTGAGCAGCTCTCCGACAAAGAGATTGTTGGGACTCTCGGACTGGTGCAGCATGAGATGCGACGGCAGCCCACTCTGTCCATCGTCGAGCACCGACTTGAGCTTCGATTGATCAGCGCCCGACTTGGTGGATGATTCGTCGTTTGAACCCATGATTCAACCTGTGATCATCACAGCTCTGATACCATGTAAAATACAATGAACGCGGAAAAGAAACAATACGCACGACACCAAGATTTACGTGGTTTCCTCGTTCAAGATGAACGAGACTACTCCACGGAGAGCAAAGAGCTCTCGGCTGAAAAACTAATACGTGAGTTTTCCCTTTTGCTTAGGGTTTACAGGCGGCCAAACAAGAGACTTAAATAGTCTTCCCAAAGTAACAGGCAACGTGGGAAAGACTAAAACAACAAAATTACAAACTGATCCCTATTGAAACAACGTGTAACACTAGGGATCCCAATAAACTTAATAAAATTGGATTGTGCAATTGTCTAGGAGCATTAGAGATATGATAAGAACCTGAATCCAATCTATGAGGCATTTCTTTTGTTACCTAATTTGCTTAGCACTGAGTTAGAGAGGAATGAAAGACACATTAAGAGCATCAGACGGTGCAATTGTCTAGAGCATTGTAGAGATGATAAGAACCCGAATCTAGTCTATGAGGCATTTCTCTTGTTATCTACTCTACTTAGCACCGAATTGGAGAGGAATGAAAGACACCTTAATAGAATCGGATTGTGCAATTGTCAAGAGCATAGAAACATTGATAAGAACTTGAATGTGATCTATGAGGTATTTCTCTTATTACCTACTCTGTTTAACATTGAATTAGAGAGGAATGAAAGACACCTTAATAGAATCAGACTGTGTATGCATATCTTTTATAAATGGGTTTATGTGCTATATTTCAAGACCAATTAGATTGGTTCTTATGAGGAGCCATAACTAGGTTCATCAGTGAGGACCAATGAGCGTAGACCTTATGCATTTGAAAGGTTCAAATTCATTACTATGACACCATCATTGATGTGCACAACAACATGTTAGCCCCTCCGTCACTTACTTGTCCATAGGTAACAATCCAAGTTGTCGAGAGTTCTAGTCTCTAAAGGACCCATCATAGTGTATTTTCATTTGAAAAACATTAGGTGGTGGTACAAGTTTTTGTCTTGAAAATGTTGCCTAGGGCTTCGTTTGAAAAAGTTATGTAAAATCATATAATAGAGTGTAAAGTTATGATCATCTGAAATTTCAATCTGTGTTAGATGAAAAACTCTGGGGCGCCAGCAATTTGGTTGGAAAAACTGAGGGGTCCACAACTATTTAGTGAAATCGCTAGGGATGACAACAATTTTCACTCAATAGTTGTGGGTACCAGTGATTTGTAGTGAAAACATGACAGAATCCAACGAGTTTGCAAAAGATAAGGCATGTTGCGAAATAGTTATATTTGCTACGTATGGAAGTAGGTTATGACTTTCATTTTATTGGTAGGATAAGCAATACGGTGACACATTTAGTAGCTAAAAATGTTTGGTAGGTTCGACTTTTGTAATAGACTTTTATCAGTTATGTAAACATTGTATCTTGGTGGTTTTGGTAATCCCAATGAGTTATTGACATAAAAAAAGATTTCTTCTTATTTTGGTGTATATTGGAAACTTTCCAGTTTTGCTCATAAATTTCTCAATAATGATAGAAGAATTTTTATCAATAGTTTCAAACAAATTTGATAAATACTTTAAACAAAGTTAATCATAACTATTTGGTGTGAAATTCACTCATTCAATTGGTCATTCTTATACAATTTATTATCAATATCTTATAAGACAATGAGGTGGTACACACTCAAAATTAGGGGTATCATAAACACTCTCTTAAAATAAATTCATTGTCTGAACTAGAGAACAAATTTCTTTCGGAGTATCCAACTAAGCAATCATTCATTACTTATAATGGAAGCAAACTTGAAAGAGGCCTAATGGCAAGGTCCAAATTTCTTTCCGTATAGTCATTATGAAGTCATTTGAGAATTTTCACTATCAACCTAGGGGACGTATGAATGAGAGATTTCAGCACAATCTCTCATTCTCTCGAATTTTGAACAAATCACTCTTTTGCTTAAGATATAAAAAGAAGAGGGATTTTGAGTTGTAGGGTTTTAAGAACCCACAGCTGATGGATTTCAGAATAGTTGATCCCAACTATTTTAAAATTTCACACGTTTATTTTTTTCTTCCAATGTTCTCTTTTAATTTTGGTAAAACCCAATCATTACCCATCTTCTTCACATCTTCCATCCTCTTCTCCAGGCAAAAATAACGTCTACGAATCAGCCTGAATGAGGTTTCCGTATCAGTTTCAACCCTCCCATATCAAATCCATCACACGTATGATATTCTAGGAAAAGGGTCAAAACTCGAGATATCGAAACAAATGACAAACATGAATCAGCCAAACCGGGAGGAGAAGCTCAACAACTATGGAGGTGCGTAATAACACTCCGTTTATAGTGTTTATCACCCTCACATTTGATGTATTTTACCCTTCTATCAATGCATATTTAGGAGTTTTTACTTAATTTCCTATAAATATCAAAACTATTTGATCAATGAGCTTTTATTAGACATGGATTGTATTTTTGTATATTTTTATGCATTTTTTGTATCTTTTATTTTTTGCATTTCAAGGTAAAACACAACCTAGGATACTTTGGATCAAAGCTTGGACTATTATGGAGGATCAAAGGAGGTTTTTCACCCATAAGACGAAGCCTAACGGAGGGGATCTCTTCTGGAAGTCTCAATCAGAGCCCAAGAGGAGCCCACTGGAGAAATGCAACCCAATTTGAAGAAAGAATAGACGACGACCACCAAACAAGTCCATGTTGCAATGCAAATTGCATGAAGAGGTTACTTGGCCCACAAGCAACACAACCCCAGAAGAACCAAGGTGGCGGATCCCACCGCCATTGGGCCGCCACGGTGGGTCAAAGTTCTATAAGATTCTAGAAGCTCCTGCTTCATCTCAAACTCAAAAATTCGAGATCAAGTCGTACAGGGAAGGTTTTAGGTCGACTTATGGGAGAAAATACTAGAAAATCCCCTCTTGTAACTAGTATAAATAGGAGCTTTGGCTAGAGGCTTTAAACAACTTATATACAGATCTTACAATGCCCACACTAGCACTCTGCCCTTGGGGCACCAGTTAGAGAGTTATAGAGGGGAGAAGAAGCCCTATTGGATGTCGACGAGGAGGTCTTCACCATCGATGCGAATCTTTTGTGTGCTTTTATATGTTTTTGTCTACAATATCATCAAGGATGTTAGGAAACTATTTTCTTGTGATATCCCATTGCCTTGTGTATGCTTGTTTAGTTGGACACGACTATACAAGTACACATGGGATCAATGATTTATTTTGTAGATCACCAATGCTATAAACCTTATGTGATGGCTCAAGAGTCATACACACAATTAAGTGTTATCTTCTCTATTTTTAATTAGATAGTTGATGGCATGAAGCAAAAGCACATATTAGCTAACTATGTTCATCTCGCATGTGATGAAAGCTCGGTTTGGAATGCATTTGTGGAAGGGTAGGGTATCATAATAGATGAAGCATAGAAGTATTTTATTGATGAGATTGCACACATGATTATAAGCACTACCTAAACAATAGTTTTATTACTTTTTTGTTTTGTTTCTTGCTTTAGTATATTAAAATTTCGATCAAGGGAACCTCAACCCATCTTGTTTACTTTTCATTGCATTGTTATCTCAAGCATAAGTTGTTAGTTTTAAGTAGTAACTATGGAAAGACCTTGTGGAATAAGATTCTAGGCATTTATAGGATTTTTATAATTGATGTTTACTACAGATAAAGCTTTAGGCGCTGTTGTTGGAGAATTTTTTGTGGTAGTTGAAATAAGCTAACCTATTGTGTTTGATTGTTATTGTATAAAATGAAGAAAAAAATTATGCTCTAATTGGTTTTGTTTTGCAGACTCAATCTAAGAAATTCATTACAAATTGTACAAGGTCATGATACAAAAAAGAAGAGCATCGCTCTAACAAAATGATCATCAAGGCATCGAAACCTGAAGCAAGAAGCACCCCTTACGTACCATGCATCAAAATAAGGTTCAATTGGGACGATGAAGATCGAGAAGACAAGAAGCTATATAAGAAGATGTGTGGAGATAATCCAAGTGGCAATGAGATGAAGCTGGTTTCGATGCGTCGAGGCAAGAAAACAGTGAAAGATCAATTTAGAACCTCTAGCAAAAATCAATAATGAAGATCCAAAATAGCTACTGGAAGATGTTCAAGATATCAAGGGTCATCCGGAAGCCGATAAAGGATTACTCAATGAAATACACCAAGAATATGGAAACATGATAGAGTATGAAGAGGACAATCGTCTTAAGGAAATCCCATTATGAAGAGGAAGAGTTGCTTGCAACTCAAACTTCAGAAGGAGAAGAAGGTAACTTATATGAAGAAGGCTGCAGTATTGAAGAACTTACACTAATCCATACCTTGTTGAAGGTTTTCACACCACTTGAAGATGTTAAAGGCATCACACCACTAGAAGGTTTCAACAATTCCTACGCCTTCTTCAATCTGCATCCTCAATCAAGCCACCTACAAGAGCATCCTTCACCATTGGAAACATTCTAGAGGGAGCATCCGAGTTTGATGACCCCCCCCCCCCCCCTCACCTTATATTCAATGTTTAAAACAATCCTTGGAACCCCATAGACCTTGAACATGAGGAAGTAGAGGTGGAAGTTTCACCCAAAAAACCAACCTCAAGTGGAGCATAAAAAGGAGGAGCCACAAGGGGAGCAACCAACTCCACCTATCCATTAATCAAAGATGAATCCTAAAGAACAACCTCAAGAAGATCCCGGAAAGTGCATAAAGACCAAAAAATATATATATAAAGATCAGGAGCTTCAAGAGAAGTCAGTAATCGTAAATGTTGATGATCAGACCAACATGACATCCAACCAAGGAAGCAGGCATGACACCACCATTATACAAGAGATCTTGGGGGAGTTAGATAACGAAGGAAGATTATCTAACTCAATAGAAGAAACTTCAAGCCACACTCAACTTGAGTTAAACTCAAGTTGAGAAAAAGAAACCGGTGAAGAGTGCAACTTTCATCTCGGAGAAGAAGTGTCCTTTAAATCGCCCTAAGCAACGATACATAAAGAGCAGGTTGTGTTAATCCCACCTACTATAGTCTCCACTTGAGCCTCCAACGATAAAGGTACATGAACAACCGTTTGATAGACGATGATGCTCCAAGCATAGAAGACCCACGAGTTGAAATTGATGATCCCCCTCATGGCCTCCCTACATCTTTTCTCAAACTTTAACAAAACCCTAGGAAAACATAAACTTTGAGAAAGAGGAAGAAAGGGTAGAGATTAAAGAATCCATCATTTCAAAGGAAACTACTGGTGTAGAAGTTGTGAATACTGTTCCCGAAGTTGGAAACCGTGAAGAAAACTGCAAAATCGTGGTCGAGATACATCATAGAATCGAGCTAGAGCTTTCTCGACTCCTTGAAGTAGATCCATTTGCAACATTTTTAGAGAGTCATGTGAACGTAGTGTCTTATCTAACCCAAATAGGGGAATATATATGAGTCCCTCCTTGTACTGTTACCTCTATAAAATTTACAAATTAAAGTGTGGGTTAAAAGGTGCAAGGTTGAGACTAAAGTAGCATTCTCTCCATGATTCATCATTAACCAACAACCCAACCGCACCCATCTGCTACCCGCCCAACCCAAAAATCATGTGAGTGGATGATGGATCACAATTTTAGCAACTCATTAATGAGCGGATTAGTCAATTTGAAACCAAAATCCACCTACACCCACCCTTACCTCCGCAAATAAACAAAACTACAAATATAGATTCACATCATTGAATGAAGAATGAATCCATAATAATAAGGACTATAAAAATTGTATAACATACCCATAATCAAGAACAATAATTTTATTTGCCTCCTGGAATTAGGGATGACAATTTCGACCTGACCCGATTTATCCGACCTGTTTGACCTGTTTTGGAGCAGGTTCGACCCGCCCCATAGGCGGGGCGGAGCGGGAATGAGTTTCTCTCATCGACCCGACCTGCCCTGACCCGCCCCATTGTCAACCCGTTCTTACCTAAATGACATGTAATCTTAGTAAAATTACTTAGGATTTTCCTCTTGTTACATCATATTTTAGGTATAATAAAGTTGTAAATGAGTGAAAAACTCAAATTCTCCAATAATTTAATTACATTTTATCAAATTTGGGTCGACCTGCCCCGACCCGCGCCCCATGATAAATTACCAGACCCGGACCCGACCTGCCACGGGACGGGTATGGATATCGAGATACCCGCCCCGGACATGCACATCGCCATTCCTACCTGGAATCAAGAAAATAACTAAAAAGTAATCCAATAATCAAGAAAAGCATATAAAATTTGTAAAGCATATCTCATGACAATTTAATCTGCCTCCTCGAGTGAAGTTGACACTCTCAGAATTTACGAGGCAGATAAAAACAAGAGGCATATATCTATCTTAATGAGATTTTGGTTTGTCACTAGCTGTAGCTTGGATTATGTGTTTGTACTTTGATAAGATAGAGGTAAGAGGAGTGGTTTAGACTTTAATAAGTTAGATGGGGTGGTTGCTTCGATGCTAGGCAAGCCAAATACTCAATAATAAATACATAATGATTTGGACGTGTTAATTTTGATTGTAATCATCTATGTGTGTGTATGCGGGAAGTGTTCACTCCATGCATTTGGCGTCATTCGCACCAATTCTAACTATTAACATTTAAGACCAACCAACCAACCTCATTTTTTTCTTTATGTCCTAGTTTGTTGTTAGCTGGTTCCTCGTTTTCTATTGATTGGGTCAGCCGATTGGGTCCTATAAATTCTTTCCATACTATGTGGCGGATTTTGAGATGGTGTTTACGGGCAGTGGCGTAACCAAAAAAAAAATAAATCAATTAATATGAATTTATTTATGAAAAGTATATATAAATTAATTAAACAACATACTGATATCATATAAACCAATCTGGCGCCGTCCGTGCTTACAAGGACGTTCTCGACGTGTGATTCAACACAACTAGACTACTCTGCAATCACGTTTTCACATGTGCATGTGAGAACCATAGTTGTGTTGTGTTGCTAGCTTTCCATGTCATGACCAGCGACGGATCCAGGACATAGTAGTGCACTGGGCCGCATTTCATTAGAAAATTAAATACTATAAAAAAATTATAGTTTTTTTTACAATATCAATTGTATACGTCGATCTTTTAATATAGTGAAGTCATCAATAATGGGAGTGTACATCCATACCAATAGCATACTAATATCCCTCAAATAAAATAGTTTACCAATCAGCAAGAAATTCATCGCTCATTTTGTTAAACAAATCATATTTCACCTGTTCCATTGTTGAAAAGGTTTTCTCCATAGTAGCTGTCGAAACGGGCAATGTCAATACTAGACAAATCAATCGACTAATCAATATGTATTGTGTGTTCATCCATATTTCCACAAGCTGCTCTAGTAAATTTTCAAGAGAGCAAACCTCAGTTCTTTTAGTCCTTTACGTTTTAGACTCTTAGAATTTTAGGTTACATTGTTTGTTTTTCTTTAGAAGAGAATCATTGAAGCTAGAATTTCTAGGCTAAATTTAGAGTTGTGATATGATTATGTTCATCTAACCCATTTTCTCAATTACACACAATCTTATTATAAAATAACAATTGGCCGAATGACTAAAATCGATAAACTTATAAAGACTATACTAGCTCCGGATCCAGAGGAGGGCTGGGCCGTGGCCCGGGGTGGCCACCCGCTAGATCCGCCAGTGGTCATGACTAACAGATTTGTACCTCTCCTAGTGATCGGCTTAACGAGAGCTTGGTTATATTTCGAAATCACAATAATGATGTCTTTAATCATAAGCACAAGACCCAAACAAATGGTTGCATGACACAAATATAAGTGCCACATTCCATTGAACAGAAGACCTGATATGAAAGGTTGTTCAGAGGCTTTGCACTTCAGAATCATCGCCAAATCCATGGTCCTGCTAAATCCAGCAGCAAATTCCACAGTGATATGTTTTTTTTATCATGTAACGCCGAATCTAGGAAACCATATTGACCTTGCTTCTAAAATAAGTTCCATATTTTTCTTATAACACAAGCTCTTTTTCAAGTTTAAAATCTTGGATGCCTAGACCACCTTTCAATTTCGACAATACAACTATAGACCAGGAAATTGGAGCACGCTTATTATGACTTATGAGCTCCTTGTTCTCCCACAACCCCACAAAAATTTAATGTAAATCTACAAATCCTCAACCTACTTCAAAAATTTCATCGGCAAAAAGAAAAATTGTCATCCAGTATAGAAGAACACTAGTAATAACTGATGAAATCAATTGCAGATGTCCATCATAACTAAAATAACGAGGCTACCAACTCCTAATCTGAGCTGTAATCTTGTCAACCAGAAGTTGCCTGCCTAGAGAACTTAATTTCCATGTGATCAATGGGAACCCTAGATACTTAACTGGTAATGATCCAATAGGGAAGCCATTTGATCGTGATATAAACTCATGTTTCGCATTTGAAATTCCAACACAAAAGAGAAGACACTTTGCCATGTTACATTTGTTATGGAAAACGATTCACAAAAGTATGTTACTTGCCATACAAGTAATATATAGAAATCGACACATGCATAAACAACGCCCGAGCCAATAGAATTCACTATTTCTCCTTAAGGAATTTAGTTCCCCTCTACGGTACCCAAGGTTATTGGAACTATTCCTCCCAGGATAGAACGGACATACCTTTTCTGGCGTACCGGTACTTGAAACACCAGAACCCGACGAACGCAACGATCGGAGAGAAGTCACACGACTCTGTTTTCTTTATGATTTTGTATAGAGGAAATGCAATGAAAAATTCTTTTATCTTTTGGCCAGAAAAATTTCTTGGGAAATAACTTGTGTCGAAAACATAGGGGTAGGTGTTTATTTATAGACAATGAAGGGGTGCGAGTGAAGGGATGTGACCCTTCAAGTGGGTGGTTACACCCCAACCATTGCAATGGTTCACACAAAAATGCCCAACCATTGCATCGGTTCGCCATAGTAGTTGGACCGGTTGGTTCATTCCAACCGTCACATCGGTTCGGTCCGATTTGGTTCAACTTGGTTTAACCAATAACTCACCAACTATTGGCTTCTTCCCCTTTCATTCTCATTCACACCTTTCAAATCCCAACAACATTGAAGACCCGAGACACAATAGCACCTTTCCAAAAACCTACGTATACCAGCTACAACCCTCACAGAACCATTAGAGAATACTAATATGTCATCAACAAAGTACAAGTAAGTTAACTCAAGTGCTTTACACATGTGGTGATAGGGAATTTGACATTCAACTATGAAGCCATCATACAAGAGAACACTTTCATAGCCACTATGAAAAGGTAAAGAGGGAGGGAATCTCCTTGCCTAAGTCCCTTACCAACACAGAAGAATCCACATAAACCACTAGTAAATGAGACACTTAGCATTGGGGTGGTTACACAAGTTTCTACTAGCCTTTAAAGCTTTAAAGAAACTTTCAGTTCATTGAGTCAAAGCCTTTTTTTAAGATGAATCTTCTGAACACATCTAGGGTTTACAGATTTCTTATGGTATTCTTTTACAAGTTTCATAATATATGCATGTTGACCAAGCATACACATGCTAACTAAGCGAGAAGAAGATGAGATTAAGAAGGGCAAATTGGTCAAATATAGAATTTGAGTGCAAATACCTCATCAATAATACTACTACTTATTCTATATAAAAAAATAATACTACTACTTATAATCCATCCAAACATAATACTTTGTACAAACACCACATAACAAATAACATGCATTGCGACCAGGGGCGGAGCTAGAGCAGGCCAAGGTGGGTCGGTTGCACCATCTTGGTTTTGCAACACCTGGGCAAGTAATAGGCTTTTCAGTTCTGCAGACTTTGGTTTCTGTTCATAATTCATACTCTGTTCTGGGTCGAAGCTTGTATAAGTAGCTGCTTTGATCGAATAACATAAAAAGGAAGCTTGCTTTTGTGTTTGATCAATACGTCAACGTTTTAAAATTACTTTAATTGACGTGAAAGTGGGCTTACATGTTACATATCACTTTAAGTCTTTAACCCTTATTTTTCGTTGAGCTTGCTAAAAAAAACAAGTTTCTCTCAGGTTTGTTGGCTTAAGTTTAACTTTAGTGGCCCATTAGCTTCTCTTTACTACACGTTTTTTACAATAACTCAATTAAGGTTAGCTTAGTAGTTAGATCACATATGAAGTTGTGGACATGGGCTATTAGTGCATAGGCAACAATTTGTAGTACGTAGGTTAGTAAGTTAATTGGGACTTGGGAGTCTGTCTCTTGGATGTTGCTGATTTGGGTAGGTTTACTAGAACGGTTTGGCGGTTGTTAGGTTTAAACATTAGGTTTTTCTAATTATATAAGATGTATGTTCCGCGTTAGTTCGAAATTAATCAATCAAATAATAAACAAAAGTTTTTTTGACGGAATTAATAAATCAAATAATAAACAAAAGGTTTTTCGACGTCTACATCGTCTCTTACTTGTCAGTTACAGGCAAAATCATTGAACTTGTGGGTGCGAGTTCATCAAAAGAAAGATTGTTAAACTCATTTGGCAAGCTGAGGTCAAGATTAAACTTTCATTAATTTGTTTTGTTCAACAATACCCAACATATGAGTCAATGACGTCGCTTGCTGTTCATCGTTCACAGAGACTCGCTCCACTGTTCGACCCACCTTAGTGAAATTCCTTGCTACGCCCCTGATTGCGACATGTGGTATTTGTGTGATAAGTGATCTCAACTCAAATAACAAGTTTGACAAATACCATACCCAAATGTCCCATTAATGATCTAGCTTTATATGTCTCCCAAATACGGTTGAGGCTAATATGTGATAAATGGTAAAACCATGCATGTTTGATTGGTTGATTCAATTGTTAAATTGTGTTTTTATGCCTATAAAGTATAACTAGGAACAATTAATTTTAGAATGACGTTAGTTGTCATTATCATTGTATTTTAATGATCATTTTTACTTTTGGTAAAATAGACAAAAAGAAATGCACAAGCAAATTACATATGCAGAGACAAAGTACAGAAATGCACAGGGAAAATATAGAAATAGAACAGACCAAAAAATAGGCCCAAACCAATTTGGTTTGAACGGATTTCATTAGCCATCCGACAAGAAGAAATCAGCTGCCTTCTTCCGTTGTGGGCCAAATAAATCGAAAGGGCCTGGTTTGTCTTTGACCCATGGGGATACGGTCATAAAAAGATGGGCTGTTTAATTCCTTACAATGGCCAGATTACCTCAGTCCTCAAGTAATATATTGGGCTGCCCATACAATTGGGAGCAGCAATTAATTAGCAGGAGAGCGGCCTAACCTATTTTATTTTATATATGTTTTGGGCGTCTAATACTAATTGATCAAATTAGTTAGAAACTTACCTTTATCTCATATTTTAACTATAGTAAAATTAAAAATATGCGAGAATCTCATTTTCTCGAATAATTTAATTATATTGATTGTATTCTAATTTATTTTCTTGATTTTTAATAAAAAAATGAGCATTTCTAATGTTTTTCGTTAAATTACATAGTCATATATGTCTACCTGCTCCAACACGCGCCACATGATAAATTACGCGACCAAAACTGAACCAGTCATGGGACGGATATGGATATGGATGACACTTTAAGCCCGCCCCGTCGGGTATACCCGACCTGACCCGCGATATGGCAGGTATTACCCAACTGGGAGTAGCATGAGACAGGACATGAGTATCTACTTTTGTCCCGTCCTGCCCGCCCCGCCCCGCCCCGTTCTTGGCCCATTCTATCTCAATTCTTATAATACCTATTCATATTTCTCCTATTTTGGTTTTTCTTCAACTAGTTAGACTTGATCTTTCAACTAATTAGACTCAAATACTCATTCTATTATCACTAGTTTTCATCACGAACTTTTTTTAGATGAATCTCATGTGGCTGATAAACATAATATTGAAGTAGTGTATAGAACTATCAGAGAGATTTTGCAGGTGAAACATCCAAATATTGTGTTTGATGGTGATTTTTTATAAACATTAACGGTAATTACTAGGGGAACTTGAATAAATATTGTAAATTCTTCTATCAAAAGGTCGTGTTTTGTAGTCCATGTTCAAAGTTTTGCAACTCTCTCAAAATATGTGATTGAAGAATTCTGTAACACCCATCCATAATTGAAACCATTTTACAAAACCATATTGATTAAAACCTTTCACAATCCCGTTTAGTTTACATCCCAAATCATAATTTACAACTTTCAAGACTTTAGAAACAAATGACAATAGAGGAGATCATCTTCTCTCAATCTGTATAAAACAAGTCATGTAGGAGTCCGAGTCCACCATCCCACCTCATGGATGTCGAACTGAGCCTTGTTGAGTTCCCTTGACTTCTAGTCCTAAACTTTCAATCTGTGGAAAATTTTGATGGGGTGAAACGTCACCTCAATGAGTAAAAGCTAACCTATCAACAATATCAACACAAACATAATATCCGATTAAGTCCAACCCCGTATTTAACCTCTTATTTCCATAGATAATCATTTCCATTAATCATATTCCCAAAGCATTCCACATATGGAACCATCTCTAATTCAATAATCAATTATGCACACACATGACACACTCGTACACATACAAATACACACATTGGGGTTAGCTAGATTTCGTGTCTTTTAGCCTTTAAGTTGCCAAGTCATATACTTCCCTGGGTATCTCGCAACTTTTCGCATAAAGTGTCGGACCGGTCGGACCCTATATCATTTCGCAGCTTTTGGTACCATGTGCCGGGCCGGTCGGACCCTATATCACTTCGCAGCTTTTGGCATCAAGTGTCAGGCCGATCGAAACCTGTATCACTTTGCGGCTTTTGCCAACAAGTGTCAGGCTGGTCAGACCCTATATCACTTCGCGGCTTTTGGCATCAAGTGCCTTGTCGGACCCTATCACTTTGCGGCTTTTGGCATCAAGTTCGGCCCGGTCGGACCCTATCACTTTGCAGCTTTTGTTATCAAGTGTCGGGCCGGTCGGATCCTCATATCATAGAGTACACAACAACGCCTTTAAATTTAATTAAGGTGATTAGACAATTCTTTAGTTAGTCATAGAACAAGTAGCATGCAATATCATCAATCATTTAACACATATCTATTCTCGTCTTCATAACATTCACATAATCAAATTCACCATTCCATATAAGCACATATCGCCTTACAGGCTTTCTAGTAATCATTGGATAACCCTTCAGGTCGTACATTATTCCCCCATCGCCTCATAGGCTTTTCAGTACTATAATATCACATTTTATGCCATTTCATGTCACATACACATTTCATTTCCCATTCATAATCATCATCTATCATGTTTCACACATATCATCACATAGGCATACACACATCACATTCACCCATCATTCATCACATATCATTTCATTCACACACATATACTCATAACCATCTATCAATCTCACATTTCATGTTGCATATTCGGGTCGCGCGCTTCATGACCCAAATACTATATTTGTATCATACAATTAATAAGTCAGAGTTTATTCACTATTTGCTAATCCGCAACTTTGAGGATTTCCCAGATAGCTCACTCGGTGGCAATTAGGATCCAAATCCATGAATCCAATCCATCCACCAAATTATCCACCTAATCCAATCCATTTAAATCCAATCCATTTGATCAAAATCCAATTGGATTGGTGGATTCATGGATCAATCCATGGATCCAAATGGCAAATTACGATTGGTACTTATATTTTTATATTTTACATTTTGGTACCTAAAATTTATATTTTTATACAAAAATATCATTGGAAAATTACGTTTTGGTACCTAAAATTTTCATTACGACATTTTAGTACCAAAACTTTTCAAATTTTACATTTTGGTCCAAGCCTTTGATGTCATTTGGATTCATGGATCAATCCACCTATCCATTAGATCCAATCCATTTGATCCATGTATCCACCAATCCAATCCACGAATTCGATCCAATTGCCACCTCTACTCACTCTCGGAACCTTATAATCCCTTTTTGGGTATCACCACGGAGGGAAAAACCCAAGTTAGCTCTTTTGGTCTTCTGGTCTCCAGAGAACTCAAGAACTCCTTGCTCTCCTCTTAACCCTAGAGTTAAATCTAATCCATTCACAAGCCTACCACTACACGTGTGTTGCTATGTGGCAAGGAGTCACTTTATGGCTTAACAAATTGAAGGGGAAATTGACAAAGGGAGTAAATATGCCCATGTTGCTCTGTAGTCCTTAGGAATCCCCTAAGTCAAACTAGTTTAGGTTGGATGATTTAGTTGAATGTAAATATGGGTAGGTGGGGTGGCAAAAATCATTATCTTGTTAGGTGGTTTATAATCAAACTTAATATGATACTCCATTCCCCCTATTCGTATCGATTATTGTAAACATCATGCAAGGTAAATCTATCTTATTTAAACATCTTGATACTTAAATAATGTGTTTTCAATTAACCATGTCATTCATATGTAAATCTTTATAATAAGAATAGACATACATGTGACAATTTGATTACGAGGGAAATATGATCACAAGGGAGGCCATTATCTAGCTTAGAAATTATTTCTAAGATTACCAACATTGCATACCTCTTAAATTTAAGTACGTAAGATATTACCTAGTGTTCTGTTAACAATTTTCTTAAATGGCACTCTAAGTCTCTAACTAATCAATACTTGTAATCTCATGTCCAAAACATGATACTAATGATACGTATATTACGCTCCACATGTAGGAGGGTTGTGACAAATTCAACAAATAAATTTTGGAGAGAGATTAGAGTAGCTAAACAAAAAGGCAATCTCCATTCGGACAAATATTATTGTTGTTCAAGTTGTAGATTAAAAAAAAAAAATGAAAACTACTTCTTACTTTATGGGTTTGTGCGTATATGGAAAAACATTTATTTGTAAGATTATTTGTTTCAAACTAAGTCTGATAACAAAATACTGTTTTGCTTTGCTTTTTCAATATTGGAGCTTTGTTAATGGTTGGATGTGGATCAACTCATTCTCGATTTTATATCCCAATAGATTGTGATTCAAAATCGACATGTTAGTGGATTCAAAATGCCTCTCTTATTATTCGTGATGAAGCTCATGTTGCCAATAAACATAATATTGAAGCAGTGGATAAAACATTTAGAGACATTTTGCATGTGAAACATCCAAATAGCGAGTGCATGATCTTTGGATGAATTTCTATTGTGTTTGCTGAATATTATCGACAAGAATTAACAGTAAATACAAGGTGAACTTAAAAGATATTGCAAATTCTTGTATCAAAGATATCAAAGTTTTGTAGATCTCTCAAAATATGGGATTGAAGAACTCAATAAAAGAATTTTGGAGATAGATCATGGAGTGGTTACCCAAAAAGGTCAATCTTCATAGGAACAATTATTATCGTTGTTTACAGGGAACGGCTAGGGTCCTAATTAATCTTATATGAGTTAGCACATTATTAACTACTCCGATCACCGTTCATTGGTTTTAAGTTGAATCTAAGGGTGTAAAATAGTGAAGGGCATATTTGGTATTGAAATTAACTAATTAACATTTAAAATCCCTCTCTCACGTAAATTATATACAACCCTTGTTACTTAAAGGGTTAATACCACTAGGAAATCCGAACTATCAAGAATGTGTCATTTGTGTCACAAACTATTCAATATGACAATTATGTCCTGAACTATTTTTCCGTTAGAATTGACCGGCGTTGACCATTAGTTTTTAACAGAAAGTCTAGTCAGCACTGATGTGGCATCTGACGTAGAATTTATATTATTTATTTTTCCATAAAAAATAAATAAACTAAAAAAAAGGAAATTAAAAGAAAAAATTAAAAATAAAAACTCTGATATGTAGGTCTGCATCTCCGGGGGAAAATCGAAGGACATTGAGATGTCATTTATCTCAACTTCGTTTTTCCCATCCCCACCCAGGTCAAACCGGATTGTCGTGGAGCTCGAAAGTCGGGAAAATAGGAAGCTGCAAAACAGGGAAGTGGCATAACTCTGTTTCCATGGAATGGGAGGAAGACGATGAAGTAAGCACTGGTAAGCAAGCTTAATTTTCATCTTTTCCCGGCGGCCCCTAAGACAAAACGACTTCGTCGTGAAATCAAACTGAAAGGAAGTCTAATCGGCACACTGGAAAACAGTTATCTCCTTCTAGAAATTCTGATTCGCCCCATTAATTGAGTTGAGATTTGGGTTTGCGATTCCAGACCCAAGAATCTTTGTTGATTCAGGGGATAGGCGACTTAGGCGTCGTTCCTAGAGCCCCTATTTTGCGAGCCACGAGGCCGGCTTGAACTTGACCTCATCTCCACCACCGTCACTGATGAGGTCAAGTCCGTCAGTGACGCCTTCGCAGTGGGGGGTCAATGATGCTCGTCGTAGAGCTATAATGAGGAGAAGGAGGCAGGGGAAGGAGGGCTTCGTTGATGGTTACTCGACGAAGAGGGAGGATTGGGGGCAGACTAGTTCGGAAGGTTGAAGAAGAGTTATGGTTCGTTTAGAAAATGTGGTTAGAGGAACTATATGTGGAGCAATTCGGCATAAATTGATACCGACCCCTCAAAGTTTGGTAACTTCAACTTCATTAACAGAGGGGGGAAAACACTTCTTTCAACCTTTTTTGTAATTTTGTTAGTATTTAAATTAATTAGATTTTGAAGGAAAAAATAATATTAATGATGTGGCATTTACATGGCGGAGATCTTTATTGTCACATCAGCAAAAGTCAACATTTTTGTAACGTCTGTCTAGTGGTATATTGGTATTAGCCCTTACTGAAACTAGTAGTGATTCTCTATAAAAAAAGTAGTGATTCGGTGGTTTATAGTAGTGATTTTATGATTTTCATTAGTGATTTTATTATTATTAGTTGAAGTTTTATCATTGTAGCAAATTTAAATTAGTATACATTGACAATTTCTAGAAAACAAATTTCTAGAATAACTACACAAAACACTACTAATATTACCAAATATCAATTCTCATTATAACAAAACTCACTGCTAATACATGTAAGAAACACCGGCCACTACACAATCACTACGTATTAACATATATGGAAAAAAACTGAACATCAAGAAAAGACATGAATAATCTAGCTGTCAATTTCAAGAAACACTACTGCGCAAATAACTTCCACAACCATTCAGACGATCTTTCAATTGGTTTCTCAGTTCCTGGCATCGACGTGAACAGATCTGACCTGGCCAGCGCCTGCTTCTCGCCGATCGATGTCAGAAGTGCGACTGCAAATCCGTCGCGCCGTAGTCGCATCGCAACCATCCTCTTGTTTCTCGTCGACGTCAAAAGCACGACCTCCCACCTTCCTTCGCCAAGTCCCTTTTGTTGTGGCCGACGTCGACAGACACATCGCCGTTGTTGAAAGAGAATGGAGGGATGGGTGTTTTTTTAGAGAGAGTGTGTGTGAGGGGAAAGTGAAGCCGAGCATGCAGCAATACTTTTCCAAAATGTGGGTGCTTAGCCTTTTATTAATTTTAACCGTTATATTAGATTTTCATGGGACAGTAAGAAACATGGTTAGCACCTAATCTCTTTCCTTGTCATTGACATAACACAACCGACTAATTATCATCGAACTTCAATCGAGAGAAGATACAGTGCTAACTCTATAGTGGGTTAGCACCATCCTAACTAGCATTTATTTTTATATTTAATATAATTAAAGAAAGGGCAAATTAGAAAATTACGGAATAAATAATTTTTTTGAAATTATTGCTGATTTTTAGGGGGAAATTGTAATGGAATGCGGTTACAATTTTTTCCTCTCTGTCCTCCCTTCCATCATGTCTCGGTCTGTACCTAAAAAAACTACATGGAAAACACTACTACCTCTTCAAGTACTACTAAAAATTACTATTATTCATGCGGCTAAGACATTACTCTATTGTTTTAGGTGTGTAGTAGTAATTTGGTAGGCGTAGTATCTCCCTCTCTCTTTACAATTTATATATATCACGTGTGTCCATTTTTTTACCGTGAAAGGGATCTTTGAGAATGGTAGTGTTTTCATGGTAGTAGAAAAGTCAAAATCGAAATATTTTTTTAATGTTTATATGATTTTCAGTGGTAATTTTAAAGGTAGTAGTGATTTTGTAGCTATTAGTAGTTATTTAGCGCGTTTGTGGTAGTGACTTTAAGGGGATAGTGAGATTCGGTGCATTAGTAGCATTTGATTTGATGATTTGTAGTAGTAAATTGATGATATATAGTAGTGATTTTATTATTTGTAGTAGTGATTTATGGTTATTTGTAGTGATTGAGCACATTTTAATTAGTAGAACTAACAAATTTTAATCAAGATTACTAATAGGAACATGGAATAATTATGTCTATTCCCATTGATTCTAGTGATTTTCTGTTGCGGAGAGGTTGTCAAAACACTACAATTTAAACATTCAACTGGCAAACCACTACTACAAAGGAATGTGAAGACAAATAACAATAAATCACTACTAGTAATTAAGAAGAATCTCTATTTAGATTTTAGAAGAGAGAGAGGCCGAGGAAGGAGATGCGGCTGAGAAAGTGGGTTGTTTAGATTTTAGAAGAGGATTATATAATTAGGGTTTAGATAAACACTTAATTAATTATCACCCTAGGATTGTTAAAATTTTATTAACGGTAGATAATAGAATTAGCACCGTACTAACCCTTTAGCGGGTTAGCAGGCCATCCCATATCACATAATAAGTAGGCTGAATAATAATATATAAAAAAGACTAAAAGTGAAACACTAATTATCGATCATATAATCAAGAAGCTATAGTAGTACTCCCGCGTAGGGATGGCAATGGGGCGGGTTTGGGGCGGGTTTGCCTAAACCATCATCATCCCCGCTTTCAAATATTCAAACCCATACCCATGGGGGGGAAGGATTTGCAAACCCATCCCTATACCCGTGGGTTTCGGGTACCCATGGGTAATACCCGCCCCGTACATCAACATTATAATAGCTAAAATTTTACATACAAAAATTTCAATTGTAATACTTAACGCACCTACTATTTCATAAAGTCGACAAAGAGACAATCATTCTTAATACGATTCTAAGCATCTTATTCTAAAACATCCAATAATCCATAAGATAGAGTAAAAATATATGCCAAATCATTATTCTCTGACTTTGTACATCTATTAAGTAATAACTTACAACTATAAAGTTGTTAACATGAGGGAAAAAGTCAAAGAATGAAGGAAGATTTGGAGGAAATGAATTATGTTTTGATTTGGGTGGTCACTCAATTGTATTTCTACTATTTATTTTCAAGAGTTACCCTCGGTATTAATGCTAGATTACAATTTAATCAATATACTTTTTATATGTGAAGAAATGTTCTTGGTGGGGCGGGTATGGGTATGGGGCGAGGAGGCTAAAACCATACCCGCCCCATACCCATCAAACTGTTTGCGGGTTTTACCCATACCCGCCCCATGCGAGGATTCCCCGCGTTGATTGGATCGGGGACGGTCGGATACCCGCGACCATGGGTTTGATTGCCATCCCTACTCCCGCGTTCCACCTAACTCATCTTTATATGTCGTTTAATCTAAAAATTAACGTCTTTGATTAATCACAATTTCCGCACATGAATTATATTATCACAATCCCTATCGTAACCTCAGCCCCAACTGAAGATCCAAATCAGCTCTCCCCCTCGAACCGCCGGCCACCACCGCCTGCCGACCCCCACCGGCGCCGGGACGATGATGCGTCAGAGTAAACCCGCTGCCATTCTCAACATCATTAAAGCTAATCTGCCGGCCGGACTCCTCGTACACCACGAACTCCTCGTTACTATGACAATAATTAATGACATCATCATCACACGCCGCCGCCGCCGGGTCGTAGAACCACCGGGTCGCCGTCGGGGCGTGAAGGTAGAAGCTGCTGATGGTGGCCCGCCTGGCTTGCAGCTGGAGCCGCTTCTTCTTCATCCTCTCCTTTTTGTGCGCGTTCTGGTGCCCGCCCAGCGCCTGCGAGTTCCCGAACTCCTTCATGCAGTACTCGCACCGCAGCTTGCCCCTCGACGGCGTCGTTCTGTTCGGCCCGGCCGCCGCCGCTACCGTGTTGGAGGAGCTGTCGACGCTCTCGTCAGCCTCGGCGGCCGGGGAGTGGTTGTGGGTCGGGGCGGCGGGTGGGTTGGGGTCGAACTCGAACTCGAACCCGAAGAGCTTGAGCTTGTTGGTGTCGCCGGAGGAGGAGGATTCGGCGGCGGAGGTGTTGCTGTTAATGTGATCGACGGTGGAGGAGTATTGCGTATTCATTTTGTTTGTTTGTTTGTGGATTTTGATGGTATAAGGGTTGGGATATGAAATATATATATAGGGGAGAACTCTAGATTTAAGGCATAGGTCTTGCGCCTATAATTTGTTTATTATTTCTTTCATAAAAAAAATTTGTTTATTATTTCTATTTTATGAAATAGCTCCTGTACCTATGATTGACGAGGAGTACTAGTGCTGAAAAAATAATATTTTGTGGAAATAATATTATGTCTTTGTTAATGTTGAGGTTTGTCTCTGTAATCATGAATAGGAAGAAAACGTACAAAAGGGTCAAAATATGTAACTGCCATTAATCAAGGGAATAAACGGCAAGGAAAAGTCAGATCAAAAGGAAAGCCGACCCATGCAAACATTATACTATATTGATTGCTTTCTTGATCGTTATTCCTGTAAATTAAACTATATTGTTTTTTCTACCACGTTTCTTCCCAAAATGGTTTTTTGTCTCGCATGTATTTATATTTATTTAAATAGGCTACCTTGCATGGCGAATGAGTCCGTAATCCGGACAAGATCGGTATGGTTCTTCTGTATAATTCTTATCGTAATCTGGACAAGATCGGGTTGCATTCGGTTTTCGATTGTAACTGGACCGGGTTATACAGTCTTGTTTCTGGTTTGTCTGAAAAACCGTGATTGAATTCTCATCCCTATCTTACAGTAGGGCTGGCAATTTGGTCCAGGACTGTTTGGTCTTACCCGAAACCGGACCGTATAACCCGGACCGGGACCAGACTGGGACCAGATAGCAAACAATCCAATCTCATATTTGGGCTTAGATTTGAGGTAAAAAAACCCGGATAAAGACCGGATAAGAGACCCCAACACTCAAATCCCCACAAGCTCAATCTAAAATCAAAATCAAATTGGGACCGGACAGGGTCAAGACTGAACCGGATCAAGACCGGAGTGTATCCAATCCAATCTTTGGTCCTTATATCTTAGAAAAGACCGAACTGGGACCAGATCAATTTGGTCCAATTTAACCGGACCGGACCGTATAGCCACCCCTATCTTACAGAATGAACTTTTGTCAAAGGATGAATAGGATTTGTATAATCCAAGGTTTAAAAAAAAGTGCCATTTATAGTCCGAAATGTGTCAGTGAAACAATAATTTTAGCTTTGATGTTTTATGTCGTTAATTGATTTCATTCAAAATGTAATGGAGGGGGTAAGCCACCGCTGACAATTCTTCTTCACCAAGTTGAGGAAAATGATATTTTTATCCAAGAAACTTGCTCAGCCTAGGTATGGTGAATTTGGCTGAACCGAACTGATTTTTTTTTTTTTTTGAGAAATGATTATATTGTGGTTAATTTTATGATTAAGGGGGTAATTAAGCAGGATGACAATGATTTAGTTTTATCATTGGAAGGTTGCGGTAATTTGTGATAATGTATGAGGAGAACAGTAAATAATAGAAGTGACCGATGTCGGCTTACCTTTTGGCAAGCCAAAATTTCATGCGATGAAAGTTTGATTTACGGGTAAAAATCAATAAGCCATAGATGAAACCATATCTATACATGGAAGAATTTAGTCAGCATTATTTGATATGATCTGTGTTGAAGCACGCACAATTCTCCTACTAAACTTTTCTCGACAGTGATTTTTGAAAGGACAAAATTCGACAAAAATGACCACATAACACATGAAATATACATGGTTTATAGGTAAATTCGAAAGGGCTGGGATTTTCGTTATGTAGAATCAGATTATAGATATATGCTCAGTAGTATTCATTCGGTAAGCCTTTCCAAAATATTAATACTTGATCAAGTGGAACATTTCTATGGGCGTGCAACCAAAATATATTGAATAAAAGACAACTGATCTCTTCAAATTAATTAAAATTGTCACTTGTGTAGAAATAAAATATAAAAAAGACTAACTAGCACAAGTCATAGAAAAAAGAAAAGATATGGTGGGAATGTAATCACCTGGAAGGTAGGTTTATCATTAATTAATTCATTTCTCATTTACTTTTTTTTTTGTAACAATCTCCCAATGCACTTAATTAAAAAAAATGAGTTGCAAATCTTTGAATCATTACATTATATTAATAGTTGTGGGATGTCAAGTCCCATCCATCTCCCAATTAAATGAATTGAAAACAGAAAAAAGAGGTTGAATTGTGTAGAAATGTGATGATTCAGCAATATAGATGAAGCTTCTTTTGAGATTATGTACACACACATAGACAATGCATATATATCTTATATCCCCCACCACCCAATAGTTAAAGGAAGATGATGAGTAATTGATTAATACTTTAAAGTTTGTCTATCTTGACCATGTATTGAGGGAATGGCATATTATATGGTTGATTAATGCATTAATCAATTGGGAATGGGAAGTAGTTGATGAAAGAAGGAATAATGAGAAGTGAGTTATGATGTAAGCATATATACTAGTAAGAGTCTTCCATGAGATCTGAGCATATCTTCTTAGAGCAGCAAAACTCATATATTATATTGTTAATGGACTTAGAAATATGGTCAATATTAATGAATAAACTCATAAATCTGAATGAGAAAGTAAACCTTTAAGTTCAAAAAATTTGATTCATTGTAAATGGAAAGTAGGGATTAAAACCATATCGATCACTTGCTCTATTTTCTAAACATATTACATATTTGGGTTATAGGTATAATATGCCCCTATACTATGTCATTTTATCAAACATGCCCCTCTACTATTTTTTACATCAAATATGCTCGGTACTTTGGAAAATTATTAAACATGCCATTTTGTTAAAATTTTCATTGGAAAAATCGTCAATCATGGTTGAATCTAGATTTAGACGACCCGACATCGGCAAATGGGAGGAAAAATGTCAATTTTATCCCCTATTTTATTTCTCTAGGTCTCGTCAAAGTGAAATTATTATAGATATTTTAGATATTTGTGTCATCCTAACCAAAGTTTGGTCGTGGTTAACAGTTTTTGGATGGAAATCTTAACAGAATGGCATGTTTGATCATATTTCTAAGTACAGGGGCATGCTTGATATAAAAAAATAGTAGATGGACATGTTTGATAAAATGAGACAGTAAATGAGCATATTATACCTATAACTATATATAGAAATATGAAATGTCAATTAATTGTATTTCAAAGCTGAGAGATTACAAGTCATATAAACTATATATTGAATATATAGCAATTGTGTTGGACAGTTCTTATTTGTAAAAGGGGCCCCGGCACCATTATCTTTCTTTTAAAAATTAAATGAGACCCCTGCATTAATTGTATTGTTGCGTCGAGAGACATGATGGAAGCTTATTAGATTGTGTTGTTATTCCTTTGTCTATACTAAATCTCACCATTAATTAATTAATTATGTTGGTTAAAGAAGTGTGTTACGTTGCATCTCTCATGCTCACAAATTCCCAATCCTCTCGTTTGTGATTGTTTCTTTTGGAAAAGATAAGTCCATTCCTTGATCCATGCTTTCAAACTCTTTTGGATTTTAAGTAATCATATATGTACATATGGTGGCCTCGGTCTATTTATTGGCGGAGTTAGGATTTGAAAGTATCTGTGTCCTCTTTTCGAAATATAAAAAAATATTATATATAATTAGAAAAAATCACACCCAAATATATCATTCATAAATAATAACGAAATAATCAATCAATACAATCATTATTTTCATAAACAACCACGATATATTTTCATATTCTGAGTTAAATTTAATTTATGTATGCCTTTAAACAAGAAATGTCTTGTAATTTAGTGGTATAACAATCTTATATTACCTAAATATCATGAATTCAATACTTAGTTTGTACATATATGTGATATTTTTTTGTTATCCTAGAAATTACCTATGTCTTGGGGACACATTCCAGGACCCTTGGCTCCGCCTACGGGTCTAGTCTAAGAGATCTAATGGCTAAGGCATCATTGCAAATTTGCAACCTTTGACAAGGAGACCATGTTTTTTTGGAGTTGGGAAGCTCAAGAAGGACAACTTGTATGCTAGAGGTTAGCACAGCTGAGTTGGACATTCTTAAAGACAAGTAGGGCTATTAATGAGCCGAGCTATTTGTGAGCGGCTCGGTCTCGAACTCGATAAAAGTTTGTTCGATTAAAAAAAATCTTGGCTCGTTAATAAACAAGCCGAGTTTGAGCTCTACCTTGTTCGGCTCGTGAAGCTCGTGAACTAGCTCGATTAGGTGGCTCGTTTAATACAACTCATGAACTGTCTCGTTTTGAGCTTATGAGATGTCCCAACATTGTGACTAGAGAGCTAACTCGACTACAGCTTATGAGAAAATCAATCTATATCTTATGAGCCGGTTTGTCAATGATGCATATAATTATTAAATTATATATATCACCTCATATGGTATTTAAACATTGAGTATATGTAAGCAAATACGTCTCATATATGACATGACATTAGGTAATCACATGTATAACATATGACATATAAATATTATGATATTTATATTATAAATTATCTTAGAGTTGAGCTCGAGCCAAACTTTCAATCTTAATGATGTGTCAAGGTGGATAATATAATAACACTATGCATGCATCTTTGAGATTAATGCTCAATTAATCATTAAGAAATATATGAACTATGTAAGATATGTAAGAATATTGGTTGGTTGGTTGGTTGATTGATTAGAAAGTTTTCCAATTAGGGCTACGATTGTCGTGATGGGCCATTTCTCTATTAGTGTCGTGGCACGTGGAAACGAAAATGAGGACTGCAATAACATAATGGAGAAGAAAGATTAGATTGAACTAATCTATTCGTTTAAGTGGGTGGGTTGGTTTAATAGTTAAAGTCGATTAATATTTCATGTTTTTGTTTCAAAATTGGTTTCAACTTTTAAGTTCTAACTAGGTGGAGATGCCGCGTCTTATCGTGGATGGAGATGGTTTATGGGCATGTATTATATAGTTCGTTATGGTGTTATGTTAGTATAATTAGTCTAAAATTAATTTTTAGTTAGTAGTTTTGTTAGTAATATTGACTTTACAATATGATATTGACTGAGAAGAGATATATGACGGTCAACACAAGTAGACCCATTGATTATTGGTTGGGTATGGGTGGCGTATATATGGGTATGGAAGTTTGTAGATGGGTTTGGGTAGGGTATGGATATTTATTTCTATAATCTAAATGTGTATGAGTTGGCTATGGATACCCATTTACTCGATGGTGTTTTAATTACACATACAAAAAATAGACCTATTCGTAGAACTTCAAAAGTTTAGGTACCAAAATGTAATACACAAAAATTTTAGGTACTAAAATATAATTTTACATCAATATTTTGAGGACTTATATGCCAAAAAAATAATTAAGGTTATAAATCTAAAAATCTGTTAAGTTTAGGTACAAAACTGTAATTTACATAGTTGAGGTTTAGTTCCTTTTGTGGTGATGTATTTAAGACGATAATTATTTACCTTTTATAAAAAAAATGGAAACTATTTATTTGATATGTGTAGATACCTATCTAGCCATGTATAATTGTTGAAAATTCTAGCACGGGTGAAAAAGAAAAACTCTAGAAAGAAGCAAAAGGAATACAATCTGAAACTCGCTTAAAATTTCACGCATTCAAATCCCATAGTAAAAAAATGATGACTTTATAATAAGTAATAACCATGTATATATATCTTTAATTGGACTCGACATTGAGCTGAAAAAGTTAGCGGTTCGTGGTTCAATTATTAGTTCTCTAGACTTTTGGTGAGTCGTGTATGTACATGTTCATACTTGTGATTAAAATACATAAAAATAGTATACTAATTAGGGTTAGACGAAGAAGGCAAAGAAAAAATAAATAAAGGGTTATTGAAGGCGAGTCAAAAATGAAACGAAAAGGAAGTAGATGATGGAAAGGTTTTGACCAGTTCTTTATTTGGCCGTCAATACAACAATCAACCCTTTTCGCATATTTTGTTACATGTACTTAGTAAAAGTTTGTTTAGTACCCCATAAATGTACTAAATGAGTTTATAAATTCGCTCTTGCAATATTTTAGAGTCGTCTCTCTTTTATTATTTATTTAATATTTCACGTAATGAGCAAATATAAAATGGTCGAATATCCTCATACGGTTGAGAGATACAACATTTTGTATCGTACAAACTAAATTTATACTTTTATGTTAGGTGGATTGGATTCATGGATTCGAATGAAATCTAAATATTTGACAAATATGTAATAGGTACGAAAATCTCATAAAAATTAACAAAACATAATTGTTCAATGATTTTACATTAAAACTAAATTTGGGGTATCAAAATGTAAAATATACATTATAGTAAATAAGTTTTGATTTAATTTAATTTGGGATATCAATTAGCAAAATTACTAGATAACAGTAAGACTACTTCACGTTTATATATATTAATTTTCAAAATAATGAAATCTAAATCCTAAGATTTTGCATATAATATATGTGATGTATTTTGAAGGATCAAAATAATCAATTATTGTTCCCGTTTAAATTGTTATGAGAGTATAAGATTTATAAAAAGAAGGGTTACATTTTAATTTTTAGGGTTTATGATATTGTATCATTCCCCTAAATCCAAATTCTTAAAAGCCTAGACAACATTTATTTACTAAAAATATGCAAATGTGATGATAGTTAAATTAATGCATTGTAAACTATAAATTAGTGTGATATGATTTCCGTTGTTTTGTATGATAGTTATTCTAGTATTTAAGTAAATATATTATTTTGTGAGTGAAATATCATTTTTATCTTTTATTTGAAATATAAAAAAGTAATACATACAAAAATTTAGAAAACAATCTCAACAATATAATCTAAAATATTATATTTAATCATCACTCAATTAAAGTGATAATTTGCATCATATCAAGCAAAAAAAAATTTATTGTTTGTGAAAAAAAAGAAACAATATATTATGAAAAATATAATTCTTGTAATAATATCAACCAAACTATCACCAAACCAAACGAAATCCGCCTATATTGAAAGAAAGAAACCCGCCGCATGCCCGTGTACTGTACACACATACACCTTTTACTGTCCATTGTGACTGAGATTTACTGTTTCAAACTGGCGTGGGCTGGCGTGTGGGCTGTTGTTGGGTGAGGCCTCATTGGGATCTGACGGAGTTTTGGGGCTCGGTCGGGGTGGGACTGGTCGTTGCCTTCTGGTTGCCCTTCTTTGGGGTCGTTTGGTGGCCCCGACGCACGTTGGTCATCAGAGATCGATATTTGACTTTGGCCCGAGAGGGCACGCGGATCGAGGGTTTTTCGGTGACTCTGTGGGTGTTCTGCTGGGTAGGGATCGTTGAGTGGTGGGAGATCTGGCGGGTTTGGGAGAGACTGTGCTGGGAGATGGGATAGCTTAGAGATGGTGGGCCATGAGAGGGACTGAAAAGTTGATTGAAAGGAGTTGTGTTGCTCAGTATCTCTGCATTGGGGTCGTTTGGTGGCTCTGACGCGCGTTGGTCATCAGAGATCTATATGCTGCTTTGGCCCAAGCGGGTGCGTGGATCGAGGCTTATTCAGTTGCTTTGGGTGTTCTGCTGGGGAGGGATCATTGAGCGGTGGGAGATCTGGCGGGTTTGTGGATGTGTGGATGAGAGTGACATGCCTGGACAGTGGAGAGGTGGGTCGTTCGAGAAACAGAAAAGGGTTTTCTAGATACAGAGAGATACCTTGACATGCTTTTTCTCTGCTGTATGAAAAGACCGGTTTTTGGTGTCTCTGGGAGGGGTTGGAAAGTCCTTGCGTTGTTCGACGCTGAGAGAGGCTATTACTGTTTTGTGCAGGCTTAGGCATTAATTAATTGAGAGGATCCGTTTCTTTTCTTTTTCTTCAGCTTGGTGCTTAAAGAAAACTTTGCTTCTCTTTAGCATGTTACTCTCTCCCCTTTTGTTATTCAACTCTCCGACTGCTCTCTCTCTCTCTCCCTCGGTGTCCTCTCTGCGTTGGGATTTCTCATCTCTCTTCTTGGGAGAAGGGCGGAGTTGAAAGCCACGAAGAAGAAGGTTTGAGAGATCTGGAAGAGATCCAGACCCACTGGAGGACAGTTGAGAGGTCTGGAGAAGATCCAGTTTCGCAGGTTTTGTATTCGTCCCAGGTGATTTATCCGTCTCTCTATGTTGAGTTTGCTTTTCTCTTTTTGCAAGTCTCTTAATCGTTTGGATCCTGTGTTTCTGTTTGTAATTGCAGGTAGTTGAAAGGATGATTAGCTACTTTTGTTCGCTGGGCCATCTCCGATTTATCGGTATATAATCACATCTTTCTTTTCATCCTTTTGTTTGAGGGATTGTTGGTGATTTTCGGAATCTTAAATCGAGGATTGTTTTATGAGTTGTGTGGATCTGATAGGTTTTTTGCCATTTCGATGAGGATGAAGGGGTTGATTGGATGAGGATTGAGGAGCCCGCCATCTGCTGTTTCCCTGCACCAGTGAGGATGAAGAATGCGTCGTCTGTTTGCACCTTCTTCTGACCAGTATAGAATACTGACTGTGCAGATCCGCAAGTTTTCATAAACTCTTATGCTAACGGTCGCGTCAACTCCCTGTCTTTCCCTCTACTTTTTTTCTTCTTTTGCGTTTTAGGTTTGTTGTGATCATTGTTGTTACAATCCCTGATTAGTTCCTCTGTTTCTTTGTTCTTTTGATGCTGGGATTTTTACATTGAGGGACAAGTATAAATGGGTTCGGAGAAGATCAAAATCCAGAGATTGGCCTGTTGTATTAGGTAATTGTGCTCTCACTCCCTTTCTCTCTTGAGGTTATCAGTCTTAATTAATTAATTTTAAATGGGGTACTCTCTTTTTCCCAGCATCAGTAGAGTGAAGTCTATTTCCTCTCTTTTCCTTGGTGACAATGGCTAGAATTTCACTTTAGAAAGAGCTTGGTCAGCCGTGATCGTCCTATCCCTGCGAAATGACAGCACACAAGTCTGCTTTAGAAGTGGGTAATACTGAATTCGCAGCTGTTTGTTTACGGTCTACATAGTGATTCTACTGTATTCAGAGTTTGCTGGGTCTTGGAGATGAATCACTATAGTCACCCAGTAGTTCCATTTGATGTCCCCATGTTTTATTACTTATGAAGGTTCCTCTTGAGCCTCTGGCAAATTGCCCTTCCGTTATGGAATCAAACGATAGTTGATGTTTAATCACTCACACGTTTGTTAAGCACTGAATTTTAATTTAATCTACTACATCATTGTTATTGTGCACCTATTTGAATGTTCTTTTATGTCCTCCCATTCCTGCTGCTTCTGTTCTCGGTATGATTCATTTGAAAAGATGTTTTCCTCAAATGCCCTAGACTTTTGGTTAACGTCTCTCTTTTCCGCAAAACCATCGAGAGCTTACAAGGCATGCAATCTTTCTGTTCCTCAGGCTATCATCTGGTGGGCATGCAAGCAAAACATATCGAACACGTGAAAATCAGGGCATGGAACCATTGTATCAGAGTGCTAATTATAATAAGGTTTCTTGATCTGGAATATGCTTTGTTAGTAGGTTAGGTGAAGACTTGACTTCACAACACATGTATCATTCTCTGTGTGAACTGAACACGTGCAAAGTGAGAGACAGCCAAATGAAGGTGGTTGGTGTTGTTCATAACCTTTTTTATTGTCATTTGTTTCTGTTGTCGATCAACCAAGATCAACCAAACTCTTTCGACTCCGTTGTGAAGATTTGCATCGATAAATTCGGCATGCTTTTCCTTTTTATCTTATACCATATTCTAATTCTAAAGTACTCGAGAATTGTACCAGATATGTAGGGTTTTTTTTTATCGGACCATTAGCATTACATACATGCATATAATTTTTATCCATTTGTCCATCATGGCGCCAAAGTGAATTCTTTCTAACTATCAAATTTTCATATGGGTTTTAGATAGTTCTTGAAAACGTGAATTTGAGAACTTCTATATTAACTAAGGTCGCATCCAAAACCTGAACTTGAGAATTTCTATTGAAAGAAAGGTCACACTCATCCCGTCGCGGAGCGCGGGAAAAAAAAATCTAGTATATATATATATGCAGAGAGAATGACAAGTATGGTTCTTGGACCCTACCAAACCATCAGCCAACCCAAAGGCACCGATGTTATTCCCATCCAAAATTATTATCTACATTAGTCTAAAGAATCCAAAATGTCAAGGAATACTTTGATCTTAACAACCCTAATCCTTTGAGGTACTGTCCCCATCCACTGATCCACAATATAATAACAAACCATAACATAAGAAAAGCTCGTTGATCTCAGAATGCCAAGTTTTTTTTTTTTTTTTTTTTATAATCAGAATGCCAAGTTTGACTGATACGAAGTGGTATGAGTTTATTTTTTAAAAGCTCTTGAGCAATGAAATTATTAAAGACCAATAGATATTGCGATCAAAGAAATTGTTGCTTGTGGCCTGTGGGTAGGAGTAGGATCCATAGTTGTGCAATTAATTTGTTAAGCAGTACTACTTCATAAGATTGGCAGGCACTACTGTTACTGTGATGAACTGATTGGGTTACACATAATCCAGGGTTACTTCTAATTAATATCGAAGTGTTTTTTTTTTTTTTTTTTACTTTGGCTTTGTTGACTTTGCAGTTCCAAAAGCTTTTTTCATTTTCCCCTTGCGCTATCTACAACTGGAATTGGTCTTGGCCCTAAAGATTTTCTATTTGGGCTGGGCCATTGAGCGGCGGTTGGACGTTGTTTGGCACCGACGCCAATTATATGGCTAATACTACAGTGCCGCTATTAAAATTGCGGCACCGGTGCAGCCAATTCTTATTGGCCCATGTGGCATTGGTAAACATCCCGATTTCTGTAACCCGAACCCAGAATTTCGGTTCAATTCCTCTGCAACCAATTATTAGCCCAAGACTTCAATCCAAAACTTCATCGGAATTTCGCCAGGCAGGCATCCTCTCAAAACTCAGTCAGATCTAATTCTATCAATGGGTTGTTCCGCTCGTTCCTTACAACTTCCTCTCACCTCTATCCCGCCGCCTCCCGTCTTTTTCTTCCCTTCCACCTCCTCCTCCCGGTCTTCGCTGGTTTCGGTGCCCCGGCGATTCCCCGCCAGCGAGCTAGCTACGACGGCTTTACCAATCATTGTTTTCTTTAGGTCTTCGTACATTGTCCAGATATTGGTGGATGAGAAGTTGAGAACAAAACGTAGATGAGGATATCGAATAGGTCCGGGAGGACAGTGACTAGGGCTAGGGTGATTTAGGAGTGCGAGGCTGATAAGCAGAATCAGGTAATGTATGGATGATTGAATTGAAGGAATGAATGCACTGTTGTTTTCTGTTTAGGCGGATATCAGAAATTTGGGGTTTAAGGTAATTCAATTTTCACGAGGGGATTCATCTACGAGATGAGAGAATTTTTGCTTTAGATTTAGATGCGATGAAGAGCCTACAACTCTGATGTTTGAAATGATGATCTTAGTACACTATGGGTGGGTGTGAGGAGAGAATTCGTGTAGATAGGATGAAATGAAGAACTTAGAACTTTTGTTGTGGTGAAGTGTGATGGAAAGATCTGTTGCATTTAGCTGATGCTCTGTGCTTGACAGGGTTTTGTCTTGAAATTGTATGAGGAAGAAAGTTAGAAACTACAGTTGAGTTCATGTGGTGGTAGCTAAACGGCAAACACAACCTTCATTTGTGAATTCCATTCATCGAACCTTTGTTCTGCTGCTCATCATCCTATGGTCAATGTTGCTTTGAACTTTTGAGAAAAGGTTCAGAGGAATTATCTCTTTGAATTCATTTCGGTTACATTTCTATGTATTATGTTGGAAAATGAACGGCAGGTCTGATGTTTTTGTATCCTGGATATGGGTAATAGGTATCACTGAGCTGAGAATTCTGCCTTGTGATGAAGAGCAGGAGCCGGTGACTAGTGATATGTGCAAGTTAGTGGATTTAGTAGCCGATTAATTGGTGCACAGAATGCAATCTAGTTCATAATGTGTGTTTCCCGTTGAACACCCCTGAACTTGTTAATTAAGTCGATGACAATGAGGTGGAGATTGTCCAAACTTGTGCCTTTTGGATGAAAACTCTGCTTGCCTGTTTATTTTTCACAGCGGGAGTATGAAACTTGCAAGAAGTGGAAGAGCTCAAGAATGACGCACCCGAGAACCTTCTCTCAATATTGAAGGAATGTGATATTCAAAGGCTTTCAGGGGTGTCAACATCTTTGATGAACTACTCAGTTTCTTCTGTATAGATATTTATTAATTCATGGATGTTTATTGAATCTAGTTCCGCCGGATATGATATCAAGACTTTAAAAATCGGGTTAATTGCATGGTTGGTCACTGAGATTACAAAAAACGCTCAAGTTTGGTCACTCAAAATATTTAAATTCATTGGTGGTACTTCAAATTACTGAAACCGTTCACGTTTGGTCACTCTCCGTCCAACTCCGTTAACTTTTGCTTTCGTGGCGGTCAACTCTAAAAATTGACCGTTAAATGTGTGACGTGGCAATTTAAAAATATTAAATTAAATTAAATTTTTCAAAATTATCATCTCATTTTCACCTCATTATCACTTTTATTAAAAATAATTAAATAAACATAATTTATTCTAATCCCCAATACATGGTGAGGCTGAGGAGCATTGTGGGTGTTGACGCGGGGAAGGAGACGATACAGGGAGCCTTGGTATTGGGGAAGGCTGATGAAACATTTCAATTCGTTGTCGATTGAAAGTCAACGACGACAGTCGAATTCAATCGCCGGTTTGGAGAATCCACAACCTGTGCAATTTCTCCTTGACACCGTTCTCCTCGGAGACCAACCGCCATCTCCGACTCCCCAATCTTCACCACAATTGTTTCGACAAAACCCTCGATTCCGACCAAAACCTGTCGGTTGTAATCGGAGCAGCCGGCGAATTCGACAACATGAGATAGAAGCGATAGACACTCTTCCTTCCTCTCGCTGGCGCTTCAAATTTTTTGAATCCAGATTCAGACCTGTTCCTCGGAAGCGGCGGGACGGCGAGAAGAAGAGGACTGGTTCAACAGGTTGATGAGGCGGAGGAAGTGAGGTTGGGGACAAAATCCTTGGATGGGAGGATCTACATGGTGGCCGGACACATGTCGTGGCCGGTCTCGAGCCATTTCTGGATGTTGGACCGGTCGTAGGTGACGCTGGTGGTGAGACTGACCGGGGATTTCATGACGTCGAGGGAGATCGGGCAACAGAAGAGATTAGGTTTATTTATTTATTTTAAATAAAAGTGATAATGAGGTGGAAATGAGATGGTAATTTTGAAAATTTTAATTTAATTTTAATTATTATTTTTAAATTGCCATGTCACACATTTAACTGTCGACTTTTAGAATTGACCGCCACGTAAGCAAAAGTTAACGGAGTTGGACGGAGAGTGACCAAACGTGAACGATTTTAGTAATTTGAAGTACCACCAATGGATTTAAATATTTTTTTGATGAAGGCCAATGGATTTAAATATTTCGAGTGACCAAACTTGAACGTTTTTTGTAATTTCAGTGACCAACCATGCAATTAACCCTTAAAAATCCAATAAATAAAATAATCCAAAATCCTCTTATGTTACTAAATCTAATTGTGATTATTTATATATACGTTGCATTGTTTATACCCCATTCGTACAAGAACAGTAGGTTGCAGATCGCCTCCTAAAGGTCTCAAATTGAGAACAAATATGGTAACGAATTGTTTGTAGAGGGAGGGAGGACAAGGAAGAGAATGGCAGTGCTTCTGTTTCTGGGTTTCGTCTTTTCTTTTTCATGGCAAATAAAAAATAAGTTAAAAAGAAAAAATTTCACAAATAAAAACTGATCGACGTAGGAAAATAAAAAACATAAAGTAACCAAAAAATTCTGGTCAGTTGGGCGGGTGGCATAGGCTTGTGATCGGTTGATGGGCCATGAACTCGGGCAGGGTTTTGAGAAAGACTCAAGTAAGCCACGTAGACAGCCAGGACCAATCAAAATTGGTTGCACCGGTGCCGCACTTTTAACAGCGGCACTATAGTATTGGCCCAATTATATTCTTGGGATGGACTCCTTAGTCCACAAGCAATCTCTCATTAAGATTTCATCGTGATTTATGCGGGTTTGTTTGGTCAGCGCGACGGTTGGACCCGTTGCTGGGCCGTCGTTAGTTATTTATTCTGCTTGAGCCGAGTCTTTTTCTATTGGACTTTTCTCGGGCTCTATACGTTGTTACTAGTAGACTTCTTTGTTTTTATCATAAAGCTCTATATTCTTCTCTTCATAGTTCTTTTGGTCCTCCAGAACTATTCAATGTCTGATCCGAATCTTCATGGGTTGCCTTGTACCTTGAAAATCATTTAAAAAGAACGTATCAAGAAAGTATCAAAGAATACAAAAACACAACCTAAGTCCGTTAAATGCTCATTGATCAAATAATTATGATTTATGTATGAAACATAAGAGAAAGTACTAAAGATTCATTGATAGAAGATAAAATGTATCAAATATGGCATATGGGAGTGATAAAACACGAGTATTGCTATTCGTCGCCCTAAAAATCCTTATTCGTCGCCCTAATTAGATTAATTTTACTTTAATGTCCTTAGTTAATTTATTTATAGTTTAATTAAATGCTTAACCCAAAACAAACTTATAAATTCTCGAAGAGGTGAACAAAGCGAAGAGGCTTCAATCTCAGGCTGCCCGCCCGGCCGTCCACGTCCAAGCATTTCAACGACGGGAGCTCCACGACACGCTGGTTTCCCACACCTTGGCGTAGACACATCAACCCACGGTTGTTGTCGTGGCACTGTATCGTCGGAGAACACGATGGCGATCTCCACCAGCTTATCCCCCGATACCTCGACCACCGTCGCCGCCTCGTACTCACATTCGGTCATCTCCAGCTTGTCCAGGTTCGGACCGACGCGAACGGCGCGTGCCGGCAGCCGAAGCACGTGGGCTGCCTGATGACGCAGCGGCGGAGGCGGAGTAACTGACGTCAGGGCCGGGAAGTTCGAAGACTTGGAGATGAGCCTGTGGAGGTCGAAGCGGAGGAGGGAGAGGTCAAGGTTTTGGACGGATGCGCAGAGGGAGGCGAGGTGGGGGGAGATTAACGAGAGTGACTAACGAGCCGGGCGGTGAATTTTGTCGGCCCGACGATGAATTTTGTTGAGGGTACATACTTCAATTTAGAGCGTCTTAGGGCGACAAAATTTGAATTTTAGGGCGACGAATAACGATTCAGTAAAACACAAGATAAAAGTGTATTGTAGACATTGCGTAATGATCACTTTATTTTATTTTATGTAATATGATTTGCGGTCTTCTTACTTCAAGTTCAAGATATTTAGTGAATCATGAAAAAAAACAAGATTTAAATTACCTTATCTTGCACCAACACACATCTGAGCAAACTATAATCAATAACCGAAAATCAACCTTAAGTCATTGTATGGATGTCAATTATCGTTCTACCTAATCCGCTGTCTGCAGTAGATGCCCTGCTAATAAATAAGAAACCATAAGCCACACAAATATGCAGCCCCCCTTCCCTTTTATCTCCTTAAACGCCAATGTTCCTGGTATAAGATACATGATTAAACATCTTCTTACAGCTCGAGTTATTGAGACTAGTCATTGTTATAATATTAGAGTATTAAAACCTAATTTAACGAGAGGTCTTATGTTCGAACCCCAATTACTCTTATTGGTAAGTACACGATAATGATTCGGTGCGAACTTCAAACTCATCTGGGTAGGCTTCTATTTGAGAGAAGCATGTTAGTACATTGTAAGAGATCCATTAAGAAACTTCTCTTTACAAGAAAAGAAAGGTCTTGTGTTAAAAAATCAACGATCTTCATTTGTTAAGTACACGAGACAAAATTCAACTCAGATTCATCAGTCATACATAAACCAACATCTGCCCCGCCGAGAATCACAAGCAGTCTGTCTCCCTGCAGCAGAAATTCACCCAACAAACCATCGTAAACACTACAGAGAATTTCATACTAGGAACATCATAGCGCACGCCGCACGTAAGAAGTGGATTGGAGGTAGAATAAGAAAAAGCTCAATAACTAGAACACTGACTCAGGTAGGAATGTCATTACATTTGACTCTCTTCATACAAATACAACTTGGCAAATCCTGCATTTAGGTCACAGCATCACAAAGAATGGCAAGTTGGAAAGGCAAAATTTGAATCACATTGGAATCTCATAATTTCCTCTCATTCTCAGCTCAATTCCATCAGACTTTCAGTAAACCCCCCCAAGTCCAGTGTGCAAAATTTGAAGACCGCATGGAGCCGCTGGTAACTCGGTCCCAAAACCGAGTTTTCAGACTCTTCTACTGAAGTGGATTCCATCATGTTATATTGCAGGCATATCTCATCATCGAGGTTGCCTTTTAGAACGAGGCAGAACGGAGAGAAGAATCTTCTTCCTAGGCCCCTGCCATTAATAAGAGTCATTTGTTATGAAAATATTTACCACCAAATAAAAAAATCATTTCTAAAACTGGAATGAAATTGATTCAAACTAGCCAAAAGAGAACACATGTTGGAGCATATCTATAACACAGAACAAACGTGCGAACAAACTCGCCACCTGCCATAGCAGTGAAGTACAATCACTCTACAATCTCCACGTCAGTCCTAGATCAAAGCATTATGCCTTCTAATTCTTCAGATACAGCACAACTAGAGATTCAACAAACCTTCAATTATCCTCTTATACAAGTTCATATCCTTGTCAGCATTAGACATTAAGATCCAAGAAACAAAATGTTCAAATAGCTAGGGAGACTTGAGGCTAATATTGCATACAATTTGGCAGCAAAAGGATAGAACCCATACCATAGGTATCCCAAGTTCTTTCAGGTCACTTTCCCCCATCTGCTTCAGTGCATGCATGTCCACCTGGTTGCCAGATACAACAAATTGACGTTTGAGGCACAATTTTTAATTTTCATTCAACAGGCAGGCTAAGATTCCACATACTTCATTGCAACATATTAAAGCTAAAAAAAATGGAGTACAGTTCTTATGCTCAAGTGGCATTTGCACGAACTAATAAGGTTTACTCAGGGAACCTCCATCAAATGTCAATTGCAACCAACTCAGCAATTGCTACTGTTAGAGAGTAAATGAATGGATTGGATAACAGAAACAGGATCAACATTAAGTTGCCATCTGCCCTCAGTCGCAAATCCAGTCAAACTAACAAACTAGATAAAGCATGAAACCAGACAAGAAAGTTTACTGCAGCGACTCAAGTTGGCATCCTACAGACGCTTGTGCTGATTAGATTTACACAGCCTTCATGCATATGATGAGTAATAACAGAATGCATGTGTCGTATGAATAATCCACCAATATCTTATAAGGATTCACGAAGGAGGATGTTTGACATACTTCCTCAGCTTTGAAAATGATGGCATATTTCCCCAATCCAAGCGAATGTAATAAGCCTTCAACAGTCTGCTGTTCATCTCCCTACACGTGACCAGAAGTAAAGAATCCAGTATAATTCAATGAGTAAATGGCACGAATACTAACTGAAACACCCAGTCCTCTGACGCCAGGACACACAACTCAACTGCAACACAGAAAGCCAAGCAGGCTATATATGCCTCCCATGGCATGATCAGACATAGGTGAAAATGTTCCCTCCCAGATTGTGAATTCAGTAAAAGTGGAAGGAAGAGACTCATACCGCATATGTTTGTTTTGACGGAACATTACTAGCTGGAGCAACTGGGGCGGAAATCGCAGCAGCACTTTTTGTTGAAACAGTAGGCAAACCTGGTTTTGGCATAAAATGAGTGGAACTGCTCATGGACCTAGGGGCATCACGAACATCTCTCGTCATGTATGAAACCGGTCTAACATCATCAATAGACCTGCCTAATGACCTTCGCTGACCTTCATCCACATGTCTTGGCGGAGAGAACCCTCTAGATGTACTGATACCCCTATCTGGGGGTGTTGAAGCAGTTATAATCCTACCTGGAGATCTCCGTCGTATATGGTCCAAAGTCCAAGGGGAATATGAATTTCTTGAAGGTTCCCTCCGAGACAATTCACTGGAACTTCCTGAAGGAGGGATTCCGCCCAATAGACTAGTCTCCCTAGGATATGACATGAGCTCCCCAGTACCAAGAGCGGCAGGAGGGTGGCTAAGGGATTGTGCCTTCTTCGAGAGCTTATCTCGCAAATCCCACTGGTCATCATCACTCTGATCTCTTCTACCCACATTCTTTTGCAAGAGTTTGAAGCGTAGGTCGCCCTTACCAATACGAGCATCTTTAGTTATTCAAAGGCACCAGGTCAGTGATCGGGAAATATTCTAAGAGAAAGGAAATCAATATTGCAATGTAAGGAAGGAAAGCTCATTACCTCTAACACCAGCAGAGTTTGCAGCAGTCAAATAACTATCGCTTCTATGCCTGAATGAGGGACCAAGGGATTATCAATCAATGCAAAAGCAAATTCTCTATGAACTAACCAATGCAAACAGAGGAAGCAACAGACACATTGAGCACAAATCCAGCAATTGGATTCAGAAGCCGCATAGTAACAACCAAAGTCAAAGCGAGCTCATCATCAAACTCAAAGAAATAGCAGAACGGCAGGCAGATGCCAAACTTACCGTTTGTCACCATGTTGACTTCCACGGTACATGGAACCCTCCGAGTCACCTCCTAATCTATCCCTCACAGAGCGCTTCCCTCCAGAACCTAGCAGAGAATCTGAATAGCCAGCAGCCGACACAGCTCGCTTCACTACCTGTAAGGTCAGCAACTTCAGAATCAACTTAACTTGGAGAAGGCCAAAATGAAACTAGCTGATACAGCTTCCCTGAGACCCAACACCATCCGAGAGAGCAGAAAAGAACTGGCAAAGACTGGGAATAAATGAGGAAAGTGTTACGCGTACCTGGCCACTAGGACCGAGAGTAATAGTAACGCGACCGTTGGAAGCTTCCGCCATGGCAAGGGGCAGCTACAAAAACCCTAGCAGAACTTGTTCATCAATCAGTTGCCTCGCTGTCCTCCACCGGTTTACTGGCCAGGAGCAGGGGAGCGAGCGAGCAAGGTGAAGATATACCTCCGGGCAGATATTAGAAACCCTAGCCTCGAAGAAATTTCCCTCCAGAAATTGGCGAACTTCGAATTGGATTTCTTCCTCGAACAGCCAGGCTTGGATGAACAAATGATTGCGAGCTTTATCAAATTAGATGGAAATGCATTGAAGGAATCTGGACGAGGGAACGAATAGGCGACCTGTAAGTTGGGCGCTACGCTCTGTAAAAGTATGGAATGGGGATATTACAGTGCTCCGGGATGTAGGGGGTTGATCCTCCTCAATCCATCCGCGTCAACCAGGGACGTCCGATCGGGAGGAAGCCTCACTCCGCCAGGGCCGTTACCGTCAGTCAACTTCTTTTTTGTGTCATTCGATTCCTCAAGGATGAAGGTACAAGGTCTTCTACCGTTCCCTCTAGAAAAACATGGCCCTGTTCTTCACAACTAATTTTATTGTCCACGCTATGTGATGCTCTAAAACACAACACCTAACAATGGCCAAGTGTAACCAATAAAAGGGACTGCAGTATAGTGGCACAAGTAATAAATATCGAATCCACGGGTCTCTAGAGTTACTATTACTCAGCTTTAGTTCATTATCTAGCAAACTAGATTAAGGATTGATTAACTAAACTACTCTACTAACTAAACTAAGTAAAACTACTAATTACAGTTTGGGAACTCACTTAGGTATGATTCCCCCTAGCTCCTCAATTAGGTCCAAGTTGTAATTCCTTTTGGTTGTTTTACTGTTGATTAAACTGCGGAAGATCCGACAGTAGCTTGGAATCTCTTAAGCTGACCAAGCCCTCTCAGTCTAACTATCCGGCAGACGACTAGTCTTCACCGGGATAGAAAGCTGAAACAATAAGCACAGAACTCCACTACTGTAATTGGATTCCAGTACAAAGCAGTAAACTGGCTAACTCTCGTATAGCCAATCTCCTACTACCGAATGATGAGGCTCTAACAACCTAATCAGATTCTATCTATCTCAGGTTGCAGCAGAAATTAGGAAAAGTTGATCAGACTTCAATTGACTCAATAAACATGCATCATTCGATTATAATCAAACAATATAGCATCCAAAACTTCATACAAGAAAGATTCTAACTCATGGAACTAGGGTTCCTCAAAACCTAAGTGAAGGGAAGTTACTCCATAGAGAAGAGAGAGACTGCAGAAATCTGATTTAGATCTTCAATCTCCATCTCCAAGCTTGATTCCCGAGCTCCAATGGCGAAGAAAGCCTCCAAAGTAGCTCCAAGAATGTTCCCAAGTCGCTCTCTCTCTCTCTCTAGGGTTCGTCCCTTGGGTGTTTGGGATCCAAAACCCAGCTCTCTCCTTTCCTTTGGCTGAAAATCGGGTTTTAACCAGCAATTCCCGACTCACACGGGCAGGCCGCACGGCCGTGCAGCTCACCCAGTTGCCCGTGCGAGTCAAAACGCAGCGTATCAATTAGTTGAATTCCAGGCTTCTTACACGGCCAGGGTTGCACGGCCGTGCAGCTCACCTTGCACGGCCGTGCAGCTCAACTTGCACGGCCGTGTGTATTTTCTGCTCTGCCCGTGTGGCTTGCTCAGCCTCTGTTTAATGCTTCGTTTCTCCCTCGTCCGGACTCCGAATCAGTCGCCGTTTGATCCCAGACGCTCGTAGTCTCGTCCTCTTTCGTTTCATAACAAGATTGCATGATTCTTTGTCCATAAAGTGAGGTAGAAATCCATTCTTCTTCAGGTCATGCCCGAGTTTCTTCTCTCGAATCGTCAATTGATCTCTGATTGACTTGAAACTTGCGCCTATGCTTCACTTTATGTGCTAGGACCTGAAATGGGACAAAGGAACACAACCTAGCATAAAATAGGCCAAAGACGCAAGAATTCAAGCTCAAACAATCAAGAAACAAAGGGGAAAACATGTGCAAATACCGAGTCATCACTATGCGTCGGGACGGTTACGAAAATTTAGATTTATGTTGTATCAACTTTCATGAGCACATAGTAGACTTATCGGATGTTCTCAAAGGGTCAGCGTAGTCCGTAGAAGAGAATTATATAAGTACCATAACAACACAATTATGAAAAATGCGAACCATTAACCATAAATATATCATCTTACAGGCCAGTGCGGAGGAATCGAGCGAGATAGGCCAGACCCTAACTACTTCATTGAACTTCATTCTATTCGTCATGGACTTATATCAGAGTCGAAATCTTCTACTTGCCCAGCTTCAATCCTCAACAATCAAACCGTAGTACTAAGAGATATCAAAAGATTAATTTTCATAGGCGACCTTGTACTGGGAAGTGAAAGAGAGTAAACTATTACACTGTGGAGGAATTTTCATAGGAACTTATGAAGGGATAGGAACAAAAAAAAAGAGCAAAAAAAAAATTAAATTAAATAAATGAAAGGACCTAACACGTAGTAAAAGAAATAGTTTTTACCATGTTAGTCATGTACTAATTTACCCTTAGTAAAAATTAAGGAGAGTCGGAATTTGAAATGGAGAAAGTTACATGAAACTCTACTATGAAAATCTATGTATCAAGCACCAAATACTTACAGGAGAATTAGTGGGATAACTAATCATGATGGAAAAGTCTACGGATTTTCAGAGTTTAACTTCATCTATGTTTTGTATTAAAAAAACTACAACATATTTGTTTAGTGTAATTGGTTATGTTTGTTGTCTTTGTTCGAAGAGATGACGGTTCAAATCTAGACATTAATATCATTTTATATGAATTAATAAAGTCTTATAAAGACTAAAATCCCTTCCTACTTTTACTCTCGTTACAGGAAATTTGAAATGAAGAAAAGTACACAAAACTATATCATATATTATTGGAGGGGATTTCAAGACTCCTCTTATGTAATTACTTATTGTTTAATTGCTTATATGACTTAATTGCTTAATTACATCTTAATTCCAATATTCCTCTTATCTTAATTATTTTAATTGCTTAACCATTGTTTAATTGCTTATGCATATGTTGGTTAACTATTTTAGTTGGCATATATAATTGTAGTTTCATCTTTCCATTAATGAACAATAATCTAGAACGAAATTCTATGTTTGCATCACTCCTAACGTCATATTGATGTAAAAATAAAATTATGCCCAAATTAAAAAAAAATATCAAAATGTTGGTCGTAATTAATTAATACTGTTTATATAAAAATAATCTACAAACTATCTTATTAAAATGATGAAATTTTATATTAAACTATATTATCACAAATATCAAGATGTCAAAATAATTTTGTATTCTAGCACTTCTTAACTTTGTCACTGGAAATGATATTATTCTTTAATTAAGTTCATGAATTTGCATGTTATGGGACGACATGTGAATTGATATAAAAAAGTAGTAAATTGAAAAATGAATAAGGGAATGTATCATCTCTTATAAGTAAAGAGTTGAATACTAATCAATAATACACAGCTAGAATAGAATAATAAAAAAGAAACTTGAAAATAAAGCGCGTATAAATTATAATCATATATAATGGATTACAAAATTACTACGCGACAGAAGTCAAATAAATTACAAATCCAACCACAAAAGTATAAGGACGGCCGTCGGCCGTCGCACAAAAGAAAAAAGCACGGACGACCTATACACAAAGCAATATCAATCCAACGGCCAGCAAGAGAGTAACAAAGCCCCATCTCTCCTCACCATGGGCCCCACTCGTATCCCTCTCCTGAATGGACGGCGTAGATGTGCCGTTGAAGTTGGGGTTGCTGCCGTACAACTGCTGCACGCCGTCGATGTCGTCCTGCGCCAACTCAACCTTTCGAGTCCGCGACGAAATGGTCGGGTACATGATCGCCGACTCAATCGACGAGTGGCCCAACCCCAACAAGTGACCGATCTCGTGCACCGCCACCGACTCCAGATCCACGGCCGACGGCAGCGCGATGTCGCCGTTGGATCCCGCGACCACCCAGTTCTCGTCGCCGTCGAGGTGAAGCCGCCCGCTCGGCGGCGAGAACGCGTGGGCCAGGGTCCCCAGGGCGCCGTCGAACGCCTCCCCGTCGCCGTGGTCGCCGCTGAAGAACCCGACCCGGATGTCCGCGGTCAGGTAGTTGTCCGTCTCCGTGAACGTCAGCGTCGCGACCTCCGACCATCGGTCGAACGCGGTGCCGAACACGCTCCTCACCTCCGGCGACAACTGGTTGTTCGGGAGGAAGGCGTAGGTCAGATCCCGACGGCTCGCCGGCCAGCGCGGGGTCCCGGGGAAGAACGAGTACCGGCCCACACTGTGGATCTGGCCCGTCGAATTGGCCGGCCGCCCGGAGTTCATCGTCGTGGAGCCGTTGACTATGTCGGCGTTGCCGCATCTGGGGAGCACGATCTGGCGGAGGGTCCGGTCGTCGAGCTGGCCCGTGACGTTGAGATTGAAGTTCTTCTGGTAGGTCTTCACGGCGGATTCGAGCGAGTCGTCGAACAGATCCGTGAGATTGTAGGCGTTGTCGGGGATGTAGCCGAAGTGGTGGAAGTACTTCTTGAGCTTGGAGAGGCCGTCGAGCTTCTCGCCGGCGCGGCAGCCGGAGAGGTTCTGGAAGGACTCCCAGGCGGTGGTGAAATTGGGCTTGAGAGGTAAATCGCGCGGGAGGGAGGTTATGTTTGGGAAGAACCTACCGGAAACAGGCGGCGGGAAGGAGGAGAAGACTAGCAGCAGCGCTGTAATGGCGGCGGAGGCGAATTGGAAGCCGAACTTCATGGCTCTGCAATTTAATTTTCGGACGGAGCGAGGGATTTTCAGATTTGCATTTGTGTTTTGGGAAATGGGTTTTATGGGAAATGGGAGGAAAGTGACTGCGTTGGAATGGATTGATTTGGCGTGTTGAAACTCCTTTTTTTTTTTTTTTTGACAATATGTTGAAACTCCTTCGTTGTGTTGAATGGTTCAGTGCGGGGCGCAAGGTCATGGTCTATTGGTCGTCGCGATTCGGTACAGGAAGCTTGGAAAAGAAAGACTCGGCATTGGATGATTTGTTTACTATAAAATAGGTACGTTAAATAAATTCTGCTGCGCTTTCAGTCCTTTGGTAGTTTTTTCTTGACATTTCAATCCTCAGAACAAGGAACTTAAGAAGCAAACAGACTAAACTCCCCAACATGCCTGCCTGCAGCATCGGGGTATGTAGTCATAGACTCATATTGTTAGAGTTAGTCAATAGAGTTGTAATACCACATTGATGGGAGAAGAAAAGTATAAGAATTGAGTATTTTTGGCAGTTTAATTAATTAATTAATTTTTATATTAATTAGTTAGCGTTTGAATATTGTGAAAAAAAGTGTCCTTCTAGAAAGGTAACTTCCCTTTTCTGTGAAAGGATGTGTCCTTTCGGGAAAGGTAACTACCTTTTATGTGAAAAGATGTGACTCTTCGGAAGGTAACTTCCAGTTTTCACAACTATAAATAGATGATTGCCATAACTCTTTTGATAACGAGAGATTCCTTCTTCTTCCTGTTTCCTTCTCTATTTCATAGCCACAGAAGTCTGCAAGATTGCTGCTTCCAGACTTAAAATTGAAGGGACTCCTGGGGGTGGTTTGCTCAAGCCTACCAGCAATTTGTAGTGGGGGCAAATAACACTCTAAGGAGAGTGATTAATTCACGCCTTCAATCGATTCTTTCCTACCAGTTCCTGACAATCTTAGAGTGTTATTTGTTATTTATTGAAATAATGGATTCTGGAGTAGAGAGTGAGTTGAAGGCGTATGCTATTCATAAATGGATTCCGAATAAGAGATTCGTGCATATGATATTCAATATCATGCCAGTCATCCTTGTCCTTTATTGTGGTTGGTTACAAAGAGGAAATGGTGACATTCGATAGTCGTCGAAAGAAAACAGTTTTTGGATTTACTGGTTGCTCTATGCATCAAATGGTGGGTTGGTTTCTTAAAGGAGAAGTGGCATTCGGACGCATTGCTACTGGTAACATCCTCTCCCTCTCCCTTTTTAATACTATGTGTGAGTGTATATATATATATATATATGCTCGGTACTTCTACAAATTGGAATCTCTATTAGACAGATCTGTTTGTTATTATTAGAGAGGAATTCGGTTCCTGCATCCCCTCATGCATGCTACGTGAAATTGGGCCTTTTATGGATGGTTCTGTGTAACTGGCCATTTCATTTCGTTAACGATTGCATGAATCGTGAAATGAGTAAACCGGCATGGTTGGGTTTTGAAAGGATTTCAAATTGAATCCGGCAGTCATTAAGAAGAATTCTTGGTTCCTTGTGTATAAGTGGATATTGATCTGTCCCTGGATAAATTGCCTTATCACTTTTGGTTAGTGATCAATCTGTCGATTGTTTAACCGTCTGGGAGGGACTTGATCATGTAACTTGATCATATAAACATGTATATATATATACATATGTTAATAACTGCTTTGTTTCCGCTGCTTTGTTTCCTCTGTACATATATGAATTTCTTTATAACTTTGCTGTGCATTTATGTGACTAAAGGTTTGGCATGGATTCATGGCCTTATGTTAGTTGCATAGATTTATGATTGGAAATCTTGATAAGCAAACTCGCTTCGATTAAGTGATAAAATAAATACTTTGTGTAGTATTTGAGATGAAATAATCTCATATTTGGTTATGGGGAGAGTTGGGGACAATTCAATTTGTTTGAATTTAAAGAATTCAAGTCGAATTCTTAAAATAGATTTTGTCACCAAATTTTGTATGAGTTTCAATATTGATGCTTGCAAGATGTAACAATTTGGTTTATGTAACAAAATTGTTTGAGTTGTAATCTTGAAGTAAATTGAAATAATGGTGAAAAATGTTCCCCCGACATGATAATTTGTTTATCATGTATGTGGTTTAAACTTCATATTTCCTATGCCATGAGGGAAAGGAAAATGAAACTAAAATTGGTCCTTGTTGGGATTGAATAAACTTGCCAGAGAATGATGATCATCAAGATAAATATATGGTCAAAATTGTTTATGGTATATGTACACTATACCATTGGAAAACAATTTGACTTGTGATTATGAATGTGAAGCTATTTGTCAGAATTGTTTATGGTATATATAGAAATATACCATTGGCAAACAATTTGGCATGAGAGCTAATTGAGACGAGTTTATTGAACTTGAAGTCTGAATTACTTATGGTATATGTGTGAATTTATACCATTGGAAAGTAATTAGACGATTGACTTAGAATATTCATTTGAATTGCTTGTGGTATGTCAAGTTACCTTCGTGAAATGCCATTGGTAAGTAATTAGATGGTATTTCCAATACAATATGGAAATGCAACTGAATTACTTGTGGCATCTCAAATTGCCTCGACTAATACCATTGGTAAGTAATTAGATGATATTACTAATAAAATCTGAATTGTTTGTGGTATGCTAATCTACTTAGTTCATATCATTGGTAAACAATTAGATCAATGTAGTGGTTGAAAGTTCAATAAGTAAAACCATGAAAAATAAAATGGAATTATTCCATGATAGTTCGGCGAGTGGAAGAATTGTGGGGGAGATGTTTTTTATGCTAGTTGGATAGCAAGTTCTAGTGATAATAAATCTACAACTGGTGGATTTTACAATAGGTGATGGAGTTGTTTCTTGGGTTTTGAAGAAACAAAAGTGTGTTACACACTCCACCATGGAAGATGAATTTCTAGCCCTTCCGGCGGCTGGAAAAGAGGCAGATGGCTAAGAAACATGTTGATAGATAAAGAGTTGTGGCCACAACCGATGTTAGCAATTTCTGTCTATTGTGATAGTGAGGCTACTTTGTCTAAAGCTTATAGCAAGGTTTACTATGGTAAGTCTAGACAGAATAGCCTAAGACATGGTTACGTTAGATATTTGATTATTAATGTAATCATTTCTATTGTGTATGTAAGATCAAGCAATAATTTGGCAGATCCTCTTGCCAAGGGATAGCCAAGAGGCATGATATATGAGACATCCCAAGGGATGAGATTAAGACCTTTTGTGTAGTTAGAAGTAATGGGAACCCAACCTTTTCTTTAGGTATTCACTAATTAAAAGGTTCAATGTGGTAATAACAAGTTACTCTAACAGAGGCACTAATTTATTGTACAAGTAAATTAGTCCAGAGAAGGGTGAGTTATAGAATTCTTGAGATGATGTATAGAACTCTTAATGAATTCATTTGGAATGTCACCTATGTGAGCATTAAGAGTGGTGCCGCTCTAACAAAAGTAGAGGTCAACTTTTGTGTATGCTCATGAAACAGGATCAACACATGGCCATAATAGTGCTACCCTAGTTGGTGGTTGTGGTTTAGAGAAGAGACAAGTACGTGTGTGGCATCTCCGGTTATAGCTTTGGATCGTGACTCCTAGGCTTAAGCCCGTCACTGATTCGTTATCAACTTTGAGTTGCTTACACTAGGTAAAGGTTCAAATCGAAAAGATACCTTTATGTATGCGTTACTTGTTCGAGGCAGGTATTCTCAACTCTTGTTGACTAAGTGGGGGATTGTTAGAGTTAGTCAATAGAGTTGTAATACCACATTGATGGGAGAAGAAAAGTATAAGAATTGAGTATTTTTGGCAGTTTAATTAATTAATTAATTTTTATATTAATTAGTTAGCGTTTGAATATTGTGAAAAGAAGTGTCCTTCTAGAAAGGTAACTTCCCTTTTCTGTGAAAGGATGTGTCCTTTCGGGAAAGGTAACTACCTTTTATGTGAAAGGATGTGACTCTTCGGAAGGTAACTTCCAGTTTTCACAACTATAAATAGATGATTGCCATAACTCTTTTGATAACGAGAGATTCCTTCTTCTTCCTGTTTCCTTCTCTATTTCATAGCCACAGAAGTCTGCAAGATTGCTACTTCCAGACTTAAAATTGAAGAGACTCCTGGGGGTGGTTTGCTCAAGCCTACCAGCAATTTGTAGTGGGGGAAAATAACACTCTAAGGAGAGTGATTAATTCACGCCTTCAATCGATTCTTTCCTACCAGTTCCTGACACATAGTACAAGCGAGTCTAGTGGCTGAGCAAAGGCCAAACTCAAAATGCACACTGTATTCACTGTGAATTGGAATGACAACCCCAAAGTGAATTCTCTCACTCAACACAATACAAAGCTTCACCTTGGCTTCAATGTATCTCACTAAGATCCCCCTCAATATCAATTCTGACTACGCCATTGTAAGCGACTGTCAAGGAATCATCTCAAGGTCTCGACTTGTCATCCTTAATACAGAGCACACATACCTTAGGAGACTAGTGGTCCCACATAGTTAGACGCGTCTGTGTCTCGTCCAATGTTTTAGAAACCGAATACTTATACTACTGCTCAGTTGGACCGGAAATATCGACTACCAGATCACAAATCGATAGGGAATTTTAGCGGTTCTGAAACGATTGTGTCAGTTTTTTTTTACACCATATCACCTCTGATCTCAAAGAACAATTCACCGGGCTAAACACGAACAATTTCTCCACACATCCTATTTATTTTATTGCATGTTTTTTTATTTGGTTATTTTGTTGCAGGTTAGTGAGAGAACTCGATTTTTATTAAATTCAGGAATCTTGTAATTAGAATAAAATTCAATTATCAAGTTATATTTAATATAGATGTTCTAGAATATGTAATAGCAACAAAACGAAATTTGTGGTTAAACCAACTCGTGGTCTTGGATGACTACAAAGCTAAGAACTAAAAGTAAAGTACTGAAATGCCAATACAAAGTAGAATGAGGCACTGATTTGTAGTTTTTATCCAAGAATACTCTGGACGGCAGGAACGGAAGCAACAACGTAGGTGTCGCGGACTCGATTGAAATTTGGCTGTGGGAGGAAGCGGACAAGCGTCGTCGCGTTGCTTGGTTGAGATGTCCGCTACCTCTATTGGCTGCTTCTTTTTTCTTAGGTCAGCCGTCGGGCTCTTCTGTTGACTTTTCGCTTGCTTGGTTGGACATGAGAGAAAATGGAAGTCAATAATGGTTTGTTGACATGAACTCTGTTTCCCCCTCCAAATGTCAGCAAAGCATATATAGGGCTAACAAAAGTCAATGTTGGAAACGAGGAGCCACTGTGAACCTCAGTTGTTAGAAGAAGTGATCGGCAATGGCGAAGCGGGACGGGTACCTCAATATTGACAATATTTATATGTGTCTTGCATTAAGCACGAGCCAAATTAGGTTAACACACGCTTGACTGCGTGAGTATGAGGCGGGTGAGGCAGATCAGATCGACCCATCCTTATATATTGTTCGAAAAAAGAATGTCGACGTTTCAACTCTTTTACAATCACATAGAGAAAACACTTCATAAATGAATGGAAAATATAGTAGAAGAATAATTGTGTCTAAATAGTTGAAAGATAGTTTTAAAATTTATTTGGGAGGAAAATATTATTTTAGAAAGGTCAAAAGAGGAGACATACATATAGATATTGATGCGATATTAGTATATCGCAAAGTAATAAATCTCATAACATTTAGAATCGTATTCACAGGGTCTTCTAATAGCAACTACTTTGTAACTGAACAACCTATGCTCGAATGTGATGCATAGTAAACAACAAGTGACAAAAGACTTAGGAATGAATAGGGTCGTATTCCACGAGACTTTCTAATGCATAACTACTCATATCACGACTCACAAACGCAATGAAAGATAGATATGTTTAGGTTGATTTTCTATTTTCTATAGGAAAAGAAAAGTAAATGTACGTTATTGAGTAGAAACGATCCCTCAATATAAACATGCATCTCAATTCTTGATCATATCGTGTATCTCAATTATTCAACTAATGAATAACTCTATCCCTTCTACTAAAGCATTCCAAACCGAGCTTTAGCCACATGCGAGAGGAACAATAAATAACTAATGCATGCTTTCGTTTCATGTCATCAACTATATAATTAAGAACAGAGAAATAAGGATATCACTTAGTTAATTGTGAGCCTCTTGAGTTATAACAAAATGTCTATAGTGTCGGAGATCTAAACAATCAAGCATTGACTCTAAGAATGTATAAGAGGGTGATCAGTTCCTCTTATACACGCCTAGATCAATAGCACATCACAAGAAACTAGTTTCATAAAATCCTATATAATAATATAGACAACACATATAGTAGCATTTAACAGAATCATAAACATTGAAATCGAAATGTTTATGACAACATAAATATTGAACTACTCAAGCAACCAAAAAATTGCATAACACAAAATCATAGAACAAGATAATCATA